ATTATATACTTTACCTCTTACGGTAACGGCGTTATCGATGAACGTGTTGGTGTTTTTATTTATTTATTTTCCTGCCTTTATCAACAGCAGCGCTTAGCTGGGTGCGATGGCACACAGCTCCAAACCATCGCTTTGAAGGCAAAAGTTGGGGTTGGTGGAGCATTCACTTTAGTAAAACTCCCAACCCACCTTTCACCAGAGCCAGTGGGGGGGTTCGTGCACCCATCTGTGTGGACCTTGAAGCGTTATCCCATCTCAGCGAGTGGATTTTCTACCAGGTGCTCACGTTTCCTCCCGTACGGGGTGGGAGAGCCAACGTCCCGACGTCGCAAATTATTGCACGCAAAGTTCCTTGCCACAAATCAACCACAACACCTCGCTGATCTGATCAAGGAGCATAAACCATCACGCAAACTCCGGTCGTCCTCGCCGTGGCTTTTGACGAACCATCGAACAAAAACGGTCACCGCATCGCGCGCTTTCAGATGCGGTTCCGCGGCCGTCTGGAACGCTCTTCCTCCCGGTGTTCGGAAGCCACTGGAGCTACGCACTTTTAAATCTAAATTGAAAACTCATTTCTTTAGAGCTGCGTCTTTGTGTTTAGTTTGTTGTCCTTTCCCTCGCACCTCCGACTGGCACGGCTGGCTACGTACGGTGCGCAAAAAATGTCAACTTACATACACACCCCCTTCGCCCTGGAGCTTGTCTTGGACAAAGAAACGACGCTGCCCTGAACGCGCGGTGCCACGTAAAGCAAAACGCTCCCCACAACTAAGCTATGAAACAATGTTTTATTATCTTACCAGGTAAGCGCCCACTGAGCTATAAAGCTATTGAGCAGCAGCGACCTGGCCGCAAAAGGTTGCGCAACGAAGTGGCTCATATCATCGCGTGGAAATGTAGAGCAGCCAAATACTCGAAACGGGTGATGTCGATTCAAAAACGTGGAGGGGAGGGGAAAAACCGGAGGACTCGGGAGAAAATTCCACGCGTCCACGGGGAGAGAGACAAGCAATCTCCAAATATACAACAGGCGTCAGGGTCGGGATCGAACCCAGGCGAGGTCGTTAACATCTCCTAGCCACCGCGGCACTCCTTCGCTCAACTAAGGGGCTCGCGTCACCAGAATCAGACGATTAATTCATCCTGGAGGAATCCGATGAGGCATAAAGCTCTTTTTCACAGATGTCCCAGTATTTTCAGAGATGTCCAGTTACCCTCCCCGAGCGCAACGGACTTTAAAGTCCGCAATCGGAGCGGTGCGCATTCCTGCAATGGTGAACGTTACCACTCATCCTGTCTGCCCGTGAAAAGCAGGTACGCGAAGACAATCGTTTCAGAATAATTTCGAGACGGGCAGGGTAGATTTCTTGGACGTGGAGTCAGAAAACGAGACTAAATATGAAAAAGCCCTCCGACCGGGAAAAATATCGGTACAAGAATCCAGGGAAGACGGTGAATTGAGTTACAAAAGCAATTTGAATAATTGAATGCAAAGTTCGAGACTGATATCAAGGGCCGGGGTTCGATTCCCGACTCGGGCACCGTTCCGTGTGGAGTCTCTACGCTCTTCCCCCTGTTCTGCAAGGCTTTGCTCCAGATGCTGCATTTTTCTCCCATAGCTAAAAAAAAGACTCACAATGTAATTGGGTTTGACCAAATATCCCGATGCAAGACCCTCCTGATAAAGAGCCTTTGTAATTAGCGTGGCTGTTCTGGATGAAGGGTTGTTATTATTATTATTATTTTGCCTGGTGCCCACTCCCCCGCCTCTCGTGTTCCCCCCCCCCCCTCTCCTTGTGATGTCATTTAGCCCCTCCCCTGCTGCGTTGTTAAATGGCGGTGCTGCTCATGTGTGGGCAGCTTCCTGGTCGCAGAACGGACGACTTCCTCGCACGTCACAAACGCTCGCACAAAAAACAACCCCCCCCCCCCCCTCCCGTGTAGCCTTAACAGACTGTTGGGGCAAGTGCCGTTGGCGAGTAGCGGCACCTATGAAGTCCGGCACGGCACACGAGGGGGAGGTGTGGCCAACACCGTGCCCGGCCGCCTTTGTCTCCCCTGCAGCGATGTTTACTACACACCGCAGCACCGGGTACTCATTTGAGGCGGAGTCGGTCCAGAGGACGCTCGGGGACCAGTTTAAATAATCGTCCATGCTGTTGGTGGCCGTGAGTGAGAATCGAACTCGGGTCGCCAGGTTCGTAGCGCTGCGTGCTAACCGCTACACTCCCACACGCGCTGACGCGCCGCTTACGGGAAACTAACCACGCTTCCTTTTGCAGCAACGCCGCTCCTCACAGGGCCCGTGCAAGCAGACCCCACATTCACGTTTCAGCCCCACGGCTGATAGACGCCCCCCCACTCCGCGACGGGAGACGGAACCGGCGAGCTCCAGATTGAGAGTCCGGTGCACTCACCAGAAGGCACGTAAATCGTAATTCGGGAAAATATCTCTGTACGTGCCGGACAGCCAACGACTGGAACAAGCTGCCCCAATAACGTAATCGATGATTTTCCAAAGAACATGAATGCATTTAAATAAAGAATATGTGATCTAAAATAAGCCTGATACACAATCACTTTTGTTTTTACTTGTGATATATTTGTACTCTGTACGTTGTTGTTTGCCATCGGACAGCGGTCCATTGTAGACGAAATCAATAAACCAAATGAAACACAAAGGCCTCGAGAGTAGTGTCTCGCAGAACAAAGCCTCTAAGGGTGGTAAAGGTGTAGCCTGGAAGCTCCACACACAGCAGGGCGCAGGCGTGGAAGCGCGCGATTTGGGATGGACATCGAGTGTGAAATCCCAAGGCCTCCAGACGAACGGACCGACCGTCGTGTAGGCACACAACGTGGAGCCGCTCGACGCATCCATCCAATGGTGAATGCCGATTCTTAAGCTCGTGAGCCAGGCATCACGGAGTGAGCGGCGTGTGGGAGAATCGATGCTCTTCAATGCAACGTTCACGTTCGCACGCAGCCTACAAGGGGCGCTTCCATTCACCACAACGTGAGCATTGGAGAATTGATTCTCGATTTGGATCGGGAGTCCGATTCAAAACATTTAGGAGGTGGGGGGGGGGAGTGGTGAATCCTCATGGCCCTGCACGCAAGGAGCAAGGTGGATGGCTCTGGCTGGTGACATCCATTTGAACCAGAACACAGCTGCACTGTTCTACTATTCTGTCTATTTCAATGAGGACGATTGAAAAGGTGGCTTTGTCCGCGGGTTGGGGTGCCGTGTTGGCGAGATGTTAACTACCTCGCCTGGTATGCAGGTGGTCGTGGGTTAGATTCCAAACCTGATGCCTGCTGTATATTTGGAGTTTGCGTATTCTCTCCGTGGTCACGTGGATTTTTCTCCGGGTCCTCCGGTTTTTCCCTCCACATTGAGAAACGTGTGTTTATAGAATATTTGGCTGCGATACATTTCCAGGTGATAAGCCACTTCGTTGAGCTGTCATTTGTGGCCAGGTCGCTTCTGAAAAATAACTACATAGCTCAGTGGGCCTTACCTGGTAAAATAATAATAGTTTCTAGTTTAGTTTTAGTTTCTATTCCAATAGGGGCAGCTGGAATATCCCTTCTGTCGGAGGAAGGGAGTTGACAATTCTCTTGGCCGCATCACTCGCCAGCTGACACGGCGAGTATGCGATACCATGTGGCGAGGGTTACAATCCAAACGTTGCGATGATATACTGCAAAATAACAAGAACCTCGCACAATGCTTGGCCCTCTCCTTTGTGAGGGAGAGGCTAAATTGCAATGGCCTTGAAAGTGGATAATGGACTCAATTGTGATTCCGCTCGTGTTACGCAGGAAATCGTCACAGAGTCTCAAGACTCGTTTTCAGGAGGGTCCTGTCAAGATGGCTGCAATGCTGCTGCTATTTGTGACCCCAATTGACTATGATTAGTCAATACCAGGTACATTGTGTGCGTGTTTCTTTTTATTTAGCTTTCAAGTTTAAGTTTTGTCCAACCATATTCTTTGGGTCTTTCGGTAAAGTAATGTAGATAGGTTCAAATCAAATAACAAACCTACGTGACTTTACCGAAAGACCCAAAGCATATCAATTCCTGCAGTCACGAAAGCTTTAAGTTAAAAAATTAGTTAAACCAGGCGAGAACTCAAGAGACCACGATCAGTCTCATTTGCAAATGGCTCGGCTCACAGAATGGCGTGGCTAGATATCGCGCGAGCTCACGAGACGTTATAAATAACATTAGATAGCAAAACGTGCGAATTATTCGAGCGTTAAAAATAACAAGCCAAGCGGCACATTCTCCATCCGTAAACACAACTCTGCGATTGGCTCGACCTACGAAACGCGTGCGCGTGGCATTTCCGAACACGGGATCGTTCACAATTATCCTGCACGTTGTAAATAAACACCCTTCTTGTTTACAGCCACTCTCTCTAAACAGCCCCTATCTGACGATCTGGGAACGGCACGCGGCGCCAGGGGAGGGAATCGTAGGCAGAGATAATCGGCAGCTTTCACTACAGCCCAGCAGTTCCCTGGGGCAAGGTCGCGGACTAAAACAAGAGCACTTTTAGCCACCGGTCATTGTGAAATGCGTGCCCTTCGCAGAAGAGCGAGCCCCAGGCGGCATGGGAACGCAACTCCCTGGGCACGCACACGGCCAGGATAGAGGTCTTGGGCAGTCATACCGGCGCACGCCAGCGGCTGCTTGCGGTTGACGTCGCAAGGCATCGTATGTTGAGCCTACACAAACAGGGTGCGTCAGGATTTCTTTTGTGGCCAATGTGGCGTGGAGTGGCGCGGTGCGGTGCGGGTCCAGTGCGGCGTGGTGCAGTGCGGTGCGGTGGAGTGGGGCGATGCAATGCGGTGTCGTGCGGTGTCGTGAGGTGTAGTGCGGTATGGCGCGTTGTGGAGTGGCGTGCCGCGGAGTGGCGTGCTGCGCGTAGTGGCGCAGTGCGGTGTAGTCTGGCGCGGTGTGGCACAGTGTGACGCGGCACGGCGCGGGCACCTTGAGGTCGAGATGCACGACGCTCTTGCGATGCAGGAAGGCGACGCCGTCCAGGATCTGGGTCATGAGGCGCACTACGTCGCGCTCTGTGAACGCTTCCTCTCTCTCTGCCACGCACTGGTTGAAGATCTCCCCTCCCGCCGCACTGCACGAGACAAAGACAAAGACCCCCGTATAGCCTTACCAGACTGTTGGGGAAAGTGCTGTTAGCGAGCAGCACCTGTGAAGACCGGCACGGCACACGAGGGGGTGGGCGGCCAGCACCACGCGTGGCCGCCTTTGTCTCCCCAGTGGCGATGTTTACCACACCGCACCAGGTACTCATTTGAGGCTGAGTCGACCGAGGAGAGGCCCAGGACCGGTTCACATATTTATCGATGTTGGGCGCGAGTGGGAATAGTTCTGCTGGTGTGGTCCACCGAGTGAAATAGCTCTTTTACAAAAGATCTACCACAGCCCAAGACTGTACAGAGATATCGCTAGATAATGCACACCCAATCTACTGTGGGGACATGTAAAACTCTGGATAGATAAATACATTTTTGAAAATCTAAATTAAGAAATATATCGACTGGCCTCTGTCCTTCAAAGCCAAGGAAAAGCAAACTGCTCCATGCTGGATGTGACGGAAAGCAGACCGAGCAGTGGAAGAGAATGAATGTAGTTTAAACCCTGTAAATCACGTTGCTGTATTTACAAGCAAATAGCATTCCCCGTTGTCAACCATTCAGAACATGCACGGAATTCATCGTGACCCTCGTTTATTAAAATTCTGCTCCGCTAACACCGCTCAATTTGGGCAAAAGCAGCGAATAAACATCGCGGGTGCATTTCTTCTTTATTTTTAGATGATTAAGGGGCAATGGGGCCACAGAAAATAAGCATTCTTTTGCCAAAAGTGCTGATCCTTTGGAATTTTAATATAATCCTCGGGCCATATTTATGCATACCGAAGCAGGGCTGCTGTTGCTCAGATTTGTGTGAATAACGTTTAAAGCGTGGCCACACGGTTCTTTGTCCTGCAAAACTCAGGATGTGGCACTGCCTGACGTCCGCACGGTAAAAAAAAATAACTATGCAGACGCACGAGAGGCCTTATTGCAGCGATCATTCACGATTAATTCGACTCGCCCAAGATCCACGCAGCCTCAAGAGTCCGTCGACCCCTCCTGGTTAACGGATCACCAGGACGGTGAACAAAACGACATACCCGCTGTAAATGCTGCTGAATTGCAAGAATACCAAACCCACAACTTGGACACAACCGGATCGCATTGCTTCTTGGAGTTTCAGTGCCACACCACAAGGACAACATTCACACCAGATTGACACGAAGCCCAGGCTGTGGTTTGCAATTAAAGTATAATTTGCGAAATGCTGACGAGCCTCATTCCTAGGCCGTAATCTCAGCCCATGTTTCATGAGCGTGCGTGGTGCTGCGCTCCTGTGCTGCAGCACATCTGGGGCACACGATCGCGGATCAAGCAGATTTGAGAGACTTCCCAACGCCGCTCGATTGCGGGATCACCAGAGGATGGCAGTACAACAAGTGGGGTTTACCCCGAGGCTTGTGTAGCATTTCTCTGGGTACATCACTTCATGCAACAATAACAAAAACCAAACACTATTTCAAAAGGGAATTTGCACAAAAAACGTTCCATTAAATCAGAATCCGAATATTTATTTAGACTGCAGGAGGAGGAATCCGATGAGCTATAAAGTTCTCTTTCACAGATGTCCAATAGGGGTACACAAAAACACGAAAGGAGTGCAAAGTAAGAAAGAGGTAAACAAATCACCCAAACACAAACAAATACAACTAAACCATCCACATCCTACCAGGCAAAGCCCACTGAGGTTTAAACTTTTTTTTCAGAAGCGACCTGGCCACTAGTGATAGCTCTACACAGCGGCCCCATCATTTGGCCATTTTTAAGCAGCAAAATAATCTCAATGCAGAAACAGGCCGCCTCAAGGCTTCACGAGTGTTCCCTTGAAACACAAACGCCGCTACGAATCGTGCTTTTCTGTTTCAAGTGCCCATCTCAGCAGAGTTACCAACCCCCAAGCCACAGGGCCAGCTGAACACAGGCGATAGGTGCGCAGAAGATGTGGTCAGAAAGGCAGTGCGAGAATACGCAAACAAAATGCGCACAAAATAGAATGTGTGCAATCTCATTTCCAGAACATGCCGAGGCACAAGTCCGATTGCGCACATTTCAACCGCTGCTGCTGCTGCGTGCGCCCCGTTCCGCCAAATTGCATGTTTACTGTGCGAGGTTCAATGGCTAGTATCAGGCACACAGAGATGCTGTAAACTGTTTATGCGATAATGCACAACACACGCAAGCCTCTCTCCAGACAAGAGCATGAAAAAAAATCGCCGAACCGCCTTTACTGCCGTTCCCACCAACTGAAAAGAATGGCCAGAGAGAGAGACTACTTTGTGATGTTGTTAGTCTTGTACGTTGCATCAAATGCCCCGTGGTTGTGTATTGACTTAGCTCCCTCCCCCATCTCACGGGATGTGCTGTATAGAAAGAGAAAGTTTATTTCACCCTTGTAAGATGACCTTAAATGGCATAACGGTGGGGGGGGGGGCTGTGTAAAATGTCACTCAAATTCGCTGTTTACATAAAGCAATCGCGATGCGGAAATTTTCTCAGCCAAAATGTTACCACTCGGTCGTACCAAGGCTGTATTTGTAAAATTAAGTACCATTATTTACACTCGTTTTACCGAGTAATGCCTCTAATCCAACGTGTAAACTAAAAACTCAAATATTTTTCATTTTACCGGGTAAGGCTTCACTGAGCTATACAGTTCTTTTTCAGAAGCCACCTGGGCACAAATTATAGCTCAAGGAAGTGGCTTATCACGTGTATATCAGGCGAAGTAGTTAACATCTCACCACCGTGGCATGTCCGTAGAACCAATCGTGTAAGACCAAAGAACAGGAGGTCCTTCAGACTCGGTGTATAAATAGTACGATGCTGGGCCAAGGAAGTGCACAGGTTACACGTCAGTCAAGGAAATACAATTCAAACAATTATCAATTACTGCAGAGTTTCCGAGCCAATAGGGCTGGAATGGGTATCTCTTGCGGACCAGTGTAACTGGTGCCTGCCAAACATACCAATGCTAAAAAATCACCTACGAATTACTCGGTTTGGATTACACACACAGCAGCAACATCACCCGACACTGCAAACAATAATTTGCAGGATCCTCTTGAAAAAGAGTCGCGAGAATCGCTAAACAAGCGTAACAAATAAAATAAACAATAAAGGAGTGGCCCTGTGTTATAGCACAGTGTCAGTTAGGCCCACTTGGGTAAACAAATGAAATGAATATTCTAGTAATGTAGCGGACACCGAGACAGGCCAGGGTTACTACTCCCTGAATTTCACCTCCGTCACACGCGGTTCCCTCCACCCACAGCTCTCTCCTCCGTGCCCTCTTATCCCAGCGGTCCCATCTCGGTTTAACACCACGTAGGCTTTAGCGACCAATATCATTCATGATACAAGTTTGTTTTGGTTAGATCGCGTAAATATATCAATGTGTCGTGAAATCCGCCAACGAAACGTCGTACTCAGATTGTAAATGTTGTGGCTTGGTTCTCCAACACACCGGTGTGCTGTACTAGTGACGAATTACATGACAACCCTTACTAGTTGGCTGTGTCGGGTGGTGGCGGGTTTTAACGACACATTCATACATTTACGCGATCTAGCCCAAACAAAAACCTGTATTATGGGTCCCATCTCCCTGCCCCACCCCTCATCACTGTCACCTCATCTCCCACCGCCAATCACAACATCGTCACACCTCGGGACCGCATCTCATCTCAGCGTGCGTGTACATGTGGGGGGGGGGGGGGGGGGGTAGGGAATGGCGACGTAGTTGAGGGGACCGTTGCAGAGGACCGTCACAGTAGGAGCAGTAACGATGATAACTGCATGTGTTGTGGCGGTCTTGGCGTGGGGGTGCGGGCGCGAGGGCTTACTACTCGAGCACGAGGATGATCTCGCCGGCCGTCTCGTAGACGCGGTGGAGGCCGATGACGTGCGGGTTGCCGTGCGCCAGCTCCAAGATGGCCACCTCGTGGATGATCTCGGCGCGGAGGTCCTGCCCCTTGCGCCGCTTGCGGACGAACTTGGCGGCGAACTCGCGGCCCGTGGACACCTCGACGCACTTGCGCACCACGCCGAAGCGGCCCCTGCCAACGGCAGTCACGGTCACCGGAGCGGGAGCGTTAACCGCACGGGGCGTCGTTCTCGAACGCGCGGCGCGAGGCGCTTCCGGCTCGGCTGAGGTCAACGTTGCCGCCGTGATATCGGCCGCGCGCGTTGCCGGCGACCATTTCCCACACGGCTTCCCGGGTAACGGACGCTCTAGGTCACAACGGTGCCGGGGTTTGAGCCTGGCGGCTGCTGCTCGAGTTGGGATGAGCAGGGGCCTGTTGGGTTGGGGGCCACCTGTGAGGTGGCCAGAAGATGAAAGCGCAGCAATGGATTCTTAAATACGTCTGTGTGGAGCTTTGGGTGTGACCCACTCCTCCTGTGCGTGGCGGGTTTTCCCCGGTTTCCTCTAACAAGTAGCCAAACACTCGTTATCGGAATCGGCTAAACATCCCAATTATAATTTCAAAGTTAAAATCATACATGAGGGCAATATCACGATGACACTTAGGCCTGTCTTATCATCTCCTGTCAGCGAGTTTGACAATTCAAGTGGCCACAAAACGCACCTAGCCTGGCGCTCACACGCGCAATTTTTGTCCACAGCACTCACAAAGGGGCAATTGCCCAGGGACGCAGCGCAAACTCGGCTGAAACGACGCGGACGTAGGGAAGGGATCACCCAGCCAGTGTAAAAATGGCCATCAATTTTATTCCACAGCTGTACCAGGATAGACCCAGTCCAGTTGCGTACCACACGTGACCGATTCCACGCATCTTGGCTTCAGCGAACCCGGCGGACAAATGCGCAATTTCCAACAAAAGTTGCAGCAACCTTCCTTGGACACAGGTGAGAGGATGTTGGGAGGAATAATATTCAATGCCTGGGTAGGTCCTGTCAATGCCGTTCCTCAAGGGAGGGACGATGACTGAATCCCGGCGACCGTCGTCAGAAACAAAACTTTGGTGGCCGACCGCAAAGCCACCCAAGGAGCCTCCGTGCCGGTATTTATATCCATGCACAAGCACGGTCGCAATTACGTGTGTCACTCGGTGCGCGCCGATTACTTCAGGCAACTTGTTTATGATTTTTTTTAAGTGCCCCCGAACGCTGGTCACGGTAGACTCCATCGCTGATTCGACACATTCTACGTTTCTGACCCCCCCCGAGCACCGGGCCGTGAAACAGCTCCGCTGGGAGGCCACGGCTCGGCGCCCCCCCCCCCCCGGGTCAATCGTCGAGTTGAATAGCGGCGGTCCGAGCGGTGGGGGGGGGGAGGAGTTCAACATAGAGGGCCGCGTGAGAGGGGCCACGGAAAAAAAGCGGGGGCATCGTCAATATCACGGCAAATCGAGTCCGCCCGGAGTCACTTGGAACAGCGCCGCCGAGTTTCTGGCGTTGACGGGGCCTCAAGAGCTCTCCAGGTGGAGATTGCCTGGAGAGCTTGAGAATCGCAGACCCGCTCAAGTTTCACCATCGAATCTTACGCCCAAAATGTACACCGATGTGTTTATTTGTTCCAAAGCCATAGCCTAGGTCACACAATCCTATTAGATGTAAAATCCCACAAATCTCATTAGAAAAGTAACGAATCCCGTAAATACAAAGTTGATTACACAATTACAGTACCTCTGCCGACAGTAAAATTGTCCCGCTCTGCAGACTGGTGCACTGTGAACCACTCCGTCCTTAGAGCGGAATTCAGTGCCGGTCCTCGTCGTACCAAACCCTCGACAGGAGGACGCCACGTAGGTCACGCCACAAGGTAACACGGGGGGGGGGGGGGGGGGATCTACAGCGACGGGACGCTTCCAATATCACAACCGGTGAAAAACGCCCCAGCAGAGTAACGAACGGAGCACCGACCCCAGGTACTCTTCCATAATAGAGCCATAATGGAGCCTACGTGTGAAACCCCCCAGGTACTCTCTATCGGCCATCGGCGGTGCACGTCGCCGAGACAGCGGACGTCGCTCATCTGAGCAAAGTCCACGGCGGGGGGTGGGGGGGGTGGGAAATGACGCCGCTCAGACGAACGGCAGACACCGCCGCCACCGCCGCCACCGCCGCCACGGGCCTCCCTCCATCCCTCCGCCCTGCGAGCGGCGCCCGAAGCGAGCGCGAGAGACGCGCGGAGGTCACCGCGGCCGGTGAGCTCATCCCGCCGCAGCAATTGCGGAAACGTGACGTGCGCCGCACGCCGTCCGCGAAGAAGAAGTGGTAAACGCCGAGACAGAGCGGCGCGAAGAGACAGAGACAACTATAGAGACAAGGAGACAATGCCCCCCCCACCCCCTACCGTCGCACGGCGGACACGTACCGCACGAGCGCGGAACGACGACGCGGATGTCCGGCGTTGGCTGGACATCCGTGAAAAAGAGCTTCATAGCTCATCGGATTCCTCCAGTAAATAAATATTGGGATTCTGACCCCCTCGGCCAGCGAGCCGGCGCACCGGCCGACATCGACACGGGCCTGCGCACTGCCCCCCCCCCCACCCGGAGCCCCCCCCCACCACCTCGGAGCCCCCTCCCACCGCCCCCCGGAGCCCCCCCCCTCCCCCCACGGCACGGCACGAGTGTCCGACTTCGCCGGCGAGCAGAGCGGTTCAACCAAGGGTCGTGCAACAAAGCCGCTGCTGCCACGAGGGGATTAAAATTAATTGACTTTTTAAAAGTGCTTTAAGCTAAAAAGTTGAAGCCACGTTGTTGGCACCGTGCCGTGTAGATGATCGTAATGCCCGGGAGCGTAATCTACATCAGCTGGGGCTACTGCTGCGCTGGATGTAACAGGAACGGCCTGAACGTTGCTTGAAATGCCTCCAACTCTGGTAGCTAAAGCAACGGCTGCTTATTTTCGCGCAGGTGTATAATCAAATTCGGAATCATGGCTTACAGGGATTGATACAATGCAATCTCATTACGCGTAGGAAGTTTAATAGAACAAAATAAAACCAACAAGCGTGGGTTTCCAGGAGAGAGAGGTGGACAGCGAGATATGACCGATAACACCATTTGCATCTGGGCAGCAGGATGGTGGTCCGGTGGTAACACCGGTGCCTCACAGCAAGAATTTCCTGGGTTTGATTCTCGACTCGGGTGCCTCTCTGGATGGAGCGTGTATGTTCTTCCCCTGCTCTGCATGGACTTTTTTTAATGGGTTTTCTGGTTTTCTCTCAAAGCTAAAAGCAAAAGCACACGCACAGAATGTAAGAGGAATTGGCCAAACACACCCCAATACTGAAACATTACTTTACAAGTGACTCACTGGGGATGACACACAGCAGTCAATGTCCCCTACTGGCAGACTAATGCCCATCGCCGAGCCAGGAGTTGAGCCTCATCGCGTTGCACGGGTACGACCCCGAGCGGATTCCTCGGCCGGTAAACAGCAGCAGCTTTTCCCACAGTGATCACTGGGCCCCAGGAGTGGGTGGTAGGGGGGGGAGAGAGATGGGGGGGGGGGGGAGGAGGGGTTCAGGATAGACGACAGGAAGGGGAACGCCGAGACAAAAAAAAGTCTATGACGCGTTGATTGTGTTGCTAAATAACGGCTTGCCATGGGCTCCTCAACGGTCGTCGTCAATATCTGTGACAATATTTACTCGGTCGCTTCCTCCCGCGGCAACGCAAGTGTTGCGGGACGGGTTTACGAACCCTGCGACTCGGCACTGCGGAGGTGCGGGAAGGGAAGACCGGGCTACCCGCGACGCTGCCAAAGCGCGCGCGGGGCCTCCACCGCAAAGTCGGCGTCGCGACGACGCACGTCGCCCCGCGTCGAGCGAACGAGCGTCGCGAGTGCCCGGCGAGAGGTCACCGACCAGGGGCGGTGCGTGACGTGCCGCACCGGCGGTTTGAGCGCGTGGGGGGGGGGGGTTGTAGGGTCCACCACGGTTCCTGAGGGCCCGCGTGGCACGTGGCGAGGGGAGATAGGGCTCCGTTATCGGGCGGCAGGTACCACGCATCGCCACGGTGGGGGTGCATTCCAGGAATTAGGGGGGGGCTGCTATCAAAGTCGGCACGTGACGACTGATTTCCTGGAGCAGACTTCTAAATGCAGCAGTACAAGTAACGTATGGAGGTTGCCTTACGTTAACCGTGTCGTAATATAGTAAAGCATGGTTTGGCCAGGTGGTCCTCTGACAGACGGTCTGGTGCACAATCAGATAAATAAAAGTTTGAGGGTCAACAAAGCCCCTTAACCCTTCTTATCATTATGATTACTATCTTTGTTATCCCAGGAGAAGCCTCATCACCGAGTATCAACTCTTTTTCAGGATGGTCCTGTCAAGTTTTTGCAGTATGTGCCCGATGTTGCCACTGTGTGTGATCCCAATTGAGTAATGTGCAGGCAATTTTTCAGCATTGGGATGTGTGGCCAATAACAGTTAATTGATATTCTTTGGGTTTTTCGGCAAAGTCACAAAGATAGGTTCAAAGAAAATAACATAAGCGGTCGTCATCAGGAAACGGGGGTTAGCTTCTAAAGGCAAACTGTTGACGACCTGGTGACGACCGCTTGTGTTGCGATTGAAACGTCGTAGTTTTTTGTTATTTTCTTTTAACCTTCTTTGGTTCTTTCGTCTTCTTTGGTTCTTTCGGTAAGGTCACGTAGAATGAGAATAAAATAACACGATAAAATTCTCACGACGTTTCGGCCACAACCTGGTCTTGGGCAGAGCTTATCTTTTGAACCTATCTACGTGACTTTACCGAAAGACCCAAAGAATATGAATTCCTGCAGTCACGAAAGCTTTAAGTCAAGATTCAATAATAGTTCAGTTGTGTAGCTACGGGAGGAAACCGGGGAAACCCGAGGAAACCCATGCAGAACAGGGGGCGAATAAACAAACTAAACACAGAAATGTGCCCTTGTTGGGAATGCTACGCAGACACTGCCTGATGCGAGGCACGCGTGTCACCACTGAGCCAACCTGTGGGTTTACTGATGCCAAAACAGGAGTTGGGCAGAGCTTATCTTTAATGGCAATACGAAGCCAGTAGTTGACATTCAAAATTCATCTGGTGGGGCCAGTCTACCCAAAGCAAACATTTTTCGGACTTTCAATGAATTGCACTAATGTTATCAACTTAAAGATGATGATGATGGGGCGGAGTAGACGCCTGCCTGACCTAGACTTGATTCTTGTGCTTTGCCACAACATCTCCAGTCTGGATAGGACTTTTAATTGCCATCAATATACATGGACGGATGCCACTGGGGTGCCCTTTCAAACGTTTCAGATGAGATGCAAGTTGCTTATCGTGCAAAGCGCTCCGAAACACTCTGGCGGAAAGGACGCTCTATCAAACACAATTAATTGTTAACATCATCATGGCACAGCAGCTGGACTGTACTGCGTGTCTGGTTAGTTTATTAGAACAGGTCAAAGGCTGGGCCAGACAATGCGTGAATGGCAGCAAAACGGATAGGAGATGCCAAGTGCTGTGGATGGTGGCATAAGCGTCCTCATTAATACAAATTTAGGCGAAACTATTGACTTCTGAGTGTTTAACGCCCTTCATTTTACAAAAAGTCCATGAGATTAAGTATTTCTCCCGAAAGGAAGACCTTCCTTATTATAAGCACATAACGGCATGCTGATACTCCACTTGAGACTCCACTTTTCGAGCAAGCGATTTTTTGTTCTGACAAAAATTCATCAAACTGCCGATTCCGAAAACTAGCCAAGTCGTAAGTGCCGACAAAATAATAAATCCTATCTGGACAAAGTTGATCTAAAACACAATAAGCGTAGAAAACTGTAAGGCCGTTCCAAGCTGTGTCGTCAATGATCTGAGATGACGCAAGTCCATTATTATAACACCGGATGAGAGGCACACTGGCTCACATCCGCGTTGGAAGGAGGAGGAGCGGGACGAGGAGGGCAATAGCTACGCGAACAGGAATCACGGTGACGTGCTCCAAAGCTTCACATCCTTGCACCGCTCCCGCCCGGCCGACCCCAGGCGTTTAAAGGGTGCGACTTGAAGCGACGTTGCACAAACGCTGCGGTGGCCGCGGGCGTGAGGCCCCCACTCCACTCCCCCGGTACTGCTGTGGCCGCCACGCGTGCAGCGCTGCTGATAACGAGCCAGTTGGCAGAAGAAGGGGGGTGGGTGGTGCCACTCGCTGTGGGCTACGGCTCTCGCCCGATTTCGCATTTCCAGATCCGCACAAGGGATACGGGGATACGCTCAAGGCCATAGGATTCTTTCTTCGGGGCACCTAGGCTGACGATTCGCGAAGCTGGCGGGAAGGAGCCCGAGACGAGGGTTTGTCTCTCGGGCAACGACAACGTCCGCCGGGAGGTGTTGACCAGGGGAGTGATGGGGAGGGGGGAGCACAGGTGGAATAGATCCACTTCTTGGCAGAGTTTGAGCGATCCGTACTTCACGGGTCCTGGAGTTCAACTGGGACAAGTGCGATGTCGTCTCCAATTACAAACGCAGGCACGAGGACCTCAGTCTCCTAATATAATTGCAGCCACACAGACGCTTGGCTGGAAAAAAAATGCCCGGTGCAAGTTCACCAATTTGGGTGAACAGCTATTAGCGTGGCAGTTTTGCACGGGTAAGCCTCAGAAGGAATGTGAGCAGCAATGTCGCCTTAACATGAGCAGATTCGTGCGAGCTGAGCTAATAACACTTTTTGTGGGAGATTCTCTCAGCTGACAGTTTCCGAGAGGACTAAAATCATGAAAGTCAAAAGAGAATATCAAGAACCCAGGGGAATTCCACACAGAACAGGGCGAGAACATACAACCTCCACACACGCCCAAGTCAAATCCAGGACCTCATTGCTGCAAGGTACGAATGTTACCATTACGCCATGCTGCCGCCAAATGTAGGATTCATGATTTAATTCACGGGATATATTTTTTTCTTGTCCTATTATGGTAAGTGTAGCGACCTCTTGAGGCAGCAGGGGTCACATGAACCAATGCCGTACAAGACATGCTAATCGATTCTTCAGCACGCAATCTGTCCCCGTCTATCTCGACCCTAAAAATCAATTTCCCCTCGTGATCCGAGGCATCACTAAAACACCCAGCGTTGACGAATCCACCGCAGGTACCAGATCGCGCTTCTCGCTGCGTGGCATTCACCCCGCTGTGGTTCGCACCGTTGGCCGTACTGTTTTCACCAAAGGTGCCCGCCACAAAAAGACGCGTCCTCCAAGCCCCGTAATTGTTTCCGTCGTGGGCCAGGGGTGACTTCTCTCGCGCCTCGGCGTGAGTCACGAAACATGCCGGCACGTCTTCCGTTTGATGCACGCGTCGAGACGCGTCTTCCGCACGCCTTTTTGCGGCACGTGTTTTTGTTTGCTTGTATCGGTTTGGAACAGAAGAGCGTTCGGTGAAAATGTGAATTTCGAGAGAAATTTGACACGTTGATTTTAATCGCCGAAGACAAATGTCGCTCCGGAATTTTACCAAACTCGCATAAAAAAACGTAAACAAAAAAATTACTTGAAACTTTCGTGACCGCAGGAATTCATATTCTTGGTTCTTTCGGTAAAGTCACGTAGGTAGAAAACTAAAATCTAATTTAAAAGCAAAAAACCCAAAACGTTTCGAAAAAACCCACGACGTTTCGATGGCAACACCGCTTGTATTGTGACGAAACGCCGTGGGTTTTTTTTGCTTTGATTTTAGTTTTCTATCTACGTGACTTTACCGAAAGAAGCAAGAATATTAAAAAAATACTGTGGATGTGCGAGTATTTGCAAACAGCAAATCCAGTCGTGCCATCCATACCAGAGATTTAGTCACAACGTGTGTGGGTGCGTGGGTGGGGGTTAGGGTAACCCCGTGTGTCACGCCGTGATCCAACACTTTAGAGAAGGCAGTGACAGATCCACACAGATTAGTCAAACTCCCAAACCGGCTGGGCAGGAAGGTGGGCAGGAAATGGCAGCGCAGCAAGTGGGTTTCGTGGACCCATTCTATGGGTAAACTCCAGCTTGCAATGGCGATCAATCTGTATTTAATGTGCTAAATATCGCCCTCGATAAAGTTGGCTTCTGTGTACATTGCGAAGGAAGGGGCAGGCGTTGACGAGATTCTCACAAGCCAAAGGTCCCAGTGCAGGACCCTCCTGAAAACGAGTATTGAGACCCAGTGAAGAGCTCCTCACTGGGTCTCAACACTCACCGTGCGGCCAGCCTTAGCCTACGGTCACAACAATACAGCCGAGGAAAGACCCCTTTCAAATTGCAAATTGTGAACTGAAATGCCGTCTCTTATTTTGCTGCAGATTTAAAGAGGACATTTGACATATTTATTCGTTAAAATATATTTTTTCCCCATGAGGCATTTTCTCAAGACCAGAGACTTCGTCGTTGACAGACAGAGACACGGGGCGAGAGACAGACAGAGACACGGGGCTAGAGACAGACAGAGACATGGGACTAGAGACAGACGGAGACACGGGGCTAGAGACAGACGGAGACACGGGGCTAGAGACAGACGGAGACACGCGGCTAGAGACAGAGACACGGGGCTGGAGACAGAGACACGGGGCTAGAGACAGACAGAGGCACGGGGCTGGAGACAGAGACACGGGGCTAGAGACAGACAGAGACACGGGGCTAGAGACAGACAGAGACACGGGACTGGAGACAGACAGAGACACGGGGCTAGAGACAGAGACACGGGGCTAGAGACAGACAGAGACACGGGGCTAGAGACAGACAGAGACACGGGGCTAGAGACAGACAGAGACACGGGGCTGGAGACAGACAGAGACACGGGGCTGGAGACAGACAGAGACACGAGGCTAGAGACAGACAGAGACACGGGGCTGGAGACAGACAGAGACACGGGGCTGGAGACAGACAGAGACACGAGGCTAGAGACAGACAGAGACACGGGGCTGGAGACAGACAGAGACATGGGGCTGGAGACAGACAGAGACACGGGGCTGGAGACAGAGACACGGGGCTAGAGACAGAGACACGGGGCTAGAGACAGACAGAGACACGGGCTAGAGACAGAGACACGGGGCTGGAGACAGACAGAGACACGGGGCTTGAGACAGAGACACGGGGCTAGAGACAGACAGAGACACGGGGCTGGAGACAGAGACATGGGACTAGAGACAGCCAGAGACACGGGGCTGGAGACAGACAGAGACACGGGACTGGAGACAGAGACACGGGGCTAAAGACAGACGGAGACACGGGGCTAGAGACAGAGACACGGGGCTAGAGACAGAGACACGGGGCTAGAGACAGAGAGACGGGGCTAGAGACAGAGAGACGGGGTTAGAGACAGAGGCACGGGGCTAGAGACAGACAGAGAGACGGGGCTAGAGACAGAGACACGGGGCTAGAGACAGACAGAGACACGGGGCTAGAGACAGAGACACGGGGCTAGAGACGGACAGAGACACGGGGCTGGAGACAGACAGAGACACGGGGCTGGAGACAGAGACACTGGGGCTGGAGACAGAGACACGGGGCTGGAGACAGACAGAGACACGGGGCTGGAGACAGACAGAGACACGGGGCTGGAGACAGACAGAGACACGGGGCTGGAGACAGAGACACGGGGCTAGAGACAGAGACACGGGGCTAGAGACAGACAGAGACACGGGGCTGGAGACAGACAGAGACACGGGGCTGGAGACAGACAGAGACACGGGGCTGGAGACAGAGACACGGGGCTGGAGACAGAGACACGGGGCTGGAGACAGAGACACGGGGCTAGAGAGAGAGACACGGGGCTAGAGACAGAGACACGGGGCTAGAGACAGAGACACGGGGCTAGAGACAGAGACACGGGGCTAGAGACAGAGACATGGGGCTAGAGACAGAGACACGGGGCTAGAGACACGAAGCTAGAGACAGAGACACGGGGCTAGAGACAGAGACACGGGGCTAGAGACAGAGACACGGGGCTGGAGACAGAGACACGGGGCTAGGGAGCCGCTCACCTGCCCAGTTCGCTGCTCTCCGCCAACGCGAACCCGCAGTGGAGGGGCTCCGTGTGGATGAGCGATCGCGCCTCCGCCACCAGCCCGAGGCGGACCGGCCCCTGCCCGGTCAGCATCCCGCTCGGCGCCTCCTCCCTCGCTGCCGATCTCTGTGATGCCACTGCTATCGCCGTCACATTTGCAAGACGCTGCGCTCTGGACACTTTCCTAGTAGCCCGCTGCCACCGCTGGTATTACAGGTGGTGGTGTCGCCTATAGCGGGGTGACCTCCTCCTCTTGGGCGCACGCAGTAGGCACTCGCACGGCACCGACGCAACACACCGAGGGGATCGCACAATTATGGGCGAAGTAACAACGCTAAGAAGTCACAGACGACGAAGCAGCAGCACCACCACCACAGCGTCACTCCTGCACGCCGTGATCGCGCCCATTGCTTCCCGCGGCCACGGCGTCCCGCGCGCTCTTTATAAACGCGGCGGTCACCGCCCACCGAGCCGATGCGGCCAATCACAGCCGGCGCTGGTGTCCAAGGGGGCGTGGGCCACATGCCGGTGGGCGGAGACGTGATTCTGGAGGACTTTCAGACTGGCTTATTCAATCTTATTCGGGGTTCAACGCGGAATTGTGTGATCATGCATCAGTGCCGGATTATCCTAGTAGCAATAGTAGATACATATGCTACGGTCCCCGCGCTTTCAAGGGCCCCGCGCTAAATGCATTCAAGCTGTCAATTCCGGTTCAGTGATTCTGCACTTGCTCTATCACTATAGTACTATACTGCTTTCAACTTTTATGAACGACTGGGTGTTTAAGGTTAGGGATTTGTGGTATTATCTGGATATTTAGCAAATGAAAAAATGCAATTACTTTACTGTGCAAGTAGAAAATGTATGTGTTTAAAAAAAAATTGCGTCTCTTTATAACATATGCTACAGGCCCACACGAGCTTCATCCTGCACTGGTGATCATGCTGCTGTTGTTGCGTTAACAGTGATGCACATGCACAGTTAACAACAACAAAATTACATATTTGCCAATAAAAACTGCGGCCTTAAAATGAAAGACGTTTCAGGTAATGGGCCTTCTTCACGGCACACAGAGGCCAAGGGAAGGTAGGATTTTGGAGGCTGCACTTTACACGAAAAGTGTTTCACACCTCCACCCCCCGCCACACCTACAATGAATATTGAGTCCAAGCATGAAAACAACTCGACGTATTTACAAACAGAGCTACTGTTGCACCAGACATTAACTTCGCATTGGGATCACACGGCGTGGATTAACGTTACACCCCACACAGTAATTCGATCCTGTGCTCTGGGAAGACGAATCCACCGTCACAGGAATGTGGAATTTCCACCACCACTGGCTCAGGGCTACTTCTATCAGTGGAAATGAACACCATCGCCCTCAGCTCGAGCCACAACATCGTACACCGGGCTCCAGGACCACGAATAACAACAATAGCAGCTGGTCAATTGCTAGAAAAAACGTGTTTTGGCTTTAAAAGAATGCCAAGTCAATGTCGCTACTACTCTCACAAAAAAAACGGCTTATTCCCATTACGTTGCTGAACAAACATTTGACCGACACAAAGCACACTCGTGTGGCGTATGAACGTAGAAGAGTCAAAGAATCACCACGTGGGGGGGAATCGCTCGGAGCACCGCCCGTCAACAGTAAAAACGACATTTATTGTTTTGATTCCAGCACACAATCCGAGAACATCAACAACAAAACGGATCTGTCTGGTACCATCGGTCACTATTGGCGGCTTGATAATGCAACAGCCCGTGCTCCAGCAAAAAAAAAAACCCTCGCTCTTTGAAAATATAAATGTGCAAAGTGGTGAGACGCGGGTAGGAATATCTGCTTGATGCAAAACGGTATGGACAAAAAACTAAACAAAAACCAGCCCACACCGAGTTGCAGCACTGCCGATACTCCTACTTCTGTTCCATGCTCACAACTCCACGGTGCTCGACCACGCGGTCAATCAGCGCCCCATCTCCGCAGCATCGAACACCGCGAGATAATCAACGGCGTTCTTTGCACCGACCCTTCATAAATTATACTGAAGCAGCCAAGGCAACACGAACGAACAAAAAAACATATCAAAACTGACTTCCACTTACTCGACCATTTTATACAAGGAAATGTGAAATACAATAAGAATAATGAAATGCTGTGAATAACACACTGGAACTCTGGTGTATGCTATAACGAATCGACTGCGATACTCTTCAAACAACGCTCTGACTACACAAGCAACGTAAGACATCTCGCTGTGGATACCAGCCCTCTTGGTGTATCCACAGACAAACACACCTCCAGTACAGCCATCGCACCTCATCCAGGTCACAGGTCAGGCGAGCGTGTGGCCCGATCGATCTGTTTGGGTCCATGCAGCGGTGGCGATGGTATCATCACGAGTCATCAGCCAAATGCACCGTAAGCACATATGCATATACCACAAACACACGTATATACGCCATGTAAAGTGTACATTTAAGCTGGTTAACTTGCGCGTCAATGAGCCCTGCAACGGTTTGCACGGACGGCGTAATAAATCTCAACGGCGTCTTCACCTGCACGAATAAAACACCCGGCGCGTATATCATCACAGCGTCACCCGCTTTGTCTTCTAAGTGACTTTTTTTCATAAATAAAGAGTGGCAAGCAAAGTGCCCATTGGTAAAAGCAATTCCTCGACGCTGCACGGGCGCTGTGGCCTCTCGTTCGACCCCTGTCCGCCACAGGTTTGCGCTTTGGGACGCGAGAGACCGCTCTTTGTGGGCACGGACCAGCCACTTCATCCCGCCGATCGGTGCCGGTGCCGGGTATCTCGGCCAGTGCCTGTCCCCGTGAGCTGCTCCACAATGGGAAAGACCGGCAAAACGAAGCAAGCAGGGCCGTCCACGCTCCGCTCCGGTTACATCACAGCCGCGCGTGTCCTCCTTCCCAACACGGCGGAGGGATGTACAGCGACAGAAACGTCGTCTACATGCACCCGTACGCGAACCGTCCACAGTTGCGACAAAATGCGGCGGAGTGAATGCGCACGCGTGTACATCGATAGCGTTCTCGGCCAGTGAACAGATGCGTCGACTAAAAAGGACAAACACAAACAGTCCTCCCTGCCCAATGGAGAGTTACGCGTTGTCCGCAAACACATTTTTTAAAAAAAATGTACAAACAAAACATACATAAGCCACATGTGTGTGTTACATGTCATGTGGGAATTCCTCGTCGCCAAACGATGAGACGCGCATTTCTTTTTGTCACTCAGAACAAGAGGATTCACGCTCCATTGGTGGGTGGAATTGTTTTCTATTTGCTGTTGGTTGATAGTACGCATTCAATTGGCAGTCCAGAATGATAATGGTTGCATGATAACATCACTGCTCATGTAACCACCTGAAAAGGTTTTCAAATAAAATGTTTTCATCATTAGATAAAAGAAAGCTCTCAAGGGGTTGCAACCCACTCTCGTGTATGCCACACGCGAGTGTCTGACAGCTCACTGCACAACAATTCACGGCTGTGCAGAAAAGAAACACGTGAGGAGCAAAAAAAAAACAAATGCACATATAGGTTGTTTCCATACTGTAATGAGACGTCTTTATCGGTGAGCAAAGCGCATTGCTCACAACCTGGGCTCCACCAATGATAAGGGAAGTTGTCTTCCCCTGAACCTCCCAGCAAGTTTACACGGCACCAACACAGGCGTGGACGATGGCTCAATTGGACAGGCTATGAATGTAGCTTTAACTGTAGCCCAGTGCAGGGCTTTGCTAAGGCAATGATATTTCTGGTCAAATGGATGTTGATTACATGTGCACGTATTCCTAATCCCGTGGCAGTGCCGCCTCTCCTGTAAACCACATGGCTCACGATGCAGCACGCTGTCATTGTGTAACATCACAAACCAAGGCGACTCATTCCGAAGTAATTTCCAACGCATTTATATAGTAAACCATAATAAAAGTGCCTGGTACATTTAAATTAAAATGTAACTTCTGTATATACAAGTAGTTAAAATAGGTATGCCTTAATGACAAATACAGTTTGTTTATTTTTCAGTTTCTTCTACGGTGAAGTGTCGATGTTTAACTTGGTGAGATCTATAAACCAACTGTATTGAGCCCATACCTTATTTTGGCTGGCCATCGAGCAAAGACGGTTACCGCATCGCAAGCTTTCAGATGCGCTTCTGCGGTCGCTTGCGACGCTCTTTCCTTCCGATAATGGGAAGCCAGTCCAGCTATGCACTTTTAAATCTGGACTGAAAACTAATTTCCTTAGAACTGATTTTTTTCCGTTTAGTTTGTCCTTCCCCCAAACCTCCGATTATCACGGTTGGCTCCGTGCGATGCGAAAGACTTTCAACAAGAGTGGAGGTTTAGTCTCTTGCCTTCTCAACGTTGCACCTCATAGCTGAAGGGGGAAAATTGAAGGGGTGAGAGGCTTTGGGGGGGGGGGGGAGGGGGCAAACCTCCACGAGGAATTTGCACCAAAATCCTATCGTCGGAGGCAGTCTGTCAAAACGTGTTACGAGGACAACCAAAACTGGAGAGCTCACAAGAGTGGGCTCCATTGGCACACTACACCTGCACACGAAGACCACGTCGTAGCCCAACCGCCAAACCAACTCGCTAAACGAACATCACATTGAGGAACGTAACCAATCCTTAGACACAGGGCAAGGACAACCCCGAGTGGCCAGGTGACTGTGCACTCGGACGCAGCCCACGCTTGCTGAGATTGTTGTGCCTTGGTATCCGTTGTGTGCCTGGGTGTCCATGCACATGCATAATGATACAGGCCCATGTTTACTGGTGCTTACCCACATAAACACATTCGTACGCAAGTAGATTAAATGTATGCAAAGTGGCCGATAATACATCATAGATAATAAACAGTACTGTATATTTACTTACGTATAGCAATCAGTTATTGAGGTGAGTCCACTCCAATTCATAATTTTGGAGACCGATGTAGACAATGATACAATTCATTTTTTTGTAATTTAGTTGAAAAGTAATTTAAAATCTTGAACTTGGGATAAGACGCTGATGCACAATGATCTAGTACGGTTGACGTTACGGTAGCTTTAATGTCCACTTTGGAGCAGATGGCATCTTTGGTAATTTCCTGAAAGATCACTAGGAAGCAGTTGGGATGAAACGGATAACGTGGAGCAGAGGCGAATCTAGGAGAGGGATACGGGCCTGACAATCAAAACAGGGCCCTTCATTAACATAAAATATTTTCTCTGAGAAATATCAATTCAAAAAAACTATTTTTTTGAATTGATATTTTCTCTGATAAATATCAATTCAAAAAAACTATTTTTTTCAGGGTCTCAAGGAGGGAGGTTGGGGTGGGGGAGGATGATGATGATGATGGAGGACGAAGATGCAGCAAGGTCCACTCGGTCGATATTGTCACAAGTAGCCTCACAGCCAATACAGCTCGCAGCGATTGCTGTCACAGAGAGTGGAGAGCCCTGTACCGGGTGCAAGGAAACCGTCAAATGACCAACAGCCTTGAGGCCTGAGAACACCTGGACACAAACCGCACACGCTTGTGGAGGGAGGTGTGTTTCTCTGCCACAAGCTTAAAAAACCCTTAAATATTGTGACTTGAACGTTTTAAGAATGACTGTAAAACATGACGCAAATTTGAAGCAAAACAACAACCTTACAATTTGGCGATCAAGATAAAGTTATTAGATTGTCAACTGACTCCTGAAAATACAGCTTTCAAACCGATAAACGGTGAAGTTGATTACGTGCGAATGTGCCGCTCCTCAATGCGTGTGCAGAGTGTTATCTAAGGTGATGCAGTGCTGCATCTCCATGAAAATGCGTCTGCAGCCGAAGTGGCGAGCAATGCCAATTACCACTGCACTGGACTCTTGCCAAGTGCCACACGGGCATAGACGAAGAATACATCTACTGCTGGGTTTACAGAGCCCCAGCAGGTGTGGGCACGACCGATACCTGCAGAGTATCATCACAGCAGGGTAGGCTCACGCACAATGTTATTAATTACAATATATGTTTTTTTTAGGAATGCACTTACAACCAGGTTGCATTTGCAACAAGTCACGAGCTTCGTGACTGGTTGCAAATTGTTAGGTGATTTAAATGACTGCCTTGAAGTGCACAGTTGTTCTATGTTGTTGATGAGAAATTAATAAACTGCCTTCTCCAATGGACTGGCCCTAGCCGTATCTATACCCGCTTTCTATTCTGCAGGGGCAACACAGGGTGGCAGTGCAGTGGTAACACCTGTGCCCCAAAGCAAGAAGGACCTGGGTTCAACTCCTGGCCCTGGCACCTTTCTGCATTGCGTTATGTTCTTCCCCTGGTCTGCACGGTTTTCCTCTGGGTTCTCCTTGCTTCCCAATAGCGAATGGGCGCCACAAAGACGAGATGTTAACTACCTCGCCTGGTATACAGGAAGTCGTGGATTCGATCCCGACCCTGACGCCTGTATATTTGAGGTTTGCATGTTCTCCCCATTGTGGCGTGGATTTTTTTCCGGGTCCTCCGGAGTATTTGGCTGACATAAATTTCCACGTGATAAGCCGCTGCAATAATCTATCATTTGGGGTCAGGTGGCTTCTGAAAAAGAGCTAGATAGCTCAGTGGACCTTACCTGATAAATAAATAAAGTTTCATAGTTTAATTAAACACATACAATGTCATTGGTGTTGGCCAAACATCCCAATGTAGCAGAACCTTTATGAAAATTTGTCTTTGGACTCATTGTGGCTTTCCTGGGTAAACAAGTAATTAACAACTGATTGTTCTGCATCGCTCTGACAGCTGTTTCCCGGTTGTGCAGTAAACATCGGACCTGCGCCAGATGTGCTCGGGTTACGTCCAGGTTCTACGGCCTCTACACTGACGATAGGCAATGAGAGAGAAGCGAGAGTCGCCAATGACCACTGGAGCGGACGTCCATCAGCCACATGCTAAACATTCGGAAGAAGACAACAAGTCGGGCTACATATTGTCGAGTGACAAGATCCTTATAAAAGCACATGACAGAACAGAATACGCCGTGTAGAAGACTACACGTACAGCCTGTAAACATTTCTAGGTGCTAAAATCATTCTGCGTCGAGTGACATAACAAATCACTTTGAACAAATACCGCAAGTTTACAAAGATACGCACTGCACGGCTAAAAAAATTACGCGAGCTGAGTGGTTAGACGCCGTTTCCTGGTTACAGTCCCGTTTTGCACTCCGCACGTGCGTGTTTTTGCGTGAAAATGCCAGCCGTACTGCGTGCTTTAGTTTAAAATGTCGTGTATGAAATGATTTCTTTAATTTCTTCACCGTACGGATGAAAGTCAATATTTGAAAGTCCAGTTGTGTCCAGCTTCAGACCGGGGGCAGAGAGCAGCGCCTTCGTGGGAGAGCGAGCGGCTGCCCTGTGCAGCTCCAGCGACGACCGCGGTGGCTTGGAGATGTTAACTACCTCGCCTGGTATACAGGAGCTCGTGGGTTCGATCCCGACCCTGACGCCTGTATATTTAAAGTTTGCATTTTCTCTCCGTGGTCGTGCGGATTTTTCTCCGGTCCCTCCGCGTTTTCCCCTCCACATTTAGAAACAACATGTGTTTAGAGTATTTGGCTGCTATAAATTTCCACCTGATAAGCCACTTCTCGTTGAGCTATCATTTGTGGCCAGGTCGCTTCTGAAAAAGAGCTATATAGCTCAGTGGGCCTTCGCGAATAAAATAAAAATAGTTCAATAAAAAATAAAAAATAGTTTAGTTTTAGTTTTAAGTGCACCGTGCAGGTGTCATCAGCGACACTTTTATTCTCCGAGGGTTGGAGGATCACACAAACTCAGAAAACTCCCTACGACGTGGGGAGTCACGGACACAAAATCCTGGCTTGTCCATGGTGTGTAAGTGGGTTAATCCCTTTCTGTGTGGGGATTGAGCATTACCGCCATCCCCCCTCCCCTCGAACGCGCGGGGTCAGCCAAACATTCCCATTATAGAACCGCAGAACTTGGGCAATTGTCTGTGGTTTACCGTGCAACAAAAAAGCCTGCGTTTGAATCCGCGATCTTCATGACTGATGCCGAATAAAAAATAAATACAAATTAAATATTATTATTATTACACTAATCGGGCATCATTTCGTGGTGCTACCGCAGGAATCTTGGGGCATATTTGTGTGGCGTGGCGCTTGGAGGTTGTCCAAACAATGGCAACAATATCTGCGGCACCACACGGTTGACTTCCCCGGAGGTGGCTGATGAAGACATCCTTCTGCAATGCAGCATCCAGGACCCCACAGCTGCGCTTTGTGCTACCACCCTGCGCGGGGAGTGGGCAAACGAAAGACGTGTCGTCGTCGCTGTAACGGACGAGACCGCTCACGCCTCCAGCCCCATTCATGTCCCCTAGCCGTCTTTGTCAAAACGACAACTGTGGACTGTGCGCTGGTTAGCCATGGGCCGGCCTACTCGGCGGTGAGGGCTTCTGTGCTCGGATGTGGAATCAATCGCAAGTTGTTTTTTTCTTCATGCTTTCTAATCTCCACGCTTCAGGACACATTTAAATTACACAATGTGGGCGACAAGAGGATCTAGTATTCACAACGCAGTGCGGCGTCCAATCCCAAGGCCACCAAAACTTCCTCGACGTAACCGCAGCGGTGAGCGGGCGGAGACGCGGCGGTTTGCGTACACACTCCAGAGCCCTGGCACACCTCCGTGCGTCTCTCGCCACTTGTGCTCGAGGAGGCTGCGGGAGGCCCCGGGGGTGCAGGGTGCCGGTCGGCGGCAGTCGCTCTTGGGGCTGCTTACTCCAGGCCGAAGGTGCTCGTCTCTTCCACGGCGGTGAGCAGCTTCTCGTAGAGCATGGCGTACGACGGGTAGGGAGGCAGATCCAAGCGGTTGAAGCACGTGTGAGCTCTGTGGGACAGCACGGACACGCGTGTCACGTACAACAGAAGTTAACATCGGGACGATCGGAGGTTCCGATTTTGTTTTAATCAGTGCGGCAATTGTGGATGTGATGACCATCATGGCCCCATCATGTGGCCAGGCGTCAAAAGTTATATTTTCCAAGAACCGGCAGATCCAGATCTATTGCTGCTTCTTTAGGATGGCAAGGTGAGGTTAGCAACGATACACGTAAACGTCTGTGTGTGTGTCGAGGTTATGAAGCTGTTTAACAGCTTCTGTGTAGGTTTGGTGGACGTTGGTGATACTGCTTGTGAATTCACGGTACGTGCAGTATTGGATCATGTGATCCATGGTCTGTGAATCGGCGGTGCAGGGGGAAGTGTGTGATCATGTGACCCATGGTCTGTGAATCGGCGGTCCAGGGGGCAGTGCGGGATTATGTGACCCATGGTCTGGCACGGCGACCACAGCCACATTGCCGACTGTTTTCCATTTTCCATCAAATATGATGGAGGTGACCGCATCTGCCTTACCCTGGTCTGCAGAGGTTTAGGGCTGACCACTGTTTCCAAGGTTAGGGGTCGAACCCCAGCGGTTCATGTGGGGGTCAGCGACCAGCTCAATGTATATGAACTAAGTGTTGCGCTACAATTCCCGCCACTGTCTGGGCAGATAACCTAAGTTTATCAACAGCATTATGACATATTCTTAGCTCTTTCGGTAAAGTCACGTTGAAGGGAAACAATAAAATAGTAAAATATATATGAAACAATAAAAATTCTCACGACGCTTCGACCATAACACAAACGGTCGTCATCAGCTGTGTCGGTTTGCATTAACGACCGTTTGTGTTATGGTCGAAACGTTGTGAGAATTTTTATTGTTTCATATATATTTTATTATTTTATTGTTTCCCTTCAACGTGACTTTACCGAAAGAGCTAAGAATATGAATTACTGCAGTCACGAAAGCTTTAAATCAAAGCATTATGACAGTTATAATGAGCCCCAATGTGAGTCAAATGAATATTTTCCAAGACCGAGCATCTTTTAAATTATGTGCCAAACATCTTGCCCATTAGGATCCTCGGATGGAATGCTCATTATAAATGTATTATTATTATTATCATGTAAAGGCTGATGGAATCATCCAGGGCAGTGTGGTCAATGAAGTTGGAGCAGAAACATTGACACTGGCAAGAAAATAGTTATCCTCTTGATTTAAAAAATTTAAATCTTTATTGTTTAAAGTAGACAGGGTCCTACTGAGAGTCAGTGCATCTATTTCACGGGAGACTTGCATTTCTCTGACATTTAACATTTCAGATATATATAAAATATAATTCTTTATTTAAGTGAGCTGAAAACTCATGACTTTACCGAAAGAGCTAAGAATATGAACTCATAAAGAATCTGGAAAACTGGAAGTACATGAAGAGTTAATGTCATAATTTAAGTTTCTAACATATTTGTATTATTGAGTTTATATAGATAGTATGCTAGCTCGTTAACATCTCGGTGGCGAGATCTTAACTGCCTCGCGTAGTATCAAGGAGGTCGTGGGTTCGATCCCAACCCTGACGGCTGTATAGTTAGAGTTCTCCCTGTGGTCGTGTGGATTTTTCTCCAGGTCTTCCGGTTTTTCCTTCCACATTTATAAATATGCGTTTAGAGTATTTGGCTGCGATACATTTCCACACAATAAGCCACATCATTGAGCTATTATTTGTGATAGCCAATGTCGCTTCTGAAAAATAGCTATATACAGTGAGGGAAAAAAAGTATTTGATCCCCTGCTGATTTTGTACGTTTGCCCACTGACAAGGAAATGATCAGTCTACAATTTTAATGGTAGGTTCATTTGAACAGTGAGACAGAATAACAACAATAAAATTCCAGAAAAACGCATGTCAAAAATGTTATAAATGGATTTGCATTTTGATGAGGGAAATAAGTATTTGACTCCTCTGCAAAACATGACTTAGTACTTGGTGGCAAAACCCTTGTTGGCAATCACAGAGGTCAGACGTTTCTTGTAGTTGGCCACCAGGTATGCACACATCTCAGGAGGGATTTTGTCCCTCTCCTCTTTGCAGATCTTCTCCAAGTCATTAAGGTTTCGAGGCTGACGTTTGGCAACTCGAACCTTCAGCTCCCTCCACAGATTTTCTATGGAATTAAGGTCTGGAGACAGGCTAAGCCACTCCAGGACCTTAATGTGCTTCTTCTTGAGCCACTTCTTTGTTGCCTTGGCCGTGTGTTTTGGGTCATTGTCATGCTGGAATACCCATCCACGACCCATTTTCAATGCCCTGGCTGAGGGAAGGAAGTTCTCACCCAAGATTTGACGGTACATGGCCCCGTCCATCGTCCCTTTGATGCGGTGAAGTTGTCCTGTCCCCTAAGCAGAAAAACATCCCCAAAGCATAATGTTTCCACCTCCATGTTTGACGGTGGGGATGGTGTTCTTGGGGTCATAGGCAGCATTCCTTCTCCTCCAAACACGGCGAGTTGAGTTGATGCCAAAGAGCTCCATTTTGGTCTCATCTGACCACAACACTTTCACCCAGTTGTCCTCTGAATCATTCAGATGTTCATTGGCAAACTTCAGACGGGCATGTATATGTGCTTTCTTGAGCAGGGGGACCTTGCGGGCGCTGCAGGATTTCCGTCCTTCACGGCGTAGTGTGTTACCAATTGTTTTCTTGGTGACTATGGTCCCAGCTGCCTTAAGATCATTGACATGATCCTCCCGTGTAGTTCTGGGCTGATTCCTCGCCGTTCTCATGATCATTGCAACTCCACGAGGTGAGATTTTGCATGCAGCCCCAGGCCGAGGGAGGTTCACAGTTCTTTTGTGTTTCTTCCATTTGCGAATAATCGCACCAACTGTTGTCACCTTCTCATTAAGCTGCTTGTCAATGGTCTTGTAGCCCATTCCAGCCTTGTGTAGGTCTACAATCTTGTCCCTGACATCCGTGGAGAGCTCTTTGGTCTTGGCCATGGTGGAGAGTTTGGAATCTGATTGATTGATTGCTTCTGTGGACAGGTGTCTTTTATACAGGTAACAAGCTGAGATTAGGAGCACTCCCTTTAAGAGTTACCTGTGTAAAAGACACCTGGGAGCCATAAATCTTTCTGATTGAGAGGGGGTCAAATACTTATTTCCCTCATTAAAATGCAAATAAATTTATACATTTTTGAAATGCGTTTTTCTGGATTTTCTTGTTGTTAGTCTGTCTCTCGCTGTTCAAATAAATCTACCATTAAAATTATAGACTGGTCATTTCTTTGTCAGTGGGCAAACGTACAAAATCAGCAGGGGATCAAATACTTTTTTTCCCTCACTGTAGCTCAGTGAGCCTTATCTGGTAAAATTAAATGTTTAGTTTAGTTTAAAATAAAAAGTTTATTTTTGTTAAAAATAAAAAAATGAGTTTAGTTAGTTTAGTAAAAGGAGCATATCCAATGTGTGTGAATTGGAAAACTAGCCGAATTAAAAATAACTCATAAACAATGCTTACATATGAAGCTTAATGCGAATTCTCATTATTGCAACAGTTGACTTGCTTCATGTGCCAGCGCTAACTGCAGGACGTACTCAACTTAAACAACATTTTTATTTTTTACCAGGTATTGCCCACTGAGCTATATAGCTATTTTTCCGAAGCGACCTTGACCGAAAATGATAGCTCCACAAAGCGGGCTTATCAGGTGGAAAATTATAGCAGCCAAATACTCGAAACGTGTACACTGTGTCATCAAGATCGTTCTGAGCCGAACATTTTGCTTCGTTGAGCGCACCCGAGAACAAAAGGCTCCGACATCTTCTTTGGTGGTCACGTGGTGGTGGTGGTGGTGGTGGGTGATTGAGCTTCACAAAGAAAAACCCGGACGTCGCATCACAAAAACAGGGGGGAGAGGGGTGCCCTCACTCTAACCGGCGGTCTCTCCAAATTGCGTGCTGTAGGGCCTCTTGAGCGGGCTTTTAGTGTTGTGTAATGTGACACAGAGTGGGGCGGTTATGGATGACCTCAGCGCAGACAGGGTGGCCCCACTAGCCCCGAGCCACTCCAGGTTTGGCGGTGCAGAGTTGCTCGTCATAAGAATGTTGCGCTGAAACTGCACCACTTTAAAAGTTCATGGAGAGTGGCGTTAAAAGTTAACTTGAAACGTTCATGGAGAGTGGCGTTAACTTTTGAAGTGGTGCAACTGCAGCGCAACATTCTTATGATGAGCAACTTCTGCACCGAACACTGCAGGAAAGTTTCCGTGTTGACTTGCTGCCTGCCTGACATCAGGGACGTTTAACTAGGCGAAAATATTTTAGCCAGGTGAGAATCAATCAACGAATTATTTGACACAGAATTAGCAAACTGCATACACTGGCCTACTCTTGAGAATGTTGCCACATTGTCTTCAATGTTCACTCTGTCGTCGACAAAGCACTTTGACAATTCCCTATAGAAGCTACGGGACAGCATCAATGATCAGTTCCCTCTTTACACAATGGCCCAGTGGCAATTGTTGGATATTCAACAGCCCAAGCGTAACACCTGTTTTATTGTCAGAAAGGGTAAAACCTATTCTTATTTTTCATACTGAGAAGCATATTATTAAAACCGCTGTGTTTGCCATTCTCCCACCACTGTGCAGACTTGTGAAGTACGCGTCGGCGGCAAAAGTAATCGTGAATGTGTCTCGTTCAAGTGTGCACACGCGGGCAATCGTTCACTTTTAGTTTTTTTTTCATGTTCCGATTACAGCTGCGCTCGGCTGCCGCGAGAGGCTCGACGTTGAGTTGTGGAACGCAAGAGCGGAGGGGACCACGATGTGGCGCGGCACGGCACGGCGCGGGGGACCAGGAGGATCGTGCGATGCCAGAGCCGGAGGGGGACAGTGAGAACGGAGGGCTCGTGGCAGAGTCGTAGGTCGCAGAGTTCACTCGCCGCTAGGGCCGGATACTCAGCAGGGCATTGAAGGGGGGCGCGACGTGAACGCTGATGCACGACCAGCACGTAACGCTGCGTAACGATTAACGCTGGCACTCTGTATTTGATAGGTGGACAGTAACACCCCGGTTAACGTCGCGAATGCGTTCCGTTCCGACGACGAATTTCGAAACGTCAATCAAAGCAATGTTTCCACATCACCAAAATACCGCACGTCAATCATAGATTGTGCTCTCCGGCACAGTACATTTCTTTACGTGCGACGCAAAGCAGTTTGTGAATTGCCGATCGCTAACGGCGTTTGCTGAGCAGCGACTGCTGGACTGGATTCGCCAAGGGGGGGGTGGGGGGGGGGGAGGGGTCGAACGCTGTGCGGTTGGGGCGACGGCGGCTCACGAAACGTGGCCTTCACCTGGGCAGCGAGGTGATCCGGCCCCACTTCTCGATGCAGAACTTGCGGGGCCCGTTGCTGCCGCGCAGCGCGGCAAACCCCTCGTACGGGATGCTCGACGTGCCCGTGACGAACTGGGGGGACAGCGCAAGGAGGGAGACACAACGGTCATCGATCTGTCACAACGACACCAGCGGCTACGATTGCTCGATAACCATTACTATTACTACTTGTACACTTGTTTAGCCACGTAAACTTCAACGAGTCACAAGACTCTTTTGCGAGAAAGTCCTGCCAAGTTTTTTGTAGGTGGGGGTGATGTTGCTGCTGTTGTGTGGAATCCCAATGGAGTAAATTGGCAGTAATGTTTCAGCCTTGGGATGTTTGGCCAATGCCAGAAACATCGCGTGTTGTTTTAAGCTTTTTAAATTGCATTTAGGCTCACACAAGTGCAACACGTGATCACCATCAGAACATAGACTGTAAGAACATACCTATACACTGCAAAACACTGATTTGATCTGCAAATTATTTTACCTGTGATGCATACGCCACTTCACTGCAGACATTAGGAGTCCCTACACTGTGATATTTTTTTTGTGTCTCTAAAAGTTTAAAATGCAATGTGCATGAGGAGGCCGAACATCAGCGGGATATCGATGAGCCCTCTACTCCCCTTCCTGCCGGTGCTGCTGCAGTCAGGTAACTGCAGGGCGGTGCCAATTGCCCCCCCCCCCCCCCGAGATAAACATCATTACTCTGCCTTTCCGAAACCTATTCTGCATGAGGCAGAGATGCAGCAGTGTCGCACTCATTGTACACAAAGTGCTTGCCACAACTGAACCACAATACCTTCCTGATCTCAAGGACGGTCACCACATCGCGCGCTATCCGATGCGCTTCAGCGGCCGTCTGGAACGCTCTTCTTTCCGATATTAGGAAGCCACCGGAGCTATGCACTTTTAAATCTAGATTGAAAACTAATTTCTTTAAAACTGCTTTTTGTGGTTAGTTTGTTGTCATTTTCCCCGCTTAGCGCGGTCGGCTACGTACTGTGCGAAGGGAGTTCAACATACATACAGTGGAAATGGTGAATGCCAAGTTAAAGTTCTTGTTAACACGAAGAGTTTGGTAAAAAAAAAATAAGAACGGTGGTTTGCACGATGAGAAACCCTGAACCGCAGGCCAACTCTCAACACTGGCTGCCACCTCTGTGATGGAAACACGCGGTGCTACCCACTCCGCCGCTGCCAGTCAAAGGTGAACAAGTTTGCATTCATAGAAATGAACGCGCGTTGGTGGAAAGATGTCGACGGAAAGCTTTCAATTTTCAGCACGAATTTCCATGATGCGTGAACGAGAAATATAACACCACGAACGGTGAGAGAGGCTTACATTCTTACGTGCCGTGTGTTCAAACTTTTTTTTTATGTCAGTGTTATTGACGAATGTGTTGAGTTTTATTGTAGTTGTACCGAATGAATATAGGCATGTGTGGCAACGCATCTATTCAAATAAAATTGATTGATACGCTCACAAGACACACACGGAATAGTGCACGAAATAATCCACTATTTGCGATGTATGCAGCCTGCATGCAAATGATTCTCTTACATTTAGGCCGGCAGAACAGACAAAACTGGAGACATGAGGCAAACAACACGACAAACAATACAAACGAGATGGCAAAAACAAAACAAAATTAACAAAATAAAGGATGATATCCAATCGCGCACTTGAATCATGACAATTGATTGAATAGCCAGAGGTGCAAGGTCACATGCCTACATGTATAATACATTGCACACATGCCACGTACAGCTGATCTCGAAGAGTGCTTGCTGTGAGTGGTGGTGCTGTCTCTGCTAGGAGGGCTGCTGTGAGTGTGTGTGGCGTGGTGGTGTAGCGGTTAGCGCACTGCACTACGAACCCGGAAAGCAGAGTTTGATTCCCGCTCACGGCCAACACCAGTGACGATTATCTGAACCGGTCCTGGGTCTCCCCTAGGTCGACTCAGCCTCAAATGAGTACCTGGTGCGATGTGTAAACATCGCAACTAGGGAGACAAACGCGGCCGGGCGTGGTGTTGGCTACCCACCCCCTCGTGTGCCATGCCGGCGCTTTATAGGTGCTCGCTAACAGCACTTGCCCTAAAAGTCTGTTCAGGCTATACGGGGGATCTTTGCCTGATCTTTGTGGTGGTGTGGTCTGTGCTAGGGGGGCTGCTGTGTGTGGTGCTCTGTATGTTTTAACCTGCAGCAGCCTCAGCCTCTGCTCGTTGTTGAACCTCTCCACGGCCGCCCAGAACCAGCGCATGACGATGTGGCTGTCGTGGTATCCTGAGCACATCGAACGAGGCACAGGAGCACACACACACACACATTTCATTGTCAAGGTATACTGCAAGTCAACGAACTGTACACGGGGGAATGGAAATTGCAATCAGAACCGAGTTTTTGGACAGGCCGCGTAAACTTTTAAACAATAAATTAATGTAGCAATATCTCTATTTAGAAAATAACATTTAAAAAGTACATTACTCCTCAAGTTGTCTTTACAATACGGAGCCGTTTCGACTCGAGGTCCCATTCATGACCTCTCTGCGCAAGTCGTGGTGAGGTTTCGGCACCTTTCCCATTGGCTCAAGCGAACAGAGGCCCTTGCTCATCATGTGCACGCCCGCCAATCCCGTTGCGAAGGAGAGGTGAGGGGAGGATTCCGCGGGGTGTCACATCGCCAGCAGGTCATTGTTATCATCCCCATCGAGGCTGATCACCCAGGCCCTGAGACACGATAACGATCCTCCGCGTAGCCGTGCCAACTGCAGTGGCGAGTCACGTCATGGCTTGAGCCGCTCAGTTGCGTTCAGAAACGCACGAGGGAGCGGCTAAGCCGTGGCCTGGCTCAGACTCAGCCTCATGGGAGCCATGCTGAGCACGGCTGGGACCAGGCTCAGAGCTTTCCAAGCTGAGCACGGTGGCTCTGAGCCAGCTCGCTTGAGGTCAGAGCCGAGCCTGAGCCGAGCCATGACTAAGAACATGAGCTTTAGAGGGCAGCTAAAAATGCCGGCACAACACACGAGGTCGTGCGGTCAACACTACGTTCGGCCGCCTTTGTCTTCAACATGCTGATATTTACAAACCACATTAGGTAGTCAAGTAAGGCTGCGTTAAAACTGTACATATCACGCACAACATAATAATGTCATTAATCTCAGAAAGCCGATGGAGAGGGTCAATGTTTTTTTTTTCTTCCAGGAAGCAGCTCTGCATTGGGACGTTTCCTAAATGGATTTTCAATGAGTGTTTTGCATGTGGGAGGAAAGTAGAGTGCCCAGAAGGAAAAAAAAACCCACACATACGACAGGATAACTCACAAGGTCTGCGTAGGATAAGTTCACAGACACTTTTTCATGACTAACCCTTGTCACCAAAGCGCCGGATTACAGGTGTGACCCCATTGTGTCGGGCTCCGCTAAAGTTTACGAAGGCACGTAAACCAAAGCGTGTTTGACAAGCCCTGGAGCCCGCTGTGGCGGCTGCTGGCATGGTACGGGAGGGGCCCAGGCAGCAAGGATCCTGGCACAGCCTGTGCTGCTCTGATGTAATGTGAACAATCAGAACATGCGGTGAAACATTAACAGCTTAGGGCCAGATTGATGATCTAACTGACACTTCATTGTTTAATTGGGGCATTGGTGTCATATTTAATAACAATTTCATTCAACTATAAACTGGAAATAATTCTGGTGAATTCAAAGGGGGGGTGGTGGTGTTGGGAGAGGTGCGTTAGCTACAATTAGAGCCTTACTTAATCTAATTTATATTTAAAGATCACTTTTAATCAAGGTGCTCGACATTGCTTACAAAAACGATGACAGAATGGAATGATGTAGTCGTCAAGAATTGAGGAATGGGTGACAGCGATAATGTTTGGAATACCATACAGCAGATCGGAACAAGGGTTCGTGATAAGTAAAGAGTTGAGGCTAAAGGTTGCAGTTATGTCTAGGATGAAGGAGAGAGTTAATTCTCGGGCTAATTGTTGGTTTCTGATAAGTGCTGGAGCTATTATGGAGGAGTATTCTCTAAAAGGAGATCACTTCTGTGTGGTGTCGATTGTACAATGTCCCAAGACTCAGTGCTAAGAGTATCAAGGGAAGGCATTTGCCTCGAGTTGCTATACAGATGCCTGGGATTTTACATCGATTGGCTCTGTGACAGGAGAACGGCTCCACTCCAATTACTTAGTTACAAACCTTTTCCTCCGTAATGACTGCAATTACGTTCAAAATGCGCGCATGCCCCTACCAAAGTTGGAATTTTGAAACAGTAATGCTGGCAAACGTTGCGGTCAAAATATGGTCACAACATGCGGCACAGCACTTGAGGTTCAATAACCAAGTTTGGTTTTGTTTTCATTCCATTAAAATGCACTCTGAGATTATCACCCCCTTAAATATGGCATTGATGCTTGTCACCGAATATGAGCACAAGATGTGACTGTGTTGCTTAAGCCCAACAGGATGCCTGAAGAACAGTACCATTTTCAATCCAAATACAGTGTTAGAAAATTACTTTTATGGAGGTGCTTTACATGAAAGCCATTTCTAAATGTGCGTGCGGCAGGCTGGCGCAGTGGTAGCACTCATTCCTCGCACAGAAAAGGGCCTAAAGGTCCGATTTCCGACTCGGGTGCATTTTGATGTGGAGTTTTTATGTCATCCCTGTGTTCTGCATGGATTTCCTCCTGGTTTCTTAGTTTTCTCCCATAGCTAAGACACACACGATGTAACTGGTATCTCCACACAACGTGGGGCCTTATTGCCACAGATAAAATATAATCTCCTGTGTCCCGCACCCACCACATCTTTCCTCCACCTTTCCAGTCCCTCTTGGAATCCATGGATCGATCCCAACTAATCTCATCTCCCACTCTCCCACTCACTCCCAGGACCAAACTCCAACGCCATGACTCTCACCCCGATTTAACCCATTACATTCAGTGACCACTACCTCATGAACTTCTCCTCTTCCCTCCTTAGGCCACCTCCTCTCAGGTCTCCATTTGCTCCAGCAGACATTGAGCACTGCTGTCAATGATCTCCGAATCCTACCTGTCAAAGCCTTAGCCCCGCTGCCACTGAGACCATCATCCATCCCTTCATGACATCCCAACTGGCCGACTGCAACCTCCCCAAGACACTCACCTCCAAACTCCGGACAGTCTAGAATACCGCTAAATACTGCTGCCATACTCCCCGCTTGAACCTGTAAATGTTACCACTTCACACCACTACTCCGATCCCCCCCCCACTGGCTCCAAACCAAAGCCCTGATCGACTCCAAGACTGCCTTCACAACCTTCAAGATTGCTCCATGCATCACATGCCCACTCTGGCAAACCAAGGCGTTGTGCTGAAGTTCCCCGGTCAGCCTTTGCTCAGTCAGAGATCACTCCTTCTCCTCTCCTGCCCTCATGGTGTGGAACTCCATTCTACCAGCCATCCGTGCTGTTCACTCCCTGCCCCTATTTCCTTCCTTCAGGTTGACCACGTCCTCTAAGAAGCACTTAACTACCGACAGTGTATTGTACTGTGGGTTCATGAAAACAGCGAGCCCCATTATTTCCTCAAGATTCGAAGTTTCACTTGAGGGACGGGTAGTTGTAGGGCATCCTTGCATGAAGCCTACAGACAGGCATGAAGGGAACAAACCAGTTCTAAATGGCAAGGAGGTGGCACGCTATTTAAAGCCAAAGGAGAAGATTCAGATCTCGATTAAATGTCTGAAATGCATTCCTTGTGGTGACTTACTGATCCTTATGGAGACATCAGCACATTTTTACCAAAGCACAGAAAAAAAAGAACCATTCACCGACCCGTGAATCGCATTCTGAACAACGGAGAGTGAAACCCTCACGTGAACCCTGCATGGAACGTGGTGCCAGAGCAGCGAAACTCAAGAACGTAAACACGACGTTTGCCGAGTTCAGTCACAAATCGCAAACCAACTACAAATCAAGGGACGGGGGAAGAGTGATGGGCAAGGCGGATTCAAGTTGGGGAGACAAGACATCTTGAACAGAAACCAATTTGCACAACTTCACATTCCTCCGCCGAGGCCCCAGGCCAGCCCGGTGAAGCCCCAGGCAGCCCCCGGTGGGGCCTGCAAGGCCCGCGAGGCCCCAGGCAGGCATGCGAGACCTGCGAGGCCTGTGAGGCCTGTAAGCCTGCACACACGCACGAGTGCTGCCACGTGACCTCCGAACAGGGCCGGCCCCTCTCAACGCTCCTAACACTCGCGACAGCTTCAGTAGTAGCACAACCGTGACATTCTTCGGGGACTGTCGGAATGTGAAGAGCGTCCAGAGCATTCAGGGCCGCAGAATGTAGATGCAGAGGTCATGAGCAGCGATGGGTCAAGCTGTGAGAGCTAAGTCACTGCGCTCAGCGGTAGCGCGTTCGCCGCTCGTTGCAGAGTGTTTAAAAGTAAGCGCAGTTTAAAAGGTTGTAGAAAAAAATAGAATATATAGAGAGGTAGTCAGTCATAGCCACAAAGCCTTCAGCCTGGGCTTGAACAGGGGCAGGGAGTGACAGCACAGAAGGCTGGGGTAACAGAGTGCCAGAATATGGGGGAAAAGAAGGAGAATGAGTGACCTACATGAGATCGTAACAACAGCAGTAACTCTTTGAAGTTGTGCTCACATCCTACAAAAGTAATTGCTTTATGGGGATATAACAATGTCTATCTTGCGCTTTCTGCATCCTATGTAGGCGAAGTCAACTGCAGTAATGTTTAGAATATGAGCGGCAGGGTTGCGCAGTGGTAACACCTATGGCCACAGCAAGAGGAGAAAGGGTTCGATTCCCGACTCGGGAATCTGTCTGTGTGGAGTCTGTATGTTCTCCCCCTTTTCTGCATGGGTTACCTCCGGGTTCTCCACTTTCCTCCCGTAGATAAACACGTGTACAGTATCATTGGTATTGGCCAAATATCCCAATGCAGGACCTTCATGAAAAAGAGTTCAGACTGGGTATGACCTTCCTGGGAAAAAAAACTAATTATAATAATATTAATAAGAAATTAATCTTGGCACAATATTAAATGATATGCCACAGTGGTCAAATATTTGAATAATATATATGTCACAGTGGTGTGGACTAGACACACCATGTACACAAGATGGATAAGTTGCTTTGGTTCAGCGACACTCCAGCATAACACAAGTTTCATTAAAACATCAACTCAACACGTCGACTGCCTCCGATTCTCCTTTGCCGACGACCATCTCTTCTCTAAAAGTACCCCGTAAAGTATATATCTACATGTACAAAAGCACACCTGATTTGTCTCTGCGACTCTCCCGTCCCCACTATAGCATGCGGCATTTTTCACGCGCGCCTGCATTTAAACACACCGCTACATCTTTACTTGCATTGTGCGGCGTTCAGTGTGTTCGCAGGTCGTCGTTACGAAGCAGCCAAGTTTCCAGGATTGGGAGGCTCGCGATATACCCGTTTGGAACGGAGACGGAGTGCTAAGCGCGGCGCACATCCGCGCGCCCGTGCATGCATTTACTCCGTGATTCACGTGGCCGTGACCATTGACCCCGCTCGTGTTCGACGCGCACCCTGACGGCACCTTTTAGTGCTCCGTTATTGCGGTGAGTGAGTCAAACGGCAGCTTCCCCTTTACGCACACAGCGCCAGCCGACACACCCCGAGGTGGCATCCTGTCACGAACTTGCCACCTTCCTGTCGCTTACGCAGGGGTGTAAACCGTGTTTGTGATGGCAATCGCAACGTGGGCGTCAGTGCTATGTGCGATGGATCGCGTGTAGGCCTTGCAAGAAGTAACACGGAGGGCAATGTTGTAAAACACTCGAATGTATACAGGCGCCCACGTTCAGTTTAGCCAACCGCACTAATTGTAAAGTATTCCCCCATTATTCGTGAGGGATACGTTCTGGAGAAGCCAGTGAATAGCATTTTTTGCAGATAATGATAATGGCCTGTGAAAACCTTTTTTAAAGAATTACCTGAATACATAAATAATAAATCTCATCACTTGATCTCATCATCACTTAATCTAATAAAACTCTGTCATTACTTAATCTCATCACATTCTTTCTCTCTCTCGATTAAATCGTGTAGAGTTCCAGATGCGATTGGCGTACAACCAAAATCGCACAGTAGCATAAACATTTTTTTGTTTGATGATGTTCAATAATTTTTTTCTCATCAATGAGGCTTCAATCTCATGCCGGACATTAAAGGACCAACGGCCTTGGCTACACGTCTTCTGTGTGTGCAACTCAATAACAACTTAATAATAATGAAATTGCTCTGCTGCATAAGGCCGATTTGGTTTCCCCTATTTCTAAAACAATACGTAACACACTCTTTGGTTCTTTCGGTAACGCCACGTAGTTAGAAAAATAATAGATCACGACAGTTCGATCGCAACACAAGCAACCGTCATCAGGTGGGACAACCACAGCAATACAAAACTGCTGTAGTTGCCCCACCTGATGACGATTGCTTGTGTTGCGATCGAAACGTCGTGATCTATTATATTTCTACCTACGTGACTTTACCGACAGAACCAAAGAGTATGGATTCCTGCAGTCACGAAAGCTTCAAATCAATACGTAACACATCACTGATGACAAACAGCTTTCGGGGTGATTATTGAAGTTTCGCTCCTGTATGAAACTCAATATCCTGTGTCTGGGATGTATGGTCACGCTGAGAGGGAGGAATCCGCGTCTCAGTGCCAGCAGCTGCAACAACCACCACGAGCGCTCCCCATGGCACCGGAGCTTGTCGATGTTGACATCAAAACAGCCCACTCCACGTCCGCGGTGACAAACCACGACCGCAGCTCCACTGCGGCGAGCCTGTGCATGTCAGACAAATCTCCACCGCCATCACCCAACACTGTGTGTGTACAAGTTCAGGATGTAGAATGCTGCTATGGTGGTGCCTCCAACCAGGGCCCGGCGCTGGGAGGTTGCTGGGCCGGGCCCTGCACAGGACCAAATATGCCTCTGGCACCGCCCCCATTATATCGCCGCTATTTCATCATCATTATCATCATCGCTGCGTCAGAATCTCAGACCTCCCTCCCTGGCAAACGGAATTGTGAGTGGGATGGACCAAAGCCAAAGATCCCCCCGTATAGTCTTTCAAAGACTGTTTGGGGCAAGGGGTGTTAAAGCGAGCATTCATGAAGGCCGTCACGGCACACGAGGGGGTGGGTGGCCAGCGCCACGCTCGGCCGCCTTTGTCTCCTTCCCAGAGCAACGTGGCATAGGCAGCGACGACTACAGCCCGAAGAATAAAAAATGTTCACTCTCCTTCGGGCTAGGCCACTGTAATGGTGGCCATAATTGTTGTGGATTTAGTGGCACTTTTTGTTCTGAACAGGCTGCTGTACTCTTTTTTACGCTATAGCCATGATTGCATAATGTATGTATAGCAAGATGTTTTACCTGCAGTATATTGTGCTATTCATATCAATTAATTAATAAAACCACAGACAGCGGAACATTCACTGTAGGGGATTGGGCAATCATTGTGGAAGATACGGCATGGTGAGGTGCTGCGCCTGGTCCATCCCTGGCCTTCATCCGGTGCTCGCGAACAGCATTTGCCCCAGCTCAACGGGGTATCTTTGCCTTTGCGTGACGTGCAACCCCCCCCCCCCCCCGGCCCGCTCACCGCCACGGTACTCTGTGTTGGTCCTCCAGTCCAGCAGGTCGATCTCGGCCGTGCCAGCGATCACCAGCTCCAGCTCGCGGGCGTCAAACACTGACACGAGCCGCGCGTCCACCACCTGGCACACGACACCGCCGCGCCATCGTCATGGTGCGCACACTGCCCGGGGGGGGGGGGGGGGGGGCGGCGGGGGGGAACGCAGTCTGGGAGGGAAGGCAACGGGCGTGGGGGGTAGGGGGGAGGTGGATGGCCGGGTCCCCACCTCGTAGAAGCCCCGCACCAAGCTCTCGGTCTGCTGCACCACGCCACGCTCCACGCGCCACTTGACCATGCGCTCGATGTACTCCTTCTTGTTCTTCTCTGTCACGGCCATGTGCGCTCCGCCCGGTCGCAGCTCCCTCTCCGTGATCTGCCGGCCACCCAGACGACAGCGGGGCGTCACCGCATCTCACCGCGCCGGGCGGCTTCACCGGCCAAACCCCCTTCCCCCCCCCCAACCCGTCTCTTATCTCGCCACTGATGGCGGGGAGGGCCTCCACTAGAGGGTGCTCTCGAGATGATATCACAGGATGTGGAATGTCCTCTTTGATATCCTCTCTACGGCAGGTTGCACACGATGAAAATTCACCCCGAGGAATGACCGACAAAGATCAGCACAGACCGTGCCCTGCCGCGTCACATGCTCCCTCGACAGTGGAGTGAAGGGGAGTTGTGGGGGTGGCGGGGAGGTACAGCGCACCTGTCCGAACACCTCTTCGTTGACGGTAAAGGTCAGGTCCAGGATGTCCGTGATGTCGTTGTCCTTCATCCACTGCAGGCTTTGGTGGAACTCCTCATCCAGGTACTCCAGGTCACTCAGATCACACGGCCTGCCGGGCACGCCACAGCACCGCGCCCCAAGGGAGTCGTGTCACTCGCCACACTCATCGCCTCTGGAGCTGCTCGTGCTCAGTGAAGGAATGCAAGTGCCACCGATCACCGTTTGAGAGCAAAAACTGCACCATTTGTTCGTATGTATGTTGAACTTCTTTCGCAACGTATGTAGCCAACCGTGCTATCGGAGGTGCGGGGGAAGGACAACAAACTAAACACAAAAAGCAGTTTCAAAGAAATTAGTTTTGAGTCTGGATTTAAAAGTGCATAGCTCCAGTGGCTTTCTAATGTCGGAAGAGCGTTCCAGACGGCCGCAAGAAGCGCATCCGAAAAGCACGAGATGCAGCGACCCTCTTTGTTGCCGCGAAAACACAAAACACACGGAGAGAGCGGCTCACGTTCTGAGCAGAGCCTTGTAGAAGGGCCGTGTGAAGAAGGCGTCCAGCAGGTACTGGTGGATGAGGGCGAGGCCCAAGATCCGCCCGCTGAACCGGAACCTGGGCCACGCAGCGCAGCACACGACGACAACGCAGACGAGCGAACCGAGCGGCGGAATCAGCGCTGCTCATCGTCGAACGCAAGCGCAACACGCGCTCACCGCTGGACTACTCGCGCAGTCTGCTCATCGTGGATATGACCTCACGGCCTGAATCAGTAAGCACCGAGTGAAAACGTAAGCGTTACAATACATTCTGGTCATAAATAAATGCCTGAGAGATGTGGCGAGGCAATGTTCGCTGCAAAATCGGATGCGATTAAGTATATGGTGTGAATGAAGAGTCTTTTAGATAAACCATAGCGGTGGAGCTAGCTATGGTTGGTGGATTACAAAAAAATATCCCTCGTGTAGCCTTATTGTTGGGGCAGTGCTGTTAGCAAGTAGCATCTATGAGGGCTGGCACGGCACACGAGGAGGTGGGGGGCCGGCACCACGCCCGGCCGCCCGTGGCTCTCCAGTGGCGAAGTTTACACACCGCACCAGGTACGCATTTGAGGCTGAGTCGACCTAAGGGAGGCCCATGGCCGGTTCAGATAATCATCAATGGTGTTGGCCGTGAGTGGGAATCGAACTCGTTTGCAAGGTTCGTAGCACGGTGCGCTAACCGCTACACTACCGCTCCCCCTTCACACACACACACGTATGTGAAACTCCCTACCCATGGACAATCAGGTTACCATCTGCTGGCTTGTCAGAGTATTGCAGTACAACAAGTGGGATATATTCCATCTGTATGGGGGCTGAGCGTTACCCCCCTGGTATGCGTGAATTTCTCCAAGTGCTGCGGTCTCCTCCGATGTGTAGTTACGCTCATTAATAGAGTCGGCCAAACATCACAATAAAGGTGCGTACAGCTTGGGCAATTGTGGGCAGCAATTCTAGCGGCTTTCAAACCAGACGAGAGTATAATTGGACAAATAAGTCAATTTTTATTATACGGTGAGGGAAAAAAGTATTTGATCCCCTGCTGATTTTGTACGTTTGCCCACTGACAAAGAAACGATCAGTCTATAATTTTAATGGTAGGTTTATTTGAACAGTGAGAGACAGAATAACAACAAAATCCAGAAAAACGCATGTCAAAAATGTTATAAATTGATTTGCATTTTAATGAGGGAAATAAGTATTTGACCCCTCTGCAAAACATGACTTAGTACTTGGTGGCAAAACCCTTGTTGGCAATCACTGAGGTCAGACGTTTCTTGTAGTTGGCCACCAGGTTTGCACACATCTCAGGAGGGATTTTGTCCCACTCCTCTTTGCAGATATTCTCCAAGTCATTAAGGTTTCGAGGCTGGCATTTGGCAACTCGAACCTTCAGCTCCCTCCACAGATTTTCTATGGGATGAAGGTCTGGAGACTGGCTAGGCCACTCCAGGACCTTAAGGTGCTTCTTCTTGAGCCACTCCTTTGTTGCCTTGGCCGTGTGTTTTGGGTCATTGTCATGCTGGAATACCCATCCACGACCCATTTTCAATGCCCTGGCTGAGGGAAAGAGGTTCTCATCCAATATTTGACGGTACATGGCCCCATCCATCGTCCCTTTGATGCGGTGAAGTTGTCCTGTCCCCTTAGCAGAAAAACACCCCCAAAGCATAATGTTTCCACCTCCATGTTTGACGGTGGGGATGATGTTCTTGGGGTCATAGGCAGCATTCCTCCTCCTCCAAACACGGTGAGTTGAGTTGATGCCAAAGCGCTCCATTTTGGTCTCATCTGACCACAACACTTTCACCCAGTTGTCCTCTGAATCATTCAGATGTTCATTGGCAAACTTCAGACGGGCATGTATATGTGCTTTCTTGAGCAGGGGGACCTTGCGGGCACTGCAGGATTTCAGTCCTTCATGGCGTAGTGTGTTACCAAATGTTTTCTTGGTGACTATGGTCCCAGCTGCCTTGAGATCATTGACAAGATCCTCCCGTGTAGTTCTGGGCTGATTCCTCACTGTTCTCATGATCATTGCAACTCCGCGAGGTGAGATCTTGCATGGAGCCCCAGGCCGAGGGAGATTGACAGTTCTTTTGTGTTTCTTCCATTTGCGAATAATCGCACCAACTGTTGTCACCTCACCAAGCTACTTGGCAATGGTCTTGTAGCCCATTCCAGCCTTGTGTCGGTCTACAATCTTGTCCCTGACATCCTTGGAGAGCTCTTTGGTCTTGGCCATGGTGGAGAGTTTGGAATCTGATTCATTGATTGGTAACAAGCTGAGATTAGGAGCACTTCCTTTAAGAGTGTGCTCCTAATCTCAGCTCGTTACCTGTATAAAAGACACATGGGAGCCAGAAATCTTGCTGATTGAGAGGGGGTCAAATACTTATTTCCCTCAATAAAATGCAAATCAATTTATAACATTTTTGACATGCGTTTTTCTGGATTTTGTTGTTGTTATTCTGTCTCTCACTGTTCAAATAAACCTACCATTAAAATTATAGAATGATCATTTCTTTGTCAGTGGGCAAACGTACAAAATCAGCAGGGGATCAAATACTTTTTTCCCTCACTGTACATATTATTAAGTTATTATTATTATTCACGCTTGTCTGTGGTTTGCCACACCTCTGAATCATTATCTGTGCATGTTAAACATTATAATTATACCTTAAATGATTGTATTTAAACAGACGAAAAAGTTGAAAATGCAGACAATCAGGCCAAACTGCTGATGAACTCCAACACTGCTCAAATATAAACTTGAAGGCGGCGTGTGCATGTGCCAATCACCAACTCTGAGGCCCAGCAACTGAATGGCTAAATCACAACCGAGTCTCTGAGAGTTGCCCGTCATTGGACACTCTGAGGAAGAAGCAGCTGAGAGGGTAGGAACACGGTGGAGTTGGGGAGACGGGAGCGGCTGCACCGCCGTGCCGAGCGCTCACCACTCGTGATGGTTGTCCACGAAGGCCGACATGGGGCTGATTTGCACGGTGTACGTGTCGTTGGCCGAGTACTCAAAGAGGCCGTAGTAGGGGTTGAAGAGCTCTCGCGACACCAGGAAGAAGAACTCCCGGGAGGGCCCGCTGTAGTCCAGCCTGCACGAGGGGACCCGGGGGGCACACGCAGGGAGCAGCCCATCCCAGACACCTACAGATTACAGAGCGGCCAGGTACGCCGCACTCTGCACGCTGCCACGCATATAATGACGCGTTGATTCAAGATACATTTTTTCGTTACAAAAATAAACTATTTTACCAGGTAACGCCCACTGAGCTAATAGCTTATTTTTCAGAAGCGACCTGGCCACAAATGATATCTCAAAAAGAGTGGCTTATCATGTGGAAATATAAACGCATATTTCTAAATGTGGAGGAAAAAACCCAAAGACCCAGAGAAAAATCCACGAGACCATGTGGAGAAAATGCAAACTCCAAATATACAGCAGCAGGCGTCGGGTCGGGATCGAACCCACGACCTCCAGCATACCAGGCGAGGTAATTAACATCTCGCCATTGTGGTGAGATTAATTGATTTTTATGCTCACGATACTTGCATCATCGAATCGGTTTTGCTAGAATAAATTATTTTTACGTATACGTTGTATGTAACCAATTCACAAAAAAGCCTTTTTTTTTCACAGTCATCAAAAAGAATTGATTCTTGATTCAAATTGCCACCAAGAATTGTGACGATTCATTTCTACCTGCAATTCAACCGACTTGCATGGGATGGCATATTGTTGATGACTTGTCCACTGACGAAGTTCAGCGGAGAGCGACGAGTACTACAGACGGCCACCGAGGATGCTACCGGACGGCTCGGCGATTCGGCACACGATGAACGCACGAATGCATGAGATCGATAAGCTCATTCCCTGCAAGCTTTTTATCGTTGTTTTTTTTTAAATATTATATTTGAATGTTGCAATCAGTACCATGTCAAGAGACAAATGCATATCTACTTGGAACCCTGAGTTAGTAGTCCAGCACGATGTGTGCGAGCTGACAATGGGTACCAGTCCTTTCAACGCGAGGGAGGGGAGGGGAGGGAGCGGAGGGTTGTTACAGGTCAACAGCGGTCTGCTCACCCCTCCTCGCCCACAAAGGTAACGTAGAGCTTGTTTCTCTGCAGGTCCTTGCGCGAGTGGGCCATCACCTGATTGAAGGCGTCCTCCAGTAGATGGTCGCGCCTGATGACCAGCCTGCACAGAGGGCACGATGGCGGGGAGGGTGGTGGGGAGGCGGTCACACAGGGATATCAGGGCCTACTAGGCCTTGCTAAATGTTAGCTCTCCCGTTTATCCATTCATAACACAATGAATTTGACGACGGCATAACACGGCCTACTCTGTAAACTGTTATTATGATGGCATCGTTAAAGATCCACTTTGGTGACCGCACAGACTTTGGTGCCTGTCCAAATGTAACTCCAGACTCCATGTGAACTGGCTATTGGTAAATGGGTAAGTCCACAAGAATCGATGATGGTCAGATAAAACCACCTGTCCCATCCTGCACCCTTTGCCATAGGTGTCTGCAACTATTTTGAGCATATATGCTGAACTTCTTTCGCACCGTACGTAGCTGACCGTGCTAATCGGAGGTGCGAGGGAAGGACAACCAACTAAACACAAAATAATCCCTTTGGGGATGACCATTGCCTCCGGAAATTGAACAGGCACGGCTTGCTGATGAAACCAATGATGACGAAACAAGTTCTGGGTTGTTTGACTCGTTTAAATCGAAGCTACTTCACACCATTCATTTTTAAAGCCGACAGGTCGGTGGGCTTTCACTGTCCGTCCAATTTCTACGTCGCTATATGCTGTACTCCATGACGTAAGCTCATCGTCGTTTGCGAGGGCGGGCGGGCGGAGCAGGCGGAGCAGGACGGAGCGGGTGGAGGGGGGCGACCTCACTTGATCTTGCCGGGACCCTGTCCGTATCCCTTGGACTCCAGCTTGCGGTAGAAGTTGCGCAGCTTCGCCTCGAAGTCTCTCTTGTAAGGGGCCGGGGCGCGGGCGTTCGCGCGCTGCGATCCTGCCGAGTGCACGCCGAGATTGCAAGATTGAAAAGGGGCCCGCGGCCCGTCGGGTCTGGCGCTGCAGGGGGTTACTGCTGTTAGGGCCTGGGTGCCAAACGAGAAGGCAGTGTGCGAAAGACCCAACGCAAGAAGATTCCTGGGTTTTGATCTTCCACGAGCCTCATGGTTCACCCTAAACAGCATCCACTGCACAGATCAAGGCAGCGGATGCGGATACCCGATGCACCAATGGAAAGTTAACAAACTGTCCAGTGCGCGATTGTTATGATCCAGAATAAACTGTACAACGTATAACGACGCAGCGCCCGATCCACAAATACGACGGAGACATCACACAGCGATACACTCCGCTGCTCCTGACGCGGCTGTTTGGCTTGACCACCTGGATGTGAAACTGTAGTTGTTGGTCTGCATCTACAGCAGCCATACGAAAGATGAAGAAGTAGACAGTGTGTAATGAACAGTTTACCAAGTAGGCTTTCGCGACCAAATTATATAATAGATTAGTAAACAGTCACCCCCCCCCTCACATTTAATTTGGGGGGGGGATGACTGTTTACTAATATATTACTAATTACAATACCTCCATCTCAAATCACTGCACCTGAATGGGTTAAAAGATGACGTCACCGTGCTGCTCTATTTAAGACCGGGAGCAAGGGGAGGGCTTCACCATTCTGGCAAATTGCCCGATGATGCTGGATGTAATTATCAGCGAACGTAGTACTCAAACATTGTAAATGATGTTAAATCACTCTTCAACACACCGGTGGGCTAAAGTAGTGAACTATTTTGTCTTTTGGAAACGTGACACTTTTTTTTACTGTTTGGCAGTGTCCTGGTGGTGGAGGGTTACGACACATTTATAAATAACGCGATCTAACCGAAAAAATGTTTGTTATGTGTAATGAACGAACGCCTATGCCAAACCACCTTCATACTCGGACTGCTGATGACACACGCAATCAAATCAGGCAGTGCATGTATACCAAGCCAATCCCCGGGTCATCGACGCCAGATTTAGACACAGGCATCCAATCGGTGAATATCGTTGAGAATTAAGCCCTGAGCTGGGGACGACCGTAGAAGAGTGTTAAAGCTTCCATTCCATGTCTCCTTGTGTGTTTGTGCGTCTGCACATAACAATTGTGAGCGAACAGAATCGCAACATAAACAAATTATTTGGTGATGCTGCGTTGGCAACAACAACACCGTATCCTTAAAAGGAAAAACAAGACAAAAATACATATAACCGGCAACGTTTTGGGCAATGAACCTTCTTCAAAGTCCAAAGTATAAAATAAGATGTTAAGCACACGCAAAATATAGAACTGAATGTTCTTGGCATTTCAGCGGACACAAATATGACTGGGCACACACAGGCTGGGTACACATTCTGCATCGAATGTATAGAAACACACGACCCGTGCTTTGTCCCACGTGCTGTTTGCTGTGTGTGTGTGTGGGGAGTGGTAGTGTATCGGTTAGCGCACTGCGCTACGAATTCGGTGATCCGAGTTCGATTCCCTCTCGCGACCAAAAACAGTGGCGAATATTTTAACCAGTCCTGTCCCTCCCGTAGGTCAACTCGGCCTCAAATGAGCACCCGGTGCAATTTGCAAACATCGCCATTGGGAAGACAAAGGCAGCCGGGCGTGGCGTTGGCCACCCACGCGTTAAGTGTGCCGTGCCGGCCTTCGTAGGCGGCCGCTAACAGGCACTTGCCCCAACAGTCTGTTAAAGGCCACACGGGGAGATGTTTGTCTTTGCTCGTGTACGAGGTGCCGTGCGCGCGGTGTGGAAGAGCGTGCTTGGTGCTGCGTACCGGGGGAGTTCTGCGGCGACGACCCCGGCGAGCTGCGTGGGGACTGCGTGTAGCTGGGGTGCAGCAGGGAGTGCGGCGGGATGAACGACATGATTTCATCCTCAAAGAGGCTGCGCACGCAGACACACACACGCACAACACACACAACACACACACGGGACAAACACCCAACAGGCCGTTAGTGAGCACCCATTATGGCTGGCATTGCACAAAAGGTGCAGATCAGAATCTTTATTTATCCTGGATGAATCCGATGAGCTATTTTTCACAGATATCCAGTAGGGGCGGGTCAGCAAGTTACAATAACAGCGCAAAAGACGATATGAGTGCGAGGTCGAGAAAAAGGAAAGCAAGCCCTTAAAAATACGTAAGTACAAATTGTACAAGTGACTAAATTCCCATAATTCCCCAATCCCACACAACCCCCACCCCCAACCCCCACCACACACCACACAAACTCCTACCACACCAATTGCACCTCTGAGTTCTCAATCGAACACATTGGGTCCGATATCCATGCGTTATTCATCATGATTATTATCTTAGGCTAAGGGGACCTATGGGAGGCCCTGGCCGAGTTTATAAACCAATTTAAAATGGTCTTAAGCATTGCAATGAATTTCATCTGAAATAATAGTGCAGTCTGATGACCACCACACCATAAAAACACACACACACACACACAGGGAACCCCATATTTACACACGTGCAAATCAATAGCTCCAGCATTCATCGGTACAATGATGTACGAGTGTATATACATCACGCACAAACACACGGCGAATTACAACTTCCTCTTGTTCTTAAGTCAGCGGGATGTAAATAGCAGGAGACGATAAACCACGGAGTTCTTTTCGCTGAACCACAACAAAATCTGTGGCCGGAATAGCTCCCACCGCTTGACCAAGCAAGCTTGGCTTATGGTCAATGTGACATGTGCGGCTAGCCGAGCCCCAAGTCACACTCGTGTATACGCGTGACCCCGGACGGCCGGACGACGAGGCATACTGACATGCAGAAAAACCGAGAGCTGCAGACGCAGCGTGATTCTAACAGGGGCGTACGCAAATACACCCAACCAATCCAGCCACCAGCACATACAATTCCGAAAGTATGGCTGTAATGTGATGATAGTCTCGAATGGTGAATGTAAAGCCGGACGAAAAGTTGTTCAGCCTTGCTGCTTAATATTGGCCTCTTCAAGGTGGACTGCCTTCAGTGGCGAAGCGGCCCGATTATTTCCTTGTGGACTCGAGTAATACATGTGAAGATGCACTCAACACTGGTAGAGCGTAGCGTTTAATATGATAACAATGAAATAGTTCACTGGTTTTTTGAAACAGCCAGATCACAATAAATTGGGGCTCAGTCTCGTTGGATATTGGAAGCTAAGCAGCGTGCAGCCTGGTTATTACTTGGATAGGAGACTGCCCAGGAATAGCATAGAATATATAGATTTAAAGCTTTCGTGACTGCAAGGATCCATACACTTTGGTTCTATTCGGTAAGGTCACATAAAAAACAACAAAAAATAAAAAATTAACGACGTTTCGGCCACAACACAAGTGGCCTTCATCAGGTGAAGGGACCAGACTGTCTAGTGGACAGCGCTGGAGTGAGCTTGGCTGTGTTCACTCCAGCGCTGTCCTCTAGACAGTCTGGTCCCTTCACCTGATGAAGGCCACTTGTGTTGTGGCCGAAACGTCGTGAATTTTTATTTTTTGTAGTTTTTTTACGTGACTTTACCGAATAGAACCAAAGAGTAAGCATAGAATATAATTTACTATTATTGGCTTTTGTTTTGTCCTTGTGCAACTTGTCCATATACACTTATTAGATATTTATTGTGAGCGAATTTCTTACCTTTTCTCTATTGTGCACTCATATAATATTTTGTGTTGTGTGTTGATGTAACTTGCCGACTCTGGCCCCTACTCGACATTTGTGTAAAAGAGCTTCATAGCTCATCTAATTATTCCAGTGCAAGTACAAATTCTGATTCTGTGCGAATAACGTTCTTCACAAATATGCTGACTCGCACAAGACAAAGCAATTCTTCTACCCTGATTATTATAATGATTATTCCGCTTGTTTAGCCATGAAATCCTCAACGAGTCTCTAAACTTCTTTTTTTCAGGAGGGCCCTGCAAAGTATTTAAGTTCGGGAGCGATGCTGTCGTGTGCGATTCAAATCGAGCAATGTGCGGGTAATCTTTACCATTGCGATGTTTGACCAATACACTGCGTGGTTTCACCAACATAACCCTCCACCTCCCCCCCCATGATGCACAACCCCACACGTGAACATCAGTGTACAAAGACCACGGCTATTGGGTTACTGGCCAACACAGTCACGGCTAACTTACAGCCGCTGGAGACGGATGTAATGTAAATTAAAAAAATTAAATATATATCAGGAATCTTGAATTTCAATTGATTTGTCCGAGGGCATGGGAAAAAATGTACTGATAGCAAACGTGGCCAGTCACAGTTTGATGAGAGCTCACTCACAGCCCATGGCGAATGTCGTCAAATCGCGCAACGAATACCGGCAACAACGATGCAATTTCCTGGGGTCAATATTTAGTCAGAGATAATAAATAAAAACAGCTGAAACAAAGCCTCTTGATTTATTCTACGAGTGCTGTGGCGACGCGATCTGTACACCGACAAGAGAGAGGGAATGTGGCCATACTGGAATATTATAGCCTGTGAACCCATAAGATTAATTTCCCATATGCACTACGAACATTTTGGTGACCGAGGTCACTCGAGGCAACTGAGACTCATTTTGGTCCTCTCCAAAGTTCTCACCTGGTTACACAAGCTCAAGTTGAAACCCGAACACTGCCTCATAACAGAAACATATTGAACAGGCTGCCGTTTGAGGTGGGTTTTTTTTCCAGAGCAAGGTCAGTTAAGAAGAGGCATTGCTTGTGCTTGCGCAACAACTCCCAGTGCAGCTATTCTAGATTTGAAGCTTTCGTGACTTCAAGGATCCATACTCTTTGGTTCTATTCGGTAAAGTCACGTAGGTAAAAAAATAAACAACAAAAATCACGACGTTTCGGCCACAACACAAGCGGCCTTCATCAGGTGAAGTCAGACAGTCTGGTCCCTTCACCTGATCAGACAGTCTGGTCCCTTCACCTGACGAAGGCCGCTTGTGTTGTGGCCGAAACGTCGTGATTTTTTTTTTTTACCTACGTGACTTTACCAAAAAGAACCAAAGAGTATGGATCCCAGTGCAGCGTCTCTCATTGTTTTTGTGAAAAAGAACGTGAAGATTTTCCGGCCAGCTAGCAAGGGAATGAGTGGTATTTTCCACAATGAGACTGGGCCCACGCGAGAGCAGGAAACGGCTCGTGGCTGGCGCTAGGAGGCAGCGGGGTGGCCCGGGCAATGCGTGGACGTTGCTGTGCCTATGTCGGGGCAAGTGAGTCCTCACCACTGACATCCTTGGTCTGGGTCCAGGGCTACCGCCTAACATAGAGCCAGGTATTCATGTGCGGTGAATGCGATAGCCTCAGCCAAGGTTTACAATGCAGAGGAGAAAACATTCCAGATAGAAACAATCGCGAAAAACTACGGACGGCCCAGAGCCAACCACACTCGCTTGTTTGCGGGAAAGCAACACAGTGAAGAGGTTGTGTAAGTGGTTGTGTAAGGTGGCCCTTTGAATGAAATATTACCACTGCCGGATCTTTCAGTAAGATTTATGACAACTGTTTAAGAGGCTTTCTTGATGGGTTGAGAAAGAGAACGCTTTAATTCCTTGGCAAAGTGCTTGACGGAACGTGGAAAAAGGTGCGACGGTGCTGGTAGAGGAATTGCGATATTCGGTAATTGGTGATGTGATTAGCACGGTGGGCTACGTACGGCGCGAAAGAAGTTCAACGTACACGCATATACATACAAATGCAAAAGGAGGCTTGCAATCAACACTGAAACACGCTGCAGGCCGACCGACGAGGCCTTGCAAAAGTTTATCCATTTCAATAAGCTCCTTCGTGGGCATATAAAAGAACGTGGGCGTGCACTCCACTTTGCTCTCTCCCCAACAAACGCACGCAGCGTACACCAGGGCCCACCGGCCCAAGGCGCAGGCCATCGGCAGAGGCCCAACTGCGTCGGCCTGGGTGCCCCGGTCGTTACGCAGCGTGCCCCAGCGGCACTCGGAGCGGGAAGCAACGGCTCGGGAGGGGGCATGCGTCAACATGCGCCCCCCCCCCCCCCGCCTCCCTCCGCTCGTGCCTTTTTCTTTTTCAAAAGTATTTTTTTATGAACATGACGTAGGCTTTCGCGACCAACATTATCTGCAAGAGGTTTTTTTTTTGCGTTAGATGTTAGATCGTGTAAATATAAATGTTACATCCGCCACCACCCGACACAGCCAATTAGCAAGGTTTGTCACGTAAACAGAATATGGCAATTCGTTACGAGTACAGCACACCGGTGTGTTGGAGAGTAAACCCACAACATTGAGAACTCGAGTACGAGGTTTCGCCAGTAATTTACGTGACAAACCTCACTAATTGGCTGTGTCGGGTGGTGGCGGGTTTACGCGATCTAACCCCAAAAACCTCTATTAAGGACTATTCATCAGGTAGACACAAAAGGTTGACACCAGCACAAACACATTCCGGATTACAGCACAATGGAAAACTGTCTAAACCACATGTTTCAATAAACTGTTTAAATAAATTCGACAACCCTGGGGTCTTCCTAAGCTCTGATACCCCTGCAGGAGAAGGAAAGAAAAAGAAGGGGGTGGGGGGGGGTGCCTAAATTACCTATTGAATGTTCTTAAGAATCAATGCCCACTGGATCAGAGGTAGTGAAGGGGTTCCATGCCTTTTGAAAGCAAGGGGAAAGGGGTTCAACATTTAATGCTCAGCGGCAGGAAGAAACTGCACACGGGTTTAATGAAAAGGTTAGCAGGAATTGATTTTTTTGTCTGCTTTTACAAACGTGGAAGGCGTGTGCACGTTGCATCGCCACCTGTTTGAGCAGCGGCTCACGCCCGTCAAACGAATCTTCTGCGCTCCTCGCAATCCGCAACAAAGCCCGGCGCGCGTGAATCGATGCAATCTTGCACGTGAAAAGTGCCATTTAAATTGCGCCGGTGGCAGGATATGAATAGATATCACCGATTACTCGGGTAGAGCCTTCTTGCTCATACAAATGCAGGTAGTGAAACAGTGCGTGTTCATTCATCTTGTATTGACAGGCCCAACTCTCTATACTCTATCTGGTTGTGAACGGTGGCAGGGTGCATCACACGCCAGTGCACAAGGCATGGCCGTGGATCCATTTGTCTGTACTGATAGTACAGACCTAACGTCCAACAATAATAACACAGATATGACGGCAGCTTTGTCATCAAGAATTGCCACTCTAGCACTCGTGATAAGGACGTTAGCGTGTAAACAACTGCAATGCACTGCTGTGAGCAACATGAAATGCTCTCAAATGAAATGATATTTTTCACTGCTAGATGAAACGCTCCCCACGACGCGCCATAGGGGGTGTGAACACGAGAATGGAACCATCGCTTGTTACGCGCTGGAGCGTTCCAGAGATTTGACGCAGGGAGACGTGTCTCGGAGCTGGGTGAGAATGATGAGAATGGGGAACCATGAGGCGCTAAGTGCAGAGGAGTGGAGAGGCGAACAGGGAGAATAACGCTGGAGGAGAGGCAATGGTGAAGATATCTGAAGGCCACGCGAACAGCAAGAGATTTGAAGTAAATGAAGACGGGAACCGTGCTAGGATGTGGAAACTGGAAGGGATGAGTGGGACAACTGTGGTATAGATTTGAACGAGATGGCTTACTATACGCCTATAGACGATATCGGGCATCTGAAGATAAGTGCCCGAGCGCAGGGCTGTCAGCAGAGCTCTGAGGGAGGAATTTGATGGCGAGTGTGAGGGGAGAGCGGTGAGGGAGTGTTTTACGGGAGGGTGTTCTGTTGAAGCACACGGCCCTGCAGAAGCCCCTAGGTGTGCGGAGCTGGTGAGCCAGTCCAACAAGTGAGCCTCCACCGTGCCGGGGGGGGGGATCCGGTTGCGGAGAGAGACGTGCGCACGGGAACGCACGGACTGCAGATGTGTGCGCTTACACCCGCACGTACGCTCACTCATCGTGCCGGCACAAGCATCACAATCGATTTATCTGCAATTATGATGCTTTTAATAAAAAAATACATCTGTATAAAGTATCTTGTTGACCATCCTGGCCAATAACTGCACAGATACAAGCAAAGGGCCATTTGGTGAGCCGAGGGCTCAGTTTCACCGTTGATTGCTTTCGCTGTTGTCGAATCATGTTACGTGTCCTGGCACAGACAGCGGGACAAGGTGGAATGATGGAGATGCTTTTGCCCAGGCGGGGCATAGCAACAAAGTAGCCGGGTTGCTCCCCTGGAGACGTGCTTACCGGAGGGCATTTACGTAACAGCACATGGCCTACATCGCTACAGCCCGAGGCAATGTGATGAGATGACACGCAACTTCTGGAGCAATAGCCCAACCGTGAACACCTTTGTCGGTGAGAATGTGTCAAAACGTCGAACTCTGTGCTTTCTCTACACGAATGTCAAAGCAAGAGGAAAAAGCACGCGCGTCAAGCGTGGGTTATACAACACTTATTATACACAGAGCGACCCGGGGCTGGCACAAAGAAGGCATAATTTCGTGCGTTTGGGAATTTTCTTGAAGCCTTTGTTAATCCTTTCGGCCACAGCCTCCGTGACTGCAGTGGTTCGAGCGAGCTCTGCCAAGGAGGAGGAGGCGCCTTTGTGCTCGTTATTCCTTAAAATGGACAAGGAAATTGGCTCGGAGGCCTTGGATTAGGTGAGTGGCACCAAAGGGCATTTAATCCATTCACAGCTAGAGGGGCGCCCAGCGTACCAATGGAGCAAACTGGTACTGCGTTAGCACTAGCAACACTAAACATTTATTTATAATAATTATCATTACCTATTAACCCAGGGAAGCCACAGAGTCGAGAGAGTCTTTTTCAGGAAGGCCCTGTTACGTTTGGACGTTGCGGCCAAAACCAGGTACAGCGTAATGTTTTCATCAGTGGAGGAAACCGCAGAAGCCAGTGGAACCCCATGCGGACTCCACACACAAACGTGCCCGAGTCGGGAATCGAGCACGGCTTCTTTTTGCTGCTTGGGGACAGTACCCAGGCGGCTCGGTTCGCTGAGCAGAGCAAGAACCGCAGCACAACGAGGACGCGCGCGTGGCAGCAGCGCGATGGCCAACGGAGGCGCCGCCGTTTCTCAGCGCGCGCTTCCCACCTGAGCAGGATGACGAGGTCGGCGTCGCCCGAGAGGCGCTCCAGGCCCGACGTGCCCTCGCTGCGCACGAACTGGATCTTCTCCCTGCGCGGGGGCCGGGGGGCAGAGCCGCAGTGAGGCGTCGCGTCGCACGCGCACAGGCACAGCACGTAGAGGAGGCAGCACGCGAATGCCGCCGCGTACAGCTCGCTCAGCGCACGCCGCGCGTCCGCCTCCGTCGGCGGCGGCGGCATTGCCGGGGGGGGGGGAGGGGGATGGCGCGAAGAGGCTCCGCGCCACCGCAGACGCTTCTCCTCCTCGCCCGTCGCGAGCGAAGGCCGCGGACGGGCGCGTTCGACAATCAGGAGGCTTTGCCCGCGTAGACGGCGCACGCGTCCGCGCGAGCGCCGGCGCGGGTCTCGGGTCGTGTTGCACGGAGTGAACCTCCCTCCCTCGCTCGCTCGCTCGCTCGGCTCGGGCTGAGTTCACGGAGGACCAGGACAGGTTGCCCACTCGCCCGCTCGCCCGCTCGCCAGCTCTCCTTATCGGGAATATTTGTCAACTGTCCTCGGCTGCGGGTCCACGCGTTTGCAAATCCGGTGGGTGGCTGCGCGTTATACGACACAGCACACACATGGACAGCGTCTTAAGAGTAAGGTACTGGAATACATATACTACTGTATGTGTGTATGTTCCTTGTTTAACAAGAATATATTTGAGATATAATACAGCAATATTCCAAAAAATTATGCTTAGATATTAATGAAAAGTCAATGTAGAAAAGCCAGACAATTGGCATTTAGCTTGAGGAAAGGCTATTACATTAAATACACATGCCTGTAAACAAATGACATTTGTGAAACTTGTATTCTATACAAGCAATTAACGATACCTTTTAAAATAGACTATTCGTACGACTGCTCAACCAGGAACACGTTTCACTTACGGTCGTCTCCAGTCACGTCCCCTTTCCAGAGGCAACGTCAAGTGGTAATATCTGACGTGCTACATGAGGCAGCGGGCGCTCGCGCTCCTTCGGCTACATCACGGCCTCCGCCGCAACCCGCGCACGTCTTCCGCGCGACCCTGGCGCACGACGTGCGAACGAGGCCAGCCCCGCCGCCGTAAACGCCACTCGTGGCCAACATCGGCGGACGGGAGGGAGGCTAATTGCATCAGCGACTCCCGCTGTCTGCAGCGAGCGTCAAACGCAATTAGCGGATGTGTCGCCGGGTTTAAATTCGTCACGGCGGCGGCGTTTCCGCCGTCGGGATAACGTTGGCTCTGGCGCGCCACGCGGAGATATCCGATGCTTTCAAGGGGCGCGCCTGCACTGGGAAAGGGAATTAACCGTTTACTGCCCGGATTTGGACTCGGGCTCGGGCGCACGTACGTCCCCCGAGCGGGAAGGCTATGCTTTGGAATTGAATTTTTTAAAAAGGCATTAATAAATAAAAATGTAATTAAAAAGGCGCACGTAATGCCAGGACGTAGAGTTTAGACTGACGGGCCGTGTCGTCCCCAGTGGTCAAAGCGCACGCCTGCCTCTGGAGCCCGACGACAGGGCAGCTTCGTTTTGTCGGATTGCCCAGCTCGGCAGCCAGTTCAAGCAGGGGGACGATGGATATCAGGGACCCCCACAGCCGGCCAGTACATCTCTGCGGGAAATTACCGCGATGTCACTTGGTCACGCAGCACGTTGCGATATCAGTTCACACAACTGGGTGTTGTGCACCGCTTGCCCAAAATACTGCCACTTCCAGTGCCGCAAATTCAACGGAATGCGTTGAGCGAAGAGAAGTGCGGCGCCCTGAGACTTGTCAGCGGTGTGGCGCCCTCAACTTTTGACGAGTGAATATCAAAGCTACTCGCGCGCACGCACTCACGTGGTGGACCGTACACGCAAGAAATGAGACCGGGAAAAATATCGACAGATAGTCGCTGGTAATAGGTAATCTCAAGGAGGCCTTACAAACGTTCAGGTATAAATAATAAATTAAACTGCTGCCGCAAAGAGACGCGTCCCGCGTGTCCTTCACATACACGAGCAACGGCCATGCACCCAGAGTAACAATTACAATGCACAACCACTACATCTACACGGAAAACAAGGTTTGAAGAAAGCCACACGTGATTTATGGGATATTCATCTCAACAAGCAGTTCAATATGGTGAACGCTGTACACGTTAAAAAATATATTAAAATTTATGTTTGGGAAGCAAATGAATTACAGAGCAACAGTTAAGTATGTATTCTTTCTCAAGTGTAAATATCAACCACCCAGTACTGTAATTATCAATGCTTTGATTAGTTACATAGAAACAGATGCTGCTGCTGCTGATGACAATGACGATGGAGCTCCTCGTGGGTATGCAACACATACCAAGTTTATGAATCAATACTTTGGTCAAAACGAATCAATGTAGAATGCACACGCCTGGACGTATACGGTTTTGTGTTCGTTATTCATGGATTGTGCACAGGCCATTAACCACTCCAGAACCCTGTGTAAGAGCAGAGACACGTGTCACATTGCAGGCACGACCTGGTAATTATATATATGTATGGTTTTTGCTGGAAATACTTCAAACATCTTGTTTGTAAAATTCCAAAACGATCCTCTTACAAGCTGTACAAACAAACACGTGTGTGGCTTACCTCGTTTCTTCTCACTTTATTGGCTCTTGGATATTAAATTAACCAAATTAAGTGCAAAACCCACGTCTTAAAAATGCACTTTAACAAACATTTCAGTGGTGTTTTTTTATGTTGAGCAAACAAATTGGGGAAGATGTTGTTCGGGTGATTAGAGGTAATTACAATATGAGAGAGAGAGAGACTGTTGTCCAAGGACGAGCACTTATCAACAGGGCATTGTGCACATGGAGAGGGAGTGGAACACAGGTGCATGTCACAATCCCGTTCGTGCAGAGCAAGCGCCGTTCACAACGCCCATGCCCTCGATGCAGCAGAGGCTTTTTGCCTGATAACAACAGCAGCCGCCATTCGCCACGACGTGGCGGTGATAACACCACGGCGCTTGTGACAGCCTTGGGTCCACTTTGAGACAACGTGAGGTGTAGGAAGGCTCGCTGATAGGGAGTTTATGGGACAGATCCAGGTGCCATGGGCCATGAAGATGCATTGTTCACAGTGCACTGTAGACGCGGCTCTTTATAAGCAGTCTAACTGGACAAATCCTTGACTATGGTCAATTCTGGAACTTTACGAAGTGATGGCACGCCATCTGTTGAGGGCAATTAAGGAACCGACTGAGTTTTATCTCCAATAAGTGGCACAGAATCTGGTCTTCTGGACACAATTATGATGGCATTAATTGATACAAAGTGGCCTCTTGTTCCCAGGGCTTTACACAACAAAAGTGATGGCTTCACAGTGCTGGCATCTCACCCCAGACCAGCTACAATGTTAAGTGACATTTTTGTGTGGTTTTACATAACTAAAAGCAAATAATAAAATAATTTATAGCCCTTTGTCAATCCACTCCTGGACGAAAGCATGAAGCATTTGTTTGGGGTACCACGGTGGTAAGATGTTAACTCCCTCGCCTGGTATGCAGAAGGTCATGGGTTTGATTCCAACCCTGATGCATTGCCCGTTCTCCCCGTGGTCGCGTGGATTTTTCTCCAGGTCCTCCGATTTATTGCTCCACATTTAGAATCAACACGCGTTCAGAGAATGTGGCTGCGATACATTTCCACGTGATAAGTTGCTTCGTTGAGCTATCATTTGTGACCAAGTCGCTTCTGAGAAAGAGCTATGTAGGTCAGTGGGTCTTACCTGGTAAAATAAATCAAATTTCCTCCTGATGACGATCGCTTTTGTTGCGATCGAAACGTCGTCACTTTTTTTTCTTCTTTCAACCCATCTACGTGACTTTAGCGAAAGACCCAAAGAATATGAATTCCTGCAGTCACGAAAGCTTTAAGTCAAGAAAAAAAAGTTTCATAGTTTTTTTATAGTTTTACTCTGCGTGAGTCACAGGGGGTTTGTTATTTGGCTATACTTGCCACACTAGTCAGTGCAGGTTTGCGCAAGGGATGGGTGTAGGACCGTTTCAGATATCACTCGCCACTGCTAATAGTCACGGCTGGGAACAGAACTCAGGTTGTTTGGGTTCCCCTGTTTATATAATCACAGTACTTGAGATGCATAACTGAGAGCTGTCATTGCCCAGCTGATCAGAGTATGTTGCTAATTTTATATAAGTTAATGAGTTTAAATGGAGGTTAAAGTTGACCATAATCCCAGAAAGCAATTCAAACGAGCGAAACTGTTTTTTCTCATAAGAATGTGGGATTCGCCCCACTGGCTGAAAAATGGTAACAAGAAATGGTAACAAGCAAGTAGTATCGAACTCCCGTGAGAGCAAGACGCCGCTTCTACTTGATTTACTCGTGTACCAAAGTTCTTCAGTTAAACATTCAATAAAAGCTGGCTCGATTCTATTTGCGAGAAAATTCCAAAACAAATTGATTACTTTCACAAAAACAAGATCCAATAGCCATAATGGACTCATAATTGCCCACCGGAATGGTAAAAGTGACCTTCATCCTGGTATAATGAAGCGAAACTGTTTGGGCGTGGATACGCATACGACAAAGCCTAAAGAGCATTTTACTTAAAACAATGGGTCAGGCCGGCCTGATACGCACCGTTTTGATTGCTTATTTTCCGCACCGCTATAAGCCATCAATGTGACTCCGTGACGAGTTAACGAGCGCGTGACGCTCCACAGCAGGCAGCTGAGCTCAACGAGGGCGGCGTGGACCAGGCCAGAGAATCTCTTGGCAGGGCACCGCCCCGTGCTGACGGGAAACCTACAGAGCGGCAGAGGCCTCCGACGGGACAGGCGTCCATGAGGTTCATTGGCCAAACTCCATTTGATGGAGCCAGGCAAACTGCACCCTCCCCTCTTATTTCCTATGGCTTTTTGGGGGATTGCAACAGATTACAAATTGATGTTGAGATTTGATATCCATTCGACTGCTTTGGGAGTAGCCACGCGGATTTGTTTTCAGATCGCCGTTGAATGATCTCACTGGGCAGTGATTTCACGAATCTCCCCTCAAAGACACCCCCCAGAAATAACGTCAACTGCTTAGACTGGCCACGTGGAATGTCCAGGTACTTGCGAGGGAGGAAGGCTGACACTCCTCAGTCTAAAGCTGGACCTTTTCCACCCAGACTTTTGTAGGATGCAGAAGGTCCCGGTTGAAGTGTCATTAGGAAATTTGGACAATTCTCTGCTTAAGTGAAGGTTAGCGTCAGGCAAGAGGAAGTGGCACTTCTTATATGAATTCAAACATGGATGCGGTCTGGAGGCGTGACAGTGCGACTGGAGACACTAGGAGTCCCAGCTGTGATGGGCTTGCTGTCCCATCAATAGGAAGCGACGAATGGTGGTAGTGGTGGTGGTTGCCTCTGCTCCCACTGAAAATAAACATCCATGTCTGATGAGCCAGAAGACTTCTACGACCTGTCGCAGATGAAGGCTAAAGTTACCCACTGGAACAGTAATCCAATTAGGTGACTTCACTGCCAGAAAGTTAACACCGGGGGGAAAAGCGATTGGACGGTATTAGCCAGATCAACTCAATACAGTACTGTAATAATTTAGGCAGCCGAGGGATTTCTGTGCAGCCCATGGGAATCGCAGTTACCAACATACTGGGCTGACACAGGTGTGACGTGGTGCACGTTGGGTGCACTGACCAACACCAGCGGCCTGCTGGACTATGCAGTGGCTGGTCAGTACATGTGAGTCCAGAGCCGTGACCCCAAAGTCTGCTTGAGCGTGATCTGCTTGCCATCATATGAAGAGACGTCTGTCAGTCTTTCCATGTGGGATTGAGCACAACAACGTTAGCCTGCTCTCTGGTAGCTGTTAAAGTTTGCGAGCGAGAATGTGTTAAATGTCTGCAAGCTGGTCCTCACATCTGCCTTTCCGTTTGAGGTTTAAGACTGTATTTATGTTGAACTTCTTTCACGCCGTATATAGCCAACCATACTAATCGGAGGTGCGGGGGAAGGACAATAAACAAAACACAAAAAGCAAAACTGTGGCGAATAAGGCATTAAACATTTGCAAAAAGTAACCACACAAGGTGAGTGGCTGGCTGATGTGCCCTTTGCCAAAGTCTGGAGACTCATGGAGTCTCAAGACTTTTTCAGGAGGGTCGGTTTAAGTTTCTGCAAATGTGGCGACGATTGCTTGTTTGTACCCCAATTTGGTAATTTGCGGGTAATCTTTCAAATTTGGCAAATGTTTTGGACCATAACGCCAGCGCACAATGGTCTACTCTTCTTCGAATAAGATCACGGGATCTTTAAACCTCCGCTGTGAAGCAGATGGAACACGATGATAACTGGAGTACCCTGCCTGATGTCAACTCCGCAAATCTCCGCAACAGGCAGGCGAACGGGCCACGCCACGGTGCAAAAGCATGCGGCTGCTTCGACAGCAGAGTGAGGAGGGTGGCAAGGGTCGTGGGGATGGGGTGGTCACCTGAGAGAGGGGTGTCTGCTGAGACCCGGCTGCCTCTCTTGAAGAATCTCAAATGCGTTGGGTTGCCGGAGAAATGCGACAATTTTGTCGTTGTATGCTGGAACGACAGAAGCCACAATGGCAGCAGAACGTTAAATTCATTTCCGCTTGCACCGTGCATGAGGGTGGCATGGCCGTCACAGAGTGCCCTCCGCAGTGCCAACGAGCGCTGAGAGAACGGCCCTGCCGCCCGTCGGCCGTCTCGTCACTCCGACACGCACACAGCTGCCCGTACACGCCAGCAACTCACACACGCAAAGACAGCCACACACACACACGCACGGCCACTCACACACACACAGTGACTCACACACGCATACAGAGCCACTCACTTACACACAGCCACTCACACAAACATTGACACACACGCAGACAAAGCCACTCGCTCACACGCACACAGCCACTCACACACGCAAACAGTCACTCACACACACAGCCAATCAAATACACACACAGAGCGACTCACAAACACAGTGACACACGCGCAAACACAGCCACTCACTCACACACAGCCATTTACACATGTACAAACAACCATTCACTCACACACAGCCACTCACACACTCACACACAGCCACTTCCACACACAGTAACTCCGCACCTCCGATTAGCATGGTTGACCACGTATGGTGTGAAAGAAGTTCAACATACGTACAAACACAGCCACTCACGAAATTAAACTATTTTATTTTACCAGATAAGGCCCACTGAGATATATAGCTGTTTTTTCAGAAGCGACCTACAAATGATTGCCCAACGAAGTGGCTTATCACGTGGAAATTTATAGCAGCAAAATACTCTGAACACGTTTCCAAATGTGGAGGAAAAACTCAAGAGGACCTGGAGAAAAATGTCCGCGACCAAGGGGAGAACATACAAACTCCAAACAAACGGGTGTCAGTCGGGATCGAACCCACGACCTCCTGTATAACAGGTGAGGTAGTTAACATCTTGCCGCAGCCACACACGCACAGACAGCCACTCACTCACAACACGGCCACTCACACACGCACACATCTGTGCACAGAGTTATGCGAGGTAGCACGGGGTCCCTTCCAAGGACATAGAAGACGTGGCAAACAGCTCATTAATTAATTCATTCTAGATTTGTATTCAATTAAGTCTCTATTTCAATTGGTGCAATGTCATTTTTTTTCTCCAAGAGACCTTAGTAACGTGGTTAGGTTAAAATCATTGATTTGTGGGCAACTTAAAAATTGGTATCACAGGCTACGACATCACATAAGGGCACTTTGGTAATCAATTCATTGGAATAATGACTTCATAACTTAATTTATTCACAGATCAGCAAATCGAACACTCAGTTTAGAAATTATTTACTCTCAGATATTCTTAAGATAAAGTACTGCATAATACTTCTACTTACAAAAGACAAAATAACAATACTAACGATATTAACTTCCCCGGTAAAATAAAAGAGCCATGCACTCACAATAATTTTTACAAATGTTATCCTCACCATTAATCACCACCATCTTAGTTATATTTTTTACTCACACAGCAAGCAACCCAAACCACCACCACCACCACCGCCAACAATTTCCCAAGCTTCTGTGGAGGGAATTTCACTCCAAAAAACCAAACCCGCTGAAACAAAGTGGACGAACCGATGGGCATGGAGTCGTGGTAGGGGTAGCGGCCGCTCACGCTGAGGGTGTTGGCGGGGCGCGGTGTGACAGGCGGCCCGTGGTGCCTCTGATCGTCGCCGACCTGCACGGGAAAGAACGAGCGATGAGGGACGCCAACAAGGAGCGGCCCACACCCAGCGGAACCCAAGACGTCGTCCACGAGCACTCCGATGCGATGGACGACGGTGGAAGACCTCCGCCATGCGCACGTTACAATACGACATTTCACATTTTACGGAGCTAGAAATATGCGAGGTTTTTGTTTTCCCCTCCACGTTCTAAAAGGAATGTGAGACGCAGGTTTTGGACCAAAGGTAAATAAGAGGACGAGGGTAGGGCAGTTGACAAATAAGACAAGAGGAACACAATGGTATAAATACAATGGAGGTGGCGAGTTATACCAGGAGAAATAATAATTATCCGCAACAATCGATCTTAGTCTCAAGAGTCGTTTTGTGGGAAGGTCCTGCATTGGGATGTTCGGTCAATTCCACTCTTGAGTGTTTGGCAACCTGGAGTAAAGATAAAACCCCCGCGCAGATGGAATTAGAAATCCAATGCTACGTTGCGATCACCTGAACACGCTACCCAGCAGACCCATGCGGTTTCCCACACAAGCACCAAGTGCCCGAGTCCACGCGGACCGCGAGGCCGTTCCACCACGTGCCACCGCCGCTAGGACGCCCTCTGGCCTGTCCCGCGGGCCACAGCCTCGAGGGCCCGGCCCCAGGCATGGCATATTGGCGGGGGGGGGGGAAGGCAGAGGAGGGCCGTCCGCTCACCTCGCTGGCACTGTGGCTGCGCTGGCGCTGCAGGTGGCGGCGGTGAGCGATAGGCCCCGGGGGGCGGGCGCTCTGCACGGGGAGACGCGGGTCGATGAAGGTGGTGGTGCGCGCATTGTGGTCGACGAAGAACGGCTGCACAAAACACGACAAGACGCCACGGGGAAGTCTGGGATCGGCAGCCCCGCGTCTGGACCCGCGCGCCAGTGCCGCACCAGGTTACACTGAACTCGCCGTCACGAGCGCGCGAGGACGGGTGGACGACACCGCTCTGGACGCGTTCGGTGGAACAGCGCCAGAAGCGTTATGCTGCCGGTGCGCTGGGAGCGTGAGATGATGTGCCTGGTGTTGCGACAGCAGCGGTGGTGTTGTTGTCCGTTCATTGTTTGTTGTCAATTATACCCCAAAAGTAACGATGAACATTAAGGCAAACTGCAAAGCATCTTCTGTCCTAAGCCCTGAACACCCATTGACAGAACATTAGAAAGTCGTAGCCGAATATGATGAGGATGATCCATTGTATGTTTTTTCTAAACATGCTTCAATGGGCTTTTCACCAAAACCTTTACACTGAGCTCTTTAACTTTGCAGATGTGCGAGAATACCTACAGAGCTATTTGAAGCAAAATCAACAGAATGACTGATATTTGTTCATAGCCACAGGCGACAAGGTTCTAATGGTAAATCCTCCGCACTTGAGAACCCAATCGACATCCTGAGATGACAAAGGCCTCAGCAGAGCTGAATCAATGCCCTGGTGGCACCACACTGACACCAGGAGCGCTTGTAGCCCCAACGACACACGCACACACCAGTCAAACGCTTTTGCAGTAAATACACAAAGGGTTTGTTTGGTTGCTAAAATAATAAATAGCATTTAGGTCAATCGTCCGTGAGGGTAAACGTCTTCCTGAGACATCTGTTTAAACAGGCAAATCCTTGTCTTTCTGAGTCTCATCAGCATGCGAAACAAAACTGGCATCAAGAAAATGTTTTCCTTTTTTCTCACTGGTGCTTTGAGTGGCAGATTTATGCCAAAAAAGGTGCCAAGTATGTAAGCAAAAAATTACTTGACTTTTATAACCACAATATGCCAAGACGGGTACTCGGTGATTTTCTATAACAATAACGCATTGACTGTCACTCTCATGAATACAGAACAGAGTTGAACAATGCAATTTAAAATGAAGCAAATACTTTTTTTTATCCAGAAGGATAGATTATACCGATAATATTGCTAATGGTATAAGATACAACCCTGTATATCAATGGCTTTATTTAGCAAAAGAGCCAGCGCAAACTCATTAACTAAGTGTTAAATTCCAGTTGCACGTGAAAAAGAGAATTAAGAAGGATGGCATTTTAGTGTGAAAAACACACTCGCACTGCAAAAGTGTAAAAGCACACACACACACGTCGGCTCTCAGGGCCGCCCAGGGGAGCCGTAGGTGAGAGTGGTAAACAAGTCACGTGATCCTGGCTCTCTTGGCAGTTCTTCTCGCTGCGATCGCCAAAGGCACGCGCTCGCATTGTTATGAACGTTTATTAAAAAAAAAGAACAGATTTTGAGCATTGCGTACGGAATTAACAACATGTGGCCGATCTGCGAACGATGCGAGATTATCAATGTACAGTTACGGTCTGTACTTCAAACGAATGGCTATTTTACTGGCTCAAATAAAAACCTATGTGCAACAGGGACGGAAACTCAACTCACAGTGGTCACAGTGCTCACAGTGGTCACGGTGCTCACAGTGGTCACAGTGCTCACGGTGGTCACGGTGGTCACGGTGGTCACGGTGGTCACGGTGGTCACAGTGGTCACGGTGGTCACGGTGGTCACGGTGGTCACGGTGGTCACAGTGGTCACAGTGCTCACAGTGGTCACAGTGGTCACAGTGCTCACAGTGGTCACAGTGCTTACAGTGGTCACAGTGCTCACAGTGGTCACAGTGGTCACAGTGCTCACAGTGGTCACAGTGGTCACAGTGGTCACAGTGCTCACAGTGGTCACGGTGCTCACGGTGGTCACGGTGCTCACGGTGGTCACGGTAGTCACGGTGCTCACAGTGGTCACAGTGGTCACAGTGGTCACAGTGCTCACAGTGGTCACAGTGCTCACAGTGGTCACAGTGGTCACAGTGGTCACAGTGCTCACAGTGGTCACAGTGGTCACAGTGGTCACAGTGGTCACGGTGCTCACAGTGCTCACAGTGCTCACAGTGGTCACAGTGGTCACGGTGCTCACAGTGCTCACAGTGGTCACAGTGCTCACAGTGCTCACGGTGGTCACAGTGCTCACAGTGGTCACAGTGGTCACAGTGCTCACAGTGCTCACAGTGGTCACAGTGGTCACAGTGGTCACAGTGCTCACAGTGGTCACGGTGGTCACGGTGGTCACAATGCTCACAGTGGTCACAGTGGTGTGAGAGGAGCGACCTCTGTTGGCCAAGTTACGTATCCTTGAGAGATGGGGGATCTCTAATACGGGGGTGGCATCAGGGTCAGCTTCATCGTGACCCGCAGGTCAGTGCGGGCACTGGAAGGGCAGATGCCTCGAGGGGCTGGCACCTTGCTGATCTCGTCAAGGACCATAAACCATAGCGCGAATTCCGGCCATGCTCGCAGGAGCTTTCAGCTACTCATCGAACAAAGATAGTCACTGCATCACGTGCTTTCGGATGCCCTTCTGCGGCCGCCTGGAACGCTCTTCCTTCTGATATTAGGAAGCCACCGGAGCTATGCACTTTTAAATATAGATTAAAAACGAATTTATTTCAAACGGATTTTTTGTGTTTAGTTTGTTGTCCTTCCCGGGCACCTCCGATTAGCGTGGTTGGCTACATAGAAGTTCAACACACATACGTACATACCCACGTCGGAACGCCCAACAACATCGAGATCCTGCACTTCAGCCCTGAATTCCCAACCAGGGTAAACCAGGTTGCCAAAGTCTGAACCGAATTATCAACGCCGTGATAAGACCAAGAGAATACGGGGAAATAACTTTGTTCTGCTCTACATTAATTGGCAGACAGATGCAAAGTGAACGAGTCTCCTGATCTTAGCACAGCTGAGTGTGCAGTCTTATGGTTCTACTCAGAAGACATTGAAGGAAAATGGGATAAATGACAATGATAAAACTTTCAGTTGATTTTCAAGGCCGTGACTTGTGGAGCTGTGCTAGGGTATTGGGACGTTTAAGATGCCTCAAGCAATAATAAACAGATGGATTATGAGTGGTTAACAAAACCGAAGACCTTTTAAAAAACACTCATTCTACACACATTTGTCACTGAGAAACGTGACCAGCATAGAATTGTTTAAGAAAGTGAACAGGTTGTTCGTCGTGTTTCTTGATGTGAGCGCCCAGAGACCGCTCACGGCCAACACCAGTGACAACTATTCTGAACCGCTCCTGGGCCTCTCCTAGGTCGACTCAGCCTCAAATGAGCACCCGGTGCGGAGTGTAAACATCACCACTGGGGAGACAAAGGCGGTCGGGCGTGGTGGTGGTCACCCACCTCATCGTGTACCATGCAGGTCTTCATAGGTGGTGCTCGCTAACAGCACTTGTCCCAACAATCTCTGAAAGCTATACGGGGGATCCTTGTCTGTCTGTGTGCTGGTGTGTAGAGTGCGTTGGGGCCTTACCTTACCCTGGTGGTCGTACTTCATCTCCCATCCACGCGGCAGCTCCAGCTGTTTGTTGGAGAAGGTGTTGAGGAAGGCCACCAGGTCCCTGTTGTGTTGGTAGCGCTCAAAGTTGTGCGAGTCGCGCCGCACTTTGCTGATCATGTGCTTCAGGCAGGTGCTGTTAGCAAACAGGTGGTAGGCGCTCTGCCAACACACACACAAACACACAGAGAAGACACAAAGATTCCCTGTACAGCTATGCCAATTGTTGGGGGAAAGTGCTGAAGCAAGCATCTATTAAGGTTGGAATGATGCATGAAGGGGTGGTGTTGCCAACACCATGCAGGGCCACCTTGATCTCGCCAGTGATCATTTTTACACACTATGCCAGGTTCTCATTTGAGGCTGAGTTGACCTAGGTGGGTCCAAGACAAGTTGGGATACCACTTGCTACTGAAGGTTTGTATTGCAGTCTGCAAACTGCCATGCCACCACTCCCCCCACACAAAGACACACACAGTCAACTCCAGACAAGACAGCTGGCATTCATCACACAATGGTTGTGATGTCACCAAAGTGTTCGTGTCAGATTTGGTGAGTTGTGAGGCCACGTAAATACTTTCAGGAAAGATGCTAAGCAACAGAGCCAGATGTTACAGTTTGGCAAGTTTCACCAAAAGGTGTTCCATTCACCTACTTGGCTGCGTTTGATCCGCCCGTTGTTCCGCTGCATTTATTTGATCTGCTACGGTCATTTATTCCGGTACCCTTTCTGGCTTGCCCAAAATTCCGGCTTGGTTTAGAGTTGGCTCCCGAGAGGTTTTGACCGCATTCCCAAGATACTCGCGGCATGAATGCAGCTTCCACCCGCGGGCAAGGGGCAGCCTCGCAAGTGGGCCACGGAAACGCGCCCCGCTGAACGCGAAGACGAGAAGATTGCCAACATCCAGCAGCTCCCCCCCCACCCCCTCCCGAGAAGCCCGACGGTGGAACCGCACGGAACCGCACGGAACAGCAGAGGCGTCACCCCGGACAAGCACCGTGGCGCAGGGCATGCCAGGTGACGCGTGTCACACGCGCTGTCGTGTGGTGGTGGTGGTGGTGGCCCGCGTTGTGGGGTACTGCCGCTGTGCGCTCACGGGGTTGGAGTGGAGCAGCGTGAAGAAGTCCGGGCAAGAGAGGAACTTGACGGCGGGCGACTGGAGCAAGAGGCTCATCCTCGTGTGCATCATGTGGTGTCCGGCAGGCGCAGAGTCCCGCCGCTGCTGATCTGCGCTCACACACGCAAGCACGCACGCACGCGCATTCACACGTGCACACGTGCACAACAACAACAGCCGCTGTTCGCCAACTAAATGGCGGTGACGTCACCACGGCAAATTTGCCAGGCTAGGTGCACTCCAAGGTCACGTGAAGTGTGGAAGGCTCGCTGAAGGGGAGCCCACGGGCCAGACCCAGGTGCCATGGATTGACTGAGATGACTGGCTATGTAGCTCTTTTTCAGAAGGGACCAGGCCACAAATGATTTCCCAACGAAGTGGCTTATCACGTGGAAATTTATAGCAGCCAAATACTCCAGACGCATGTTTCTAAATGCGGAGGGAAAAAACTGGAGGGCCCAGAGAAAAATCCACGCGACCACGGGGAGAGAGAGAGAGACACGCAAACTCCAAATATACAGCAGGCGTCAGGGTCGGGATCGAACCTACGGCCTCCTGTATACCAGGCGAAGCAGTTAATATCTCAGCACCGTGGCGCCCAAATAAATAAAAAGGCACACGCATTCACTGAAACGCATACACGGAATTGTTTTAGACTCAGGGGCGGAAATTTCAGCTGCGGAACGTGGGGCCTCTGCCACCGGCACAGAATGGCCTCCTCCATGCGAGTGCCGCTGGAGAACTTTGCGACCGTTCGCATCCCGGCCCGGCGATGAGTGTCGGACGAGAGGAGGCACCGCTGATGGGAGGGGCTGCGTCCGGCTCCTCCTCCTCGCCGGGCCCAGGGGCCCCGTCGCTGCTGGCTCCGCCCACCGCTCCACCCTCTTCCTCCGCCGCAGAGCGGTCGCTGGTCATGGTGCGACGCACACTCTGGTACCTACACAACGGAGACAACGGCAGAGAGACCCTCACACGTGTGGCCTTCAACGTGCGGTTGGGGCGAGGCCATCCTGCAACTGCTACTCCCTGCCCCCCCCCCGCCGCCTCCTCAGCTATGGACAGACCAGGCCGAGTCCAACCCCTATCACTACCCCAACCCCTATCACTACCCCAACCCCTGTCACTACCCCAACCCCTATCACTACCCCAACCCTGATCACTACCCCAACCCCTATCACTACTCCACCCCCTATCACTACCCCAACCCCTATCACTACCCCAACCCCTATCACTACCCCAACCCCTATCACTACCCCAACCCCTATCACTACCCCAACCCCTATCACGACCCCAACCCCTATCACTACCCCAACCCCTATCACTACCCCAACCCCTATCACTACCCCAACCCCTATCACTACCCCAACCCCTATCACTACCCCAACCCCTATCACTACCCCAACCCCTGTCACTACCCCAACCCCTGTCACTACCCCAACCCCTATCACTACTCCAACCCCTATCACTACCCCAACCCCTATCACTACCCCAACCCCTATCACTACCCCAACCCCTATCACTACCCCAACCCCTATCACTACCCCAACCCCTATCACTACCCCAACCCCTATCACGACCCCAACCCCTATCACTACCCCAACCCCTATCACTACCCCAACCCCTATCACTACCCCAACCCCTATCACTACCCCAACCCCTATCACTACCCCAACCCCTATCACTACCCCAACCCCTGTCACTACCCCAACCCCTATCACTACCCCAACCCTGATCACTACCCCAACCCCTATCACTACTCCAACCCCTATCACTACCCCAACCCCTATCACTACCCCAACCCCTATCACTACCCCACCCCCTATCACTACCCCAACCCCTATCACTACCCCTATCACTACCCCAACCCCTATCACGACCCCAACCCCTATCACTACCCCAACCCCTATCACTACCCCAACCCCTATCACTACCCCAACCCCTATCACTACCCCAACCCCTATCACTACCCCAACCCCTATCACTACCCCAACCCCTATCACTACCCAACCCCTATCACTACCCCAACCCCTATCACTACCCCAACCCTGATCACTACCCCAACCCCTATCACTACTCCAACCCCTATCACTACCCCAACCCCTATCACTACCCCAACCCCTATCCCTACCCCAACCCCTATCACTACCCCAACCCCTATCACTACCCCTATCACTACCCCAACCCCTATCACGACCCCAACCCCTATCACTACCCCAACCCCTATCACTACCCCAACCCCTATCACTACCCCTATCACTACCCCAACCCCTATCACGACCCCAACCCCTATCACTACCCCAACCCCTATCACTACCCCAACCCCTATCACTACCCCAATCCCGATCACTACCCCAACCCCTATCACTACTCCAACCACTATCACTACCCCTATCACTACCCCAACCCCTATCACTACTCCAACCACTATCACTAACCCAATCCCGATCACTACCCCAACCCTTATCATGACTCCAACCCCTATCACTGCTCCAACCCCTATCACTACCCCAACCACTATCACTACCACAACCCCTATCACTACCCCAACCCCTATCACTAACCCAACCCCTATCACTACTCCAACCCCTATCACTACCCCAACTCCGATCACTACCCAAACCCCTATTACTACTCCAACCCCTATCACTACCCCAACCCCTATCACTACCCTTTATCAATACCCCAACCCCTATCCTATCCCTACCCTTATCACTACCCAAACCCCTATCACTACTCTTTATCAATACCCCGACCTCCTATCACTACCCTTATCAATACCCCAACCAATATCACTATCCCAACCCTTATCACTACCCTAACCCCTATCATTACCCCTATCATTACCCCCATCTCTAAATACTACCCCAATCCTTAATACTACCACTACCCCATAACCCTACCAACCCCCTCCTTAAATCCTCCCACCTGTTCTCCTATCACTATAACAACACCAGAACTTTTAATAACAACCCCACTACTCTTCAATATCTCAACCATTATCATCTAACGTACAATTGTATTATTGTAAAGCAACTTGGAATAATGCGCGATACGAATCTACATAAGATAAGAAGTCATGACCGGCACGGCACACGAGGGGGTGGCTTGCCAGCACCGTGCCCGGCCACCTTTGTCTCTCTATATGCTGATGTTTACACACCACGCGAAGTACTCGTTTAAGGCCGAGCTAACCTAGGCATAATTTTACTCATGCGTTACTAGCTCATTTTACGAATGTTAATGCACCCGTGCATGTGAGTGTGTGTGTACGTGTGTGGTAGTGTCGCGGTTAGCGCGCTATGCTACGAACCCGGCGACCCGAGTTCAATTCCTGCTCACGGCCACGAACACAAGTGACGATTATCTGAACTGCTCCTGGGCCTCCTCCCCAATGTCCAATCAGCCTCAAATGAGTACCTTGTGTGGTGTGTAAACATCACCACTGGGGAGAGAAAGGCGGTCGGGCGTGGTGCTGGCCACCCACCCCCTCGTGTACCATGCCGGCCTTCATAGGTGCTCGCTAACAGTACTTGCCCCAAAAGTCTGTTAAAGGCTATATGGAAGGAATGTTTGTCTTTGATGTGTGTGTGCGCATGCGTCTGCGCAGTGTACCGTCGGTTGAGCTGCTCCATCTGCTGCACGGCGTGGATGGAGTTGGATCGCTGCAGGACCTGCGGGGAGGAGGAGGCCGTGGGCCGCTGCCAGGTGGTCATGCGGTTCACGTGATCCACGTAGAAGACACGGCCGTGGCTGTCGATGCGGGCCTCCCAGTCTACGGGGCGCGTGGCGGAGAGCGGACACGCGGGCGTCACACGTCAAGGGCGCTCGCTTGTGAGGAGCCCTCCACCACCCAACGTGGGTTCGACGGATTATCTTAATTGGATTCGAGTAAGTTTTCACTGTCTCACTCCCACTGCCCTTCTTAACTTGTTGCTTGTTATAATAATAGTAATAATGCATTAGTTTATATATAGAGCGTCGTCGTTCATGCAAATTGTGGATAACAGTCACTGGGGAATCACAGACGAGCTGGAAGGTAGCAGCCAGGCGGCAAGGCGGCCCCAACAATTGCCCCAGCTCTACTGTCCTCAATATATGAAGATGTTTCCATCCAATTCGTGAGTACTTCATTCATTTGAATTAACCTAAAGGTACATTTTTTATATTTTCAAAAATCTTAAATAATGAATGCTTACGTGCTAATTTAAATGCACGTATCGTGAAGGGAAACATATATTTAATTCAACGAAACAACAAGTCACGACATGTCAGAGTCAAAAGTTCTTCATGGACAACACCACCGATGCCACTACACCCCTGCAGGGTTTCCTCTCATCGACGGGATCCCTCAGCTGTTGCACAGTCTCCAACCTGGCCTCCAACTATTTGCTTGTTCATTTTGTTTAACCGGTTGAGAACTTAGGAGACCAGGATCGCCTCATTCGCAAGGGTCACCTGGGTCACTTAACACGTGTCACCTGGGTCACAAAGTATCAGATTTAGATGTCAACCAAACGCTGCTGGGGTGTGTGTCCGGCATCGTCGTCGTGAGGAGGAGGGGGGGGGGGCGTTGCAATGCAGTCACAAATCCTGAGTTCGGGGAAAATAAATGAGTTCTGCAGGCCACTATTCCCAAAATCTGAATATTTATTTAGGCTGGAGGAATCCGATGAGATATAAAACTCTTTTTCACAGATGTCCAATAGGGGCGGGTCAGAATGTTACAACAAGCAATGCAAAAACACTGAAGGTATAGTATAGCAAAGGGAAACAAATCACTTAAAAATATATATACAAATAAAACTAAACTATTTTTACCTTTTGATTTAAATTTTGATTTAAAGCTTTCGTGACTGCGGGGATTCATATTCTTGGTTCTTTCGGTAAAGTCACGTAGAAGGGAAACAATAAAATAATAAAAATATAAAACAATAAAATTCTCACGACGTTTCGACTGCAACACAAGCAATCATCATCAGGTGTGAAAACCACAGCAAGAAAATTTGAAAAAAGGTAAAGCCCACTGAGCTATTAACTTATGTTTCAGAAGCGACCTCGCCACAAATGACAGCTCAACCAAGTTGCTTATCACGTGGAAATCTATAGCAGCCAAATACTCTAAACCATGGGAGGTTGATTCTACATACGGAGGGAAAAACCGGAGGACCCGGAGAAAAATCCACGCGAGCACGGGGAGAGAAACACGCAAACTCCAAATATACAGATCATCAGGGTCGGGATCGAACCCATGACCTCCTGTATCCCAGGCGTCCTGATATCTGTGTTGTATTTATATGTATCAATAAACATGTGTCGCATGTGTTTTTTGATTGATGTAGGTCCCTGTTTAAAAAACTTTACATTTTTGGACCACCTGCCTTGGGTAATTTATACATCCACCTCTGCATCATCACCCCCCCTCCCCCCCCACTTCATTAGAGATGCATATTTGGATATACTGTACTCACTTAACCTACTGAATATATTTGTTTAAATACTCGGCTGAATCCAAGATAAAACAAATTCTGAGTGCACGCAATTATCAATGAATATTCTTTGAACGTAATGGATATCTCAAAGGCTGAATTTCAACTGTGCTTGTTTACATGTGATTTGAATAAAGTGCCAGCAGCTGCCATGGTTGCACATGCTTGGCTAGAGGCTGTGGGCTGATTAGGGTGGCTTTGTTATTCCTCTTATCAGCAGCTTACTGCCATGCCAGTTTGCAGACTCAGTAGTTGCATATCTGCCGCTGCTGCTGTTATTGCTACTGCTGATGTTGTTGCTGCTGCTGTTGTTGCTGCTGCTGATGTTGTTGCTGCACATAATATCCGCAAATAACTGACAAAGCACGCAGCTGATATTGCCGACACGGTGAAGTCACCTGTGAGAGTTAGGCCCCTCTGCCCGTAGCATAAACATAAAAAGTACAAATTGCTTGCAAATAAATTCTCAATAAATGAGACACCTCCATGTCTGCCGCAGATTGGCTCAGTCTCAAATGGGCTCTCACCTTTTAATTAAACTAAACGAACTACCATCCCCCCCCCTCCGCTATACCACGGGCCACAATTAGCACCGTCCTTTGCTCGAGAGACGGGTGTGGTACCTAAGCAACAGAAGTATGTGACTGTACAGCAAACAGAAAGCAAAGGATAGGAAGCAATCGATGGAAGCTGTACAGATTCTATCCACTATGCGCCTTGGCCAGGAGGAGGCTGCTTGCGGGCCTTTCTACTTGTTCCATCGGTTGTCAGACCAGGGAACGATGGCATGTCTTTTCTTTGGACCTCTTCGCACGCAATCTTACCTTATTTAAATTTATACAGCGCCTTCGCCGAGGCGCCAAACAAAGAATGAACTGCTGTTTGTACGGCAGACTAGTGTGATGAGACGAATATGATGAAATAAACGATGATGAGAGTGACAGTGAGCAGTTAATGATGAGCGAGTATGATGGATGGGTAGGAAAGTTTGGAAAAGAGGGGCGTAGTTATTGATGGGCAAGGGAGGGGGAAGAGGAGTTGGCGTGAGCAAGGGAAAGTAGGTGAGCTTTAAGGAAAGAACGAAAAATGGATAGTGAGGGTGATTGTTTGATGTATAGCTATCATTAGCTATATTTTATATTACCAGGTAAGGCGCACTGAGCTATATAGCTCTTTATCAGAAGTGACCTGGCCACAGATAATTGCCCAAAGAAGTGGCTTATCACGTGGAAATTTATAACAGCTAAATACTCTAAATGCATGTTTCTAAATGGAGGGAAAAACCAGAGGACCCGGAGAAAAATCTACGCCACCACAGGGAGAGACACGCAAACTCCAAATATACAGCACGCGTTAGGTTTGGGATCGAACCCACAACCTCCTGCATACCAGGCCAGGTAGTTAACATCTCACCACCGTGGCGAACCACCGTGGCTCTCCACGGTGGCAGCTTGTTACAGTGTAGGGGGGCCAGAAGCGAGAAAGAACTGAATCGTGATTGAGCACACGGAGGGGGCGGGGGGGGTAATGTTTCAGCAGCAACTTCCTCAGTGGTATCCTCCCTTCTGACGACTCCTGGCGTGAAAGCGCACTCCTCTTCACGCACACCCCCAAATCTCGGCTCTTTCCTGACCTCGCATGTCGACGCTCCACCATAGTCACAAGCAAAGGGTCTTGTTGTTTTTTTGTACTTTACTCAGAAGTGAGCTGCCTCAAGAAATTACGATGTAAGTGTTCTCAAAGCTAACCGTGAATCTAAAGCTAAAATCACGTGGCATTGTGATGTGACTGGCCTCTTATCCAGCGGGTATATAATACGTGGTTAATGATACGAATTTCATTATTTAGCACATGCTCATTACATTTCAGCCATTAACCAGCACACCTCAAACACCGTGCAATTTGCCCTACGTATAATAAACATCTTCATTAAAAGACCTAAACGCAATTCACCAAGCCCCAATTAATTACCTAGTTTTGACAAATTATAAATGTATTCCCTAATATGGCAAAACATCTCCCGAGTGATAAACATGCCCGCTTCCTTCTACGATGACACTCGGAGTCGGGGTTACGCACTCGGTCCAGCCCTGCAGACGTGTGTCCTTTTCTCCGAGATGGACAACGGCCTTTCTTTCGATTTAAAGCTTTCGTGACTGCAAGGATTCATCTTCTTTGGTTCTTTCGGTAAAGTCACGTAGAATGAGAATAAAATAATACATTGATAAAATAAAATAACACAATAATATTCTCACGACGTTTCGGCCACAACACAAGCGGCCTTCATCAGGTGAAGGGACGAGTCTCGTCGTGAGAATATTATTGTGTTATTTTATTTTATCAATGTATTATTTTATTCTCATTCTACGTGACTTTACCGAAAGAACCAAATAAGAACGGCCTTTCTCTTCTTGGGTATAATTTCATCATGTACTGCATTAATTGGAAGCAAGCAGCGAAAACAATCCATAGCCTCAAAGTGCACCTAGCCTGCCACAAACACCGTGGGGTCACATGTCACTACTGTTTGTATGTATGTTGAACACATTTCGCACCATACGTAGCCAACCGTGCTAGTCGGAGGTGATTAGTGGTGAATGGGAACCGCTGTCGTTGTGTGCATGTGTATTTGTACGTATGTCTTTGGGGAGTGGTAGTGCAGTGGTTAGCGCACTGCGCGAGTTTGATTACCGCTCACAGCCAACATTGGTGAACAATATCTGAACCGGTTCTGGGTGCTCCCCGAGCCTTTCATGAGTGCCTGGTGTCGTGCTGGCCACCCACTCCATCGTGCACCATGGCCGGCCTTCATCGGTGCTACTCGCAAACAGCACTTTCCCCTGCAGCCTGTTTAATGGGGTCTGCGTGTGTGATTATGTGTGTGTGCGTGCGTGGGGAGAGGTAGTGTAGCGGTTAGCGCGCTGCACTACAAACCCAGCTGCCCCAGTTCGATTCCCGCTCACTGCCAACACCAGTGACGATTATCTGAACCGGTCCTGGGCCTCCCCCCTACATCGACTCAGGCTCACCTGAGTACCTAGTGTGATGTATAAACATCGCCACGAGGAAGACAAAGGCGCGGCCGGGCGTGGTGCTGGCCACCCACCCCATCATGTGCCATTCTGGCCTTCATAGGTGCCGCTCTTGAACAGCACTTGGCACAACGGTCTGTTGAGGCTAAACGGTGGGGGGGGGGGGGGGGGGGTCATTGTCTTTGTGGGTGCGTGACTTACTGGCCGGCAGGGGCTCGTCCACACGCTGGTAGCGACTCATGTCCTGCCGGATGGAGGGCAGCTGGCACAGGGGCGGGTGGCTGCTCTCCCGTGAGGGAGGCTCATCTGCGGGAGAGGGCAAGGGAAGCTGTCGGCGACATGCCAGCTCTGGCAGCAGATGTCGAGGTTCATTCAGCAGCACAAGACTAATAGCGCCGAGCGAAAACCAGACACTAAACATAGAAAATAATTTATTTATGCATACCCTTTGGTTCTTTCGGTAAAGTCACGTAGGTAGAAAAATAAAATAAAAAATACTATATCACGACGTTTCGATCGCAACACAAGCGATCGTCTTCAGGCGGAAAAAAATAATCCAGCAGTAGAACTGCTGAATCAGGAAGAACACAGCGAGAGAGCTGTTTACAACAAGAGGTTATATATGTTGGCCAAGGGCAAGCAGGCGGGGTCCGAGCTGGAAAGGAGTCCCATCCCTGCACGCAAGCACATCAGTTGTGTTAATGGGGGAGATGAGGGAGAGAGAGATTAGAGAGAGAGATTAGCATGTTAAAGTAAACGATCTTCCGTCGCCACATAAGAGTATCGTCCCCGCATATGCGCACAGCAGCAGTGTTAATGGGAGATTAGCACTATGTTGATGGGAGAGATCAGGCCGAGAGATTAGGGAGATTGGCAAGTGAATTTCATGTCTATGTGTAACACAAGCTGCGGCGCTGCCAACTGCGCTGTGAGAGGCAAGCGCGTCCACGCAAGAGAACCGCCGCAACGGTGGTCACGCCAGTGAGACACAGAGCCCATCACACAGCCAGAACCATCGATACATCGAGGCTAAGGCAGCAGAGGTGGCCATGTTAGTGAGACCCCAGCCTGTTAATGCAGAGGCACCTAACAGGGCAATGCAACTCAGAGAGTCGGAGATTACAGCCAAACGGCAGGAAGGATGGAAGCACTACAGCAAGTTACGACTTTGCTTGGTAAATAACGTCCTTCCAATGATTGCTCAGCTTATATCCATCTTCTCAGTTTAAATTGTCTGTGTTTATATATGTCTGGATGGCTTCATGGACAAATCTTTGATGGTAGCCCGAAGGTTTGCAGAGTACCTTGGTCTCGGAAAAAACAATTTCGTGTGAGCCCACCGCGTTCAAGCAGTGATCAGCCACGGCAGAGGTATTGGTTCTGCCGTGTTTCAAATCTGCCTTGTGTTCGCAAACACGGTCCGAGACATGTCGTTTCGTTTCCCCAATGTAACTGCTGCCGCAGACACAACTTGGTTTGTAGACACCAGGGTATTGCATGCCAGGAATGACATCCTTCACAGATGGGATCAAATCACGGATTTTGTTGTACTGTATTGAATCGGACCTGGATCTTGTGTTTGTTTAAAATGTTGGAAATATTTTTGGTAACACCTGCTATGTATGGCAAGGTGATGGTTTTGATTGGGTCCTCAGAAGGTTGTCTCCCCATGGTTGGGGATACAGCTTTGCGGATTGTGCGGTCTAAGTATCCATTATCTTGAGGGCTTGGTGTACGTGCTCCAGTTCGCTGGCTAGGTGGCGCTGGTCGGAGATGCAGCGGGAATGTAGTGTTTTGACGAGAGAATTCTTCTGGGCCGGATGGTGGTGGGAATCAAGCTTTAGATAGGAATCCGTGTGGGTGGCTTTCTTGTAGACCGAATGTCCGAACGAGCCATCAGGCCTCTTCTCGATCAAAACATCCAGGAATGGTAGCTTGCCATCATTTTCCACTTCCATGGTGAATTTGATGGATGGGTGTATGGAATTGATGTGGTTGGGAAATTGGTTCAGTGCTGGCTGGCCATGTGGCCAGATGACGAAAGTCATCTACAGTGAGGGAAAAAAGTATTTGATCCCCTGCTGATTTTGTACGTTTGCCCACTGACAAAGAAATGATCAGTCTATAATTGTAATGGTAGGTTTATTTGAACAGTGAGAGACAGAATAACAAGAAAATCCAGAAAAACGCATGTCAAAAATGTTATAAATTGATTCGCATTTTAATGAGGGAAATAAGTATTTGACCCCCTTTCAATCGGAAAGATTTCTGGCTCCCAGGTGTCTTTTATACAGGTAACGAGCTGAGATTAGGAGCACACTCTTAAAAGGAGTGCTCCTAATCTCAGCTTGTTACCTGTATAAAAGACACCTGTGCACAGAAGCAATCAATCAATAAGATTTCAAACTCTCCACCATGGCCAAGACCAAAGAGCTCTCCAAGGATGTCAGGGACAAGATTGTAGACCTACACAAGGTTGGAATGGGCTACAAAACCATTGCCAAGCAGCTTGGTGAGAAGGTGACAACAGTTGGTGCGATTATTCACAAATGGAAGAAACACAAAAGAACTGTCAATCTCCCTCGACCCGGGGCTCCATGCAAGATCTCACCTCGTGGAGTTGCAATGATCATGAGAACGGTGAGGAATCAGCACATAACTACACGGGAGGATCTTGTCAATGATCTCAAGGCAGCTGGGACCATAGTCACCAAGAAAACAATTGGTAACACACTACGCCGTGAAGGACTGAAATCCTGCAGCGCTCGCAAGGTCCCCCTGCTCACGAAAGCACATATACATGCCCGTCTGAAGTTTGCCAATGAACATCTGAATGATTCAGAGGACAACTGGGTGAAAGTGTTGTGGTCAGATGAGACCAAAATGGAGCTCTTTGGCATCAACTCAACTCACCGTGTTTGGAGGAGGAGGAATGCTGCCTATGACCCCAAGAACACCATCCCCACCGTCAAACATGGAGGTGAAAACATTATGCTTTGGGGGTGTTTTTCTGCTAAGGGGACAGGACAACTTCACCGCATCAACGGGACGATGGACGGGGCCATGTACCGTCAAATCTTGGGTGAGAACCTCCTTCCCTCAGCCAGGGCATTGAAAATGGGTCGTGGATGGGTATTCCAGCATTACAATGACCCAAAACACACGGCCAAGGCAACAATGGAGTGGCTCAAGAAAAAGCACATTAAGGTCCTGGAGTGGCTTAGCCAGTCTCCAGACCTTAATCCCATAGAAAATCTGTGGAGGGAGCTGAAGGTTCGAGTTGCCAAACGTCAGCCTCGAAACCTTAATGACTTGGAGAAGATCTGCATAGAGGAGTGGGACAAAATCCCTCCTGAGATGTGTGCAAACCTGGTGGCCAACTACAAGAAACGTCTGACCTCTGTGATTGCCAACAAGAGTTTTGCCACCAAGTACTAAGTAATGTTTTGCAGAGGGGTCAAATACTTATTTCCCTCATCAAAATGCAAATCAATTTTATAACATTTTTGACATGCGTTTTTCTGGATTTTTTTGTTGTTATTCTGTCTCTCACTGTTCAAATAAACCTACCATTAAAATTATAGACTGATCATTTCTTTGTCAGTGGGCAAACATACAAAATCAGCAGGGGATCAAATACTTTTTTCCCTCACTGTACGTACCTCTTCGACACCTCGAATGTAATTGCACTTGAGGAAAACTCTTACGTTAGACCGCGGAGGCGTTGTCCTCATGGCAAGAGCAATCGGCCACATGATCATCAATGATTACGCTTGGGAAAACTGTTACAAAGTCATTCTTTTCTGCCAACCGGTTATATCCGTGATTCCCATAATCTGAGCATGCCAAAGATTCGCGATGCCACGCTTACCCGCAGAAACGAAGGAACTTTCAGATGGTAATGATGACGAATAAACATAACCTAAGCACAACCGTAATGTCACGTTCACTGCGAGTTTAGCGTGCTGCCGCACGTCCCACTGTGCCTCCGACTGCAACGCCCATGCATCCCCGACACGTACATATCATATGACTCAGTGCGAACATCCTGTGCTAAAAATATTCAAAAAATATAAACAGGGACGATGTTGCCCTGCGAAGTTACGATGTCACGCAGGCACGAGCGTTTGTTCGCGTTATCTCCTCCAGATACGTCGTCGTTGACAAAGATAACAACCACAGCGACTGGGTGTGGTGGGGTCTGCCTGTTATGCAAGGGTTGGCAGATCACGTAGACTTGTTGAACCCTTAAAAACACACCGGCCCAGGGAAGTGCTTTGTTTGTGTTGAACGGATGCTGCCAGTCTCACGGCTTTAGGACATGAGACAAAGATTGACCTCTTTTCGTCTTACAGACTTGTTGGGCGGGTCAATAGAGTTAGTGAGCAACTATTTAGGATAACAGCTACAATTGACTGGGCCAGCACTGTGCACAGCGGTGTTTTGTCATCTGAGCGATGGTGAAGGTCGCTGAGCTTGACGTGCTTCTCATGCCATGGCCTTATGTGGTAGCTCAGCATTGTGGGAGACTTCACCCAGCCATCAGCAACTCATCCGTTTATCTCTGGATGCGACAGAATATACTTAGAATCCCGTTTTTTGGAGGAAAGAATTTATGGATCACGTAGATTTGTAAACTTCCCACACCAGGGGCGTCACACGGCTCAGGTGGGCCGCCTGTATGTATGTTTGTATGTTGAATTTCTTTTGCACTGTATGTAGCCAACTGTGCTAATTGGAAATGCAGGGGAAGGACAACAAACACAAAAAGCAATCCTCAAATAAATTAGTTTTTGATATAGATTTAAAAGTGCATCGCTCCAGTGCCTTCCTGGAGCAGAGGTTCGCCGTTCGAGCCTGGTGTCCACCCTGGTTAACACCGCGGGTCTATTAACCTTAAAAAAATACCACGTGCTGTCATATTCACAGTGGAGGTAAAATATACTCTGACACCATTGGAAATGAGTAGGCCGTTGCGTGCCAGCACCATTTGTCTCATACAAAAACCCCATAAATTACTTAATTAGGATTACTCAGCAGGAGCAGTAGCAAACAACATGGCCATCTATTGTGAAAACGTGGCAGAAAACCCTCCGGTGGAGCACCAGACGGTCAGCGGCACACCCGCACACACGCACGCGCGCACACACACACACACGCACACACACACGCACACACACACGCACACACACACGCACGCACACGCACAAGGGAGAAACCGCGGCGGCGCACCTGCGGAGGGACACGCGGTGGCTGGCAAGGCCCTGGCCACCTCGTCGGCCTCCGCCTCCTGGGTCGCCGCCTGCAGGCTGTGGCGTCGCTGCCAGATCGCCTCCTCGTTGTCCGGGCCCCGGCCGTCGGCCTCGCCGCGCTCCGGGACTCCGGCCGCGGTCGCCATCCCTCCGCACGCGCCGCAGCACGCCCGGCCGCCCGCGCCCTGGTGGCCACGCAGTAGCGAACGAGCGCGCGCGAATGGAACCCCCGCGTCACGGCCCGCGAGTGCGCACGCTGCGAGTATGCGCTCGTGCACGCCTAGGGGGAGACTGCATGCATGGTGCGGGATGTCAAGAGGAGAGGTGGTAAACTAGGAGGAGCCACCCAGCTGTTCCGCAACCGCAACCACTCAGAAGTCGCAACTTAGCCGGACCGCGTTGGCTGATTAAATTGTTTTCCTAAAATGGTTTCGGAATGTTATGGAAGAATTTGTAAACTGTATACCTGAGAATGTGTAATGTATAATATAATTTACTATACCACGTTGCGTGCACAATGTAGAAAACGTTGCTGAAGTGTATTAACCCTTTCCCGTTCCGATGACGTACGTAAGAAAAGCTTAAATAACTTCATTGGCACCGAGGCTCCCAAAAGGCCATGCGGGGAGGGCGTGTGGCACAATTTGCCGCCAGCTATCATAGAGTGCGGTCGTGTCACTACAGTTCTCTGCAATGAGTGCAATGTCGTTTAAAAAAAAACGGTGCTATGCCTCTCTAAATAAAATGAATGCTCACCACTTGCGCGTTCCAAGATTCGGAGGTGAACGAGACCCACCCTGCAACTTGCAGACATCTCGGAACGACAAAGAGTTCAATGTACTTCTGGTAGTATGTAAGTAGGGGTGGTAGAGGCTGGCTGGGAGCGGTGATAGGGGAGGAGTAGTTGAGAAATTGGGAGAACCCTCAAACCAAAGGATATAATTACCATACTCATACAGCCTTACATATACGTACACATATGCACGCACAGAGCTTGTGTGTAGCGATTACTACCTGCCTCCTGCCAAAGCCGCATACTCCTGTGAATACGAACAGGATCCAAGAGCCACAGCAGACGAGTCAAACGACAAGCAATGCAGGAACCTGGAGACCTGAAGTTACAACAGATACGTACAGCACTTTTGCAATGAGCACAAACACAAAGACAAACACCCCCCCATAAATAGCCTAACAGAGTGTTGGGGGCAAGTGCTGTTCGCGAGCAGCACCGATGATCAATCAACAAAATTAAACTTGATTTAATACAGCGCCCTTCACCAAATTAATTATCAGAGTGCTTCAATTGTAAACATAAACATTATATCATTAAAACTTTAGATACACAAAATAGTCAAAAGTACGCGCAGTTCCGAATATATAAAAGAAAATATAAAATACGTCTTTAGCCTGATTTAAAAAAACGCAATATCTTCCAAATGGCGTGTACCATGACCACCCTACACGCTGTACCATGACCACCCTACACGCTGTACCATGAACACCCTACACGCCACACAATTAACACCATACACACTGCACCATAAACACCCCTACACACTGCACTAAGAACACCCGACATGCTGCACCATGAACACCGTACACACTGCACTTTGAACACCCTATACGCAGCACCCTGAACACCCTACAGGCTGCACCATGAACATCCTACATGCTGTATCATGAACACCCTACACACTGCACATTGAACATCCTACACGCTGTACCATGAACACGCCGCACCATGAACACCCTACAAGCTGCACACCCTACACGATGCACCACGAACACTCTGCATGCTGTACTGTGAACATCCTACATGCTGCATAGTGAACACCCTACAAGCTTCATACCCTACATGCTGCACAACGAACACCCTACATGCTGCACCACGAACACCCTACATGCTGTACCATGAACACCCTACACACTGTACCATGAACACCCTACAGACTGCACCATGAACACCCTACATGCTGCACCATGAACATCCTACATGCTGCACCACGAACACCATGCACGCTACACAATGAACACAGTGCATCATGAACACCATACATGCTGCACAACAAACACCCTACACGCTGTACCATGAACACCCTACATGCTGCACCACGAACACCCTACATGCTGCACCATGAACACCCTACATGCTGCACCATGAACACCCTACATGCTGCACCATGAACACCCTACATGCTGTACCATGAACACCCTACATGCTGCACCACGAACACCATGCACGCTACACAATGAACACAGTGCATCATGAACACAATACATGCTGCACCCCCTACACGCTGCACCATGAACACCCTACATGCTGCACCACGAACACCCTACATGCTGCACCATGAACACCCTACACGCTGCACCATGAACACCCTACATGCTGTACCATGAACACCCTACAGACTGCACCATGAACACCCTACATGCTGCACCATGAACACCCTACATGCTGCACCACGAACACCCTACATGCTGCACCATGAACACCCTACACGCTGCACCATGAACACCCTACATGCTGTACCATGAACACCCTACAGACTGCACCATGAACACCCTACATGCTGCACCATGAACATCCTACATGCTGCACCACGAACACCATGCACGCTACACAATGAACACAGTGCATCATGAACACAATATATGCTGCACGACAAACACCCTACACGCTGCATCATGAACACAACACATGCTGCACAACAAACACCCTACACTCTGCACCATGAACACCCTACATGCTGCACCATGTTACACCCTACACGCTGCACCACGAACACCATGCACGCTACACAATGAACACAGTGCATCATGAACACCATACATGCTGCACGACAAACACCCTACATGCTGCACAATTTGAACAACCTACTCGCTGCACCACGAACACCCTACAACACACAAAACCGCACTGAAAACCCTTACACTCGGACTACGAACCCACCGACCTGGGGTACTGACGGTCGACCGGGCAGCACACGACGGCTCCCGCCCACTAACCCCGTCTCCTGAAGACCGGAGGAGCTGTCAGAGTTGGGGGTGACGATACTGCAGATTTCCCAACTCACTTCACTTTGCTGAGTGCACGGTGTACGATAAATACGTACAATCGGTGGTGGTCTCCACGGTCAGATAGAAAATGATAAACGAATGTGAAACGTAATTAATTCATACACGATTGCTACAATCACGTAGCGTGAGCTGCATTACAATGAAATGCAATCACAGGTTGACCTGCACCCCCACATATGCGAGGGTAATGTCTGTAATGTGAGTATTCAATTGCTGCCTGTTTAAATAAAAAATATTAAATCAACGTTACTTTACAGTTTTGTTCACCGTTTCCATGAGAAAAGTATGTTATTTTAACGATGGCATTTGACGTGTGGAACGAACTGATACATTTGAATTACGAGATTATATTACAATAGCCTAAAATTAACTTAAAACTTTCGTGACTGCAGGCATTAATATTCTTGGTTCTGTCGGTACAGTCAGATAGATAGAAAAGAAAAATAAGAAATAAAAATGTCAAATTAAATTAACATACAAAAACACCGACTAAATAAAAATGGGAAAATGATGCTCCGAATATCATGTTTTTGATACGAGTTTGTTATTTATGTGACTAAAGACTTGCAATGTGTTTGTTGCAATACAGAAACAAATTAGCTTACGTCATGAAGCAGTTCAGCTATTTTCACCTCAAAGTATTTCCTCCTGCTAGTTATAAAACTACAACGGAAAAATATGCAACAGTTACAATAGCCGTAAAGTGGGAAAACACGTTGACAAAGTACTGAAAATGCTTACCTACTGATCTATCAAGGACGAGCAATTATCAAAACATAAGAAGCCTGGAGAAAAAAAAAAACCCACCAAACAACCAACACGTGAACTGGCAGCAGCCGCCTTCACCTTGGCTGCGCACGCCACCACGACCGGGCGCTCGCGCTCCAAGCCCCCCGCTCCCCGCACGCCCGGCCCGACCGCGTCCTCCTCGGTGGCGGACGCCAAACCCTTGCAGGTGGCGTGCAGCATCATCGTCGTCGTCGTCGTCGTCGTCACCGTCCGCACGGAGCGGAGCTGGCGACGACGCACGCGGGGCCGCAGACGCACGGCCCCTCCTCTGGGTGCCGGCCAGCGGGAGGAGGGGGACGATGGCCGCGCTACATCTGCGCGACGAGGCGCCTTCCTGCCCAACTTTTATTCCGCCTCGTGAGTGAGGGCGGCGGTGGGGGGTTGGGGGGAAAATAAAAAATAATCTGCAAGCCCCCCGAGAGAACATGACGTCGGAATTGCATCTGCAAGTGCGCCTGGTTATCCGCCGCACGCCGCGACTTCCCATTTGAACGTCAAACTCCCGCTGATGTCGCTGCTGCACCCTCCCGTAGCTTTCTTCTCGCTAGCTGCCGCACTGTCGGCGCTCAACCTCCAAGGTTCTTGCCGCGTCCCTGGCCACGCGGGCCGCGATCCAAACGCAGGTTCTTGCCCCCTTGGCTGACAACCTCTGGGTGCCGCTCCAAATGCCTGCCCTCAGTAACGTTCCCTCCTGCACTCATGTCTCTCGTCCACTTAACCGGGACGGCGATGGCTATTCGCACGGCTGCCTGTAATACAACACGGTGGAGGCGGTGAGGGTTAGCGGATCTCCCTTCCTGTGGGTGTCGGGGAGTCATACCCTGGCTCTCCAGGAGAAGTAAAATGTGGACTACGTCTGTTTTACCTGTATGGGATACAGTGTTGCCTCCTCCCATGTGTGGGTTTTCTCTGGGTGCTCTGGTTTCTGTCTTGCATACATACATACACTCATTCATTTGGCTACTAACTACTTAATATATAGAGGATCGCAGTGCTTGGGGGGAGGATTTAGCGCCGGCTCACCACGCAGTTGACTTCGCCGCTTGCCTGTGGTTGCTCCTCCGAGTCGTTCTCTCTCGACGAGGGTGAGCGAATACTGTGGTGCGGTGCGTTACGATTTGACGTGACTATTGCTGTAATAATACATTATCAATTATCGCTTGAGCTCAAGAGTTCAACCGCTGCACGGCAGTCCATGTGACCAAAAAACGCTCACAGTTCCACATCCCAGTGCTGAACAAAATAACCCCTTAATTACGCCGTTGGGATCGCACACGGCAGATACCTGGGCACACGCATGCGATAATATAAAAATTATAATAAATAATAATTTTGATTGAAAAGGTGCCCTTAAAGAATGGATCTAACGAATGCCAAGTAATTTCAATATAAACCATTCCTAGCTACGAGGCAGCTCTCTCGACACCGTTGGCAGCCCAAAGTCTTCTCACTGCTTAAAGCTTTTGTGACTGCAAGGATTCATCTTCTTTGATTCTTTCGGAAAAGTCACGTAGAATGAGAATAAAATAACACAATAAAATTCTCACGACGTTTCGGCCACAACGCAAGCGGCCGTCTTCAGGCGAAGCTCTGTCGTCCCGACAGTTCTGTACCTTTCACCTGAAGACGGCCGCTTGCGTTGTGGCCGAAACGTCGTGAGAATTTAATTGTGTTATTTTATTATTTTATTCTCATTCTACGTGACTTTACCGAAAGAACCAAAGAAGATCTTCTCACTGCTGTTCGCTTCACTGCCGCACAGCAGACAGAGACGCTTGTGGTTGCGCACGCGGCCTCATGTTTAGGAGGATTATATTTGAGCATTGTGTGCGCAGGGTAAACGATGAACGGGACGAGCGTGGGTGAGAGGTGCAGTTGCATTGTTTGACTGATGTGCTCAAATGTTGGGAGCGCGCTCCAATTGCGGGGAGTGTACTCACACACGCGCTGCGTGTCACATTAAAATAGACCGCGTAGTTGTTTCTCTCACACTCGCACACACATGGCTTAATACGGATTTATCCGGGGATGCGGGTGCGAGCAGAGATTACGCCACGTTCTAACTTTGCTGGGTGAATTTAACACGCCGGGGTTTGTATGGATGTATGTTGAACTCCTTTCGAAGCCAACCACGCTTATCGGAGGTGCTGTAAATTAAATGGGTTTGTGAACTTCAACGCTCTTTGTAAATGAAAGTACCCATTGAGTAATATGGCATTTGTATTTCTAAATTAAACTCTGCATACCATAGTGGAACGCTGCATACCATCACGACATAATTGGCAGGTTATTACTACAAATGTTCATCACCAACTCGACGCAGAGCAACGGCTTAAAAATATCCAAGAGGACTGGCTCATGCACGTTTAACATCAATGTTTCAAAGCATGAACCGCTGCATTTAAGTGACACCAATCTCTTACATTGGTTCAGGATGCGATGCTTTCCACGTACCCTTCAAGCTTGCCAACGATTTCGTTGCAGTAATTAAAACTATTTCCATTTTACCAGGTAAGACCCACTGAGCTATAGAGCTTGGCCACAAATGATAGCTCAACGAAGTGGCTCATCATGTGGAAATGTATAGCAGCCAAATACTTTAAACGCTCATTTATTATAAATGTGGAGGAAAAAACCGGAGGAGGACCTAGAGAAAAATCCACGCGACTACGGGGAGAGAGATATGCAAACTCCAAATGTACAGGCGTCAGGGTCGGGATCGAACACACGACCTCCTGTACACCCGGCGAGGTGGTTAACATCTCGGCACAGCGGCGCGCATCATCCTAGGTAAGCATGTGCGTACGTACGTACACGATAAGAGCAGCTCGCACGGGGCTGCTCTGAGGAGCGTGGAACTTGCCGCACGCCTCACCTGAGTCCTGCTCCCCTCGGCCGTCCCATCTGTGGCCGCGTCAACGGAGGCCTCGTCCTCGTCCTGCGACGAGAAGGCGGTGCTCTCCGAGAGGCGGGCGCTGTCGAAGGACGACACGCACGTGGTGGTGCCGCTGTCCAGGGAGGAGACGCGCGTAGCGGAGCACGCCGGACACGCTGCATCGCCCCGGTTCACGACTCCCTCCGGCGTCCGGCCTCCCGTCTCCACGTCCGACGCGGCCGCCTCCGCGAGGGGACTCCCTGCCCCACCCGCTTCGTGCTCCTCGGGGGCCTCCTCCTCTCGGGAGCCGCCCCCGTCCGAGACCATGCGGCCCGGGCTCGGTTCCGCTACGCTCTCGGTTCCCAACACGTTGCAGACGGGGACGTCCGGATCGGCCGTCCCGTCAAACGCCACCACGGCGGAGCCTCTCCGCTCCTCGGCGCCGTCTCCGCTCCCGAGCCTCTCCGCGGCGCTCCGCTCGGCTCCGGCGGGGCACTCTGGTCTCGCCTCGTCCCAATCTGGGCTTCGCTCGGGCCGCCGCACCCCAATAGGGCCCACTTCCTCGTCGCCGGCACCCAGCACAGCTCTGTTGTCTTCCAACGTTCGCTCCGCGCCGTCGGCCCCTTCCGATCCCGGGGACCCGTCGCGGACGCCGCCATTGTCGTCGTCCGGCCTAGTGCCACCTCCAACCGCGGCCGCGTGCCGGCCCCGCGGGTCGCCGTTGCCGCCGTCACCGCCGCCGCCGCCGTCGCCGTCGCCGTCGTCGCCGCCCGTGAGGCGCGTGGACGGCAGGCTGTAGAGCAGGCGGTGCAGCGCCACGTAGTGGGTGCGCGGGGTGGTCGGCTGGCGCATCTCCAGCACCGAGGCCTCCACGCTCTCCAGCTCTGACACGACCAGCGACAAGGGCCGCATCTCCGCCGCGGGCCGAGCCTCCCCCAACGGGGAGAGCGACGAGCGCGTCCGCGCCCCCGCGTCCCCGGTCCGGTTCGACAGACCCTCGGGGAAGCCCGCCTCGCTCCTCACCAGCTGGGGCACCCTCTGCTCGCCGGGGTGCGTGCCGGGACTCTCGCAGTCCGAGTCGATGTACAGGATCGTGTTCAGCCTGCTGTTTGTTGGGAAACTGCTGCTGAGGGCCACGGCGGGCGTCACGCGGTGGCCCTGGCGCTGAGCGGCGGCCGCTGCCTGCCCCTCCACCAAGGAGTCCAGGTAATCGTTGAGGGAGCCGTGCCTGTTGGAGGCAGCTTCGGCGGCAGACGCAGCGGCCGCGGCGGCGGCCGCGTCCGCCTCCTCCAAGGCCCCTTCGCCGGCCCACGCGGCCACGCTGGCGTCCTCGGCGAACACGTCGTCGTGCGGGCGTGCTTCCTCCAGCCCCCTCTGCACGGCGCCGTTAGCGTAGGACCTCTGGGCGGCTCCCAGGGTGCCGCCGCTCGTCTGGGTCTGCTCTTCGTCGTCCGAGGGGCTGGTCACGTCGCCGTTCGTGGCCGACACGCCGATGTAGGCCCCCGCCGAGTCGGGCGATGCGTCTGCACAGCACGGGGAATCGACTGAACAATTGAGCGGTTAATTTTTTTGGTTTGTTTTGTTTACATGAATTAGCAGGGGATATGGCCTCTTTTGGGTTTTGGTGGGTTGGTGGAATTGATGGGCGGAGTTGTTGCTGTTGTTCAAGAATAGCTCGATAACTAAAAGCGCTGCTGTCATTAGAGTGGAAGATTGAATACTTAACATGAAAACTTCTCTGTTAAGCGAGAAACCACTACCAACGCCATCAACTCGGTGACCGAAAATCGGTCACCAATCTCCACACAGAAACAAGTCAAGCTGTAATTAAACCTCGTTGGTCAACTATGAAAATGCAATTTCATTTCACCGCCACCAAGTTTATCGAACTTTTTCAAGCATCCTGAACTTCTACAACAGACACATCGCAAGACAGAAACAATCAATAACCATTAGTGCAAAAGAGGCTTACAACTTTATACCCTTTGCAGGATAATTACTTTTCTTAACTTACTGAGGAGCACATCTGATTTCCAAGCTACCCTGCTCCCAATGTACACTACATTTAGACAGTGGTTTAAAATTATTCCTGCTTTGAAAGATTTACCATTGTAATATTATCAATGAATACTGTTTTGTGAAATTTATATTACAGTTAACTGAATTTACAAACGCATCTTCTTCGCTGCGAGTTTTTAGTATAGATGAATGTGCTTACTGGCTATGTGGGTTCTTAAACATTATGAGAGTTGCAGTGTTATACTATACTGTATTCATTTCATTTTACCAGGTAAGGCCCACTGAGCTATATAGCTCTTTTTCAGAAGCGACCTGGCCACAAATGATACCTCAACGAAGTGGGTTTATCATGTGGAAATGTATAGCAGCCAAATACTCTAATCAGGTGTTTATAAATGTGGAGGGAAAATCTGGAGGACCCAGAGAAAAATCCACGCGACCACGGGGATAACATACAGGCATCAGGATTGGAATCAAACCCATGTCCTCCTGCATACCAGGCGAGATGTTAACTATCTCGCTTGGCATACATTTAGAAACTTGCGTTTCGAGCATTTGGCTGCTGTAAACATCCACATGATAAGCCACTTCGTTGAGCTATCATTTGTGGCCAGGTCGCTTCTGAAAAAGAGCTACATAGCTCAGTGGGGCCTTGCCTGGTAAAATTTAAAATAGTTGAGCAAAAATAGCAGTAAAGAGGCGGCACCTGGGTGCATGGAGGAAGTGATCTCGAAGCGGAACTGCAGCTGGCCGCTCACGTGGTCGGTGGGCATCCTTCGCGTCAGATTGTAGCTCAGCACCTGATCACTGCAAAGACAAAGACCCACCCCATAGAGCCTTAAACTACTGTTGGGGCAAGTGCTGTTAGCGAGCACCTACAGTATGAAGGCCGGCATGGCACACGAGGGGTTGGGTGGCCAGCACCATGACCGACCTCCTTTGTCTCCCTAATGGCGATGTTTATACACCGCACGAGGTACTCAATTGAGGCTGAGTCGACCTAGGGGAGGCCCAGAACCGGTTCAGACAAAAAGAAACCCAGCAGTTGGTGGGTGACTTCATCTTAAGGGCTTTGTACAATGGGGGATTCTGGAACCGGAACCCTGACAGTAACCGTGTCTCACCAGTACTTGTCCAGACAACGTGTGCCAGTAACTTCGTCCAGCGAAGAGTCACCGGCAATGGTAAACAACAGGAGCAAGCCAATCATTGCGAGTGACGAATTTAAGCAGCGTGATAATGATGAGGCGTGTAACGTGTCAATATCACGCAAATGACAGACGCATCAAATTGTACTAATATATATGGAAATGTTGCACAGAAATGTTTCCTATAGGCTGCGGCAGTAGTTCTCAACCAGGGTTCGTGGACCCCTGGAGTATGTGTCAATGTTTGAGGGGGTACGTGAGGTGATTTATGTGTTAAATTATATCATACACGAGAGTCATTGCTGAATAATCACATATGAATCTGCCAATACAAATGAACTACGATAACATTTTAATCGAAATGGTAATCTAGAACCACATAAAAGGCCTGTAGTTTCCAAGAATAATATAGTCAGCGAGTGTGAACAATTTACGCCACACATGCAGAGCGTCCGTTGATTTTTTATTCGCTTGCATTTACTAGCTAGTTAGGATACCTCACAAAATGGACAAGTGGTTGAAATATTGATGTTAATTACTCATACATTTATTTCTCAGAACCATGATGGGTCAGGCAAGGGGGTAACTCGGTTGAAACAAAATTCAACAAGGGGTGTACAGTAGCCAAAAATAGGTTGAGAACCACTGGGCTAGGGGTCAGAGGATGAATGACCCGGAGAAACTGTACCGGCACAAGCGAGACGTGCAGTAAGGATTGAGACAGAGACACCGCTGGCGAGACGTCTACGGGAGTGAGCGAATTGTGCGAGCGTTACAAGTCAGAAACAGCGTTCGATGAGGCAGAACAAGACGGTGCAAAGGAGACCAAAAGGAATTGTTTCAAGAATCAAAATCATGACCCTGAATCGTGACAATCCATCAAACTGTACAGAGGTGGATAACAAACATTAAAAAAGGGGTAAATGAACCTCATGGCAGGACCCCGGGGTCCCAAAGCCGCCAGCTCTCGCATAAACATTATATTATAATGTAATTATATTATAATGTAAACATTATATTATAATGTAAACATTATATTATAATGTAAACATAATATTATAATATAAACATTATATTATAATGTAAACATTCTATTATAATGTAAACATAATATTATAATGTAAACATAATATTATAATATAAACATTATATTATAATATAAACATTATATTATAATGTAAACAAAAAATTTGCTCTTTTTCACCAATGGGTGTAAAGGATGGTGGCAAGTGTTGTCTTGTTAAACTATGCCTTTAAAACTGAATACCAGCAAGATAATCTTAAAATCAATATGGATACGGACAGCGGGCCAGTGATGGGACAGGACCACAGGTGTGATGTGATCCTTAAATGAATAGTTACATACACAAGCATGAGTCCTAACATATAAATGCTTTTCTAGGCTTGCTGAAGAGAAGAGTTAATCAATTTCAATAAGCTCTCTCTATTGTAGCAATGATTTTAAGACACTGTATATTTCTACCTCTCTGGCCTCTCTATGCGCTGAGAAGAATGACCATTGTCCAAAATGTCACCTGTTATACACTTTCTCTTTTTAAGGCCGCACAATTGAGGTTTCTTGATGTTACTTGTGCTTTTTGCAGCAGTAGCAGCGGCGTCAACAAATTATTTAACACTGAATAACCGACCCGAAATGTCACCATTGCAACTGCGACCGGTCTCCTAGCGATTGAGAGCTTAGTTCGAGGGAGGAGACGGCTGTCACTTTGTGGACACGTCGCCCCGTCTTGACGCGCAAACTCCTGGAGCAAATTTCTCTCACTTCAGTTGGCGTTCGACGTTCGAAGCGCACTGCGACGCTCGCAGGAATGGTGCCCCCCCCCTCACCCCTCCCCGTGATCGCCTTCGTCACAAGTGGATCAAACAAAGCACTGGAGACGCCGGCGTATGGCAGCAAAAGGAGTGTCTGTGAACGCTGTCGCAAGAGGTCACACTTTTGGCACAATGGTCCTTTGCTGGCTGTGCGTCTGTGATGAATGAACCGACGACCGCTCGGCAGCAGCACGGGCGTGGCGCTGCGAGTACCCGATGGCGTGTCTCTCGAGCAGCCTCTGCACAGGGATGCCCAGTTTGCCGAGGAAGCGGCGGATGATGGGTCGGCTCTTGGCAAACTTGTCCTTCACCTCAATCTCCAGCATGTCGGTGGGGAGAGCCACGAAGCTGTAACCCTGCAGCGGGATGCGGACACGCAGAGAGACACGTGGGGGGGGGGGCAGCACTACTCAAGTACCTCTGATTAGCACGGTTGGCTACGTACAGTGCAAAAGAAGTCGAATGTACATGAGGAAAAGGTGCAAATATGAGCAAACGCGGATGCCGTTTCTTAGCGGATTCCGACGTTTTGGAAAGAAAACAAATTCCCACAATTCTCGATGGCAAAATTCTACCAAGGATCGAACAATACAAGAGAAGTACAAACATTACAATTTAGATGGAGAGACTGTCATGGCAAGAGTTGCTAGCAGCCACATCTTAAGGCCATCATTTCGCCAGCATCAGAATTGTAGAGCATTGTCAAAACCACTATACCACCTCTTTCATGCAAAGACAAAGATCTCTCAGTTGGTCCTACAGGCTGGAGAGACCCGAATCGTATCATGAACACAAAGGGTGGTACGGTACATTCGAGAGATGCGTGGTCAAGCACCACGGTCGACAGCCTTTGTCTCGTCAGCGCTGATATTCACACAACAGCAATAACTCAGTTCACTCCGAGGCCACCCCACAGAAACCCAGGCCAAGTTCATGCTCCAATTGCTACTGGTTTTATGCGTGAGCAGGAGTCGAACCCAGTTAGCCAGGATCGTATCCACAGCTCCCTTTCGTATATGTACAATCACACACACTGATTTTATATGGCTAACCAGCAGAATGCCTGTCTGAGCTATATGAAACTTATCGTATGGAACTTTAATGTGATTTTTGGGTTCGGATTTAACAAAGCGCACCATGAGTGGTCAAGCGGATGTTGCAGACCAAGATCACAATGTAACTTACCCACGACTAAGTTGCAAGAAAAGAATTACTCTACGTAACTAAAACACGAAAGCCAGCATCAAAAAACATATCTAACAAGTGTCACGGGACTCTCATCTGGTAATAAAGCACTAGCAATCGGATTTCATGTTATTTATATTTAAGAAATGTTTGAAAATTAGCAAATGAAAAATACATAAATAAACAAAGCAACAATTAAGCTATCGGAATATTTCTTTAAATTCATATGCAGCTATAGCTTCTATTCACCCCACCCCGACTGTCCTATATGCACTCAGGTATCGCTAGGGCACTTCCGCCTGGAATGGGAGAGGCACACACGTTCACAGAATGCACAACGCAGCCATACGCACGCGCGCCACATGGAACACACAAATGTATGACAGCGGATGACTACTAAGAAGTATAAGTACTCTGAGCATAGATACACAGCAGTGCATGCATATGGAAACATAATAATAAATCCTCGCCAGGGAAGTTTTAGCGATCAGCAAAAACCTGCAGCTAGCTGCAGGAAGCGCTTTGAGGTAACAGATTTGTGGTGCCTGGGGTCAATTCAGCAGTCAGCACGAGAGGACCCAAGATCACAGAACCACCTTTTCATACAGACACAATAACCCTAAATAAGATGTGGCATACAAACACAAACCGTACATGTGCACAAGTGACAAGGCACTGCCTTAATTTTGGCAGACAGAGTCTATACTTTGGCTCCCATCAATTCTACAGACCGAGATTTGCCATGAAGCCTCGATAATCTAGGCACAGCAGGGTCATGATGCCAACCGTGGAGAGCCAGTGCCCAGTCAGGACCACTCAAATCATTCCTGAGCGTCATGAGTCTTGTCACTCGATCACAGCTTTAACAGCCAATCGGGCATGACACATACGTTTGTGTAGTAGCAACTTGGCAGGAGTTGGTAGGCTGCTGTGTAGCGGTGTGGTGGTGTGGTGGGCTGGCCAGCATTCCGGTGGTGTGGTGACTCACTGTGCAGCAGTGTGGTGGTGTGGTGGGCTGGCCAGCATTGCGGTGGTAGTGTGGTGGCGTGTTAGAACACTGGTAACATTTTCCGGCAATAGAACCTCACGTGAGCGCAGGCAAGAGGGGCTCTGCCGTGTGGGGGTTCCACGCAACGTTGGCGCACGGCGTCGCGGTGGCGTGTGGGCGCAGGAAGGACGGGGGGGGGGGAAGACGGGGGGGGGGGATGACGGGGGGGGGACTGAGGGGAGGGCGGGGGTGGGGGCGGGCGGGAGCGCGGTACCTCGCCCTGCCACGCGGGGTTGGTGGTGTTGGTGACGATGCCGGAGCGGCGCTCCTGGCCGTGGTGTGGCAGTGTAGGGAAGGTGCTGCGCTTGCCGGGGTGGATCGAGATCTTGAGGTACGGGTCCGGGTTAAAGAACATCCCTTTCTTGAGCGCCGTCGCACGCAGCTCTGTCGCAAGCGGTCAGCGCGCACGCAATCGGGCCGTGTGAGTAACGACTATTTAAGTGCTTAAATGTGTTGGGCAATTCATCGCCGGCACTCAGAACCGTGCTGCCCAGAGGATCCTACCAGAGAGGGAGAAGCTGATGAGCCGACGCGTGTGCTGGCCTGGCTCATCGTCCTCGCTCGTCCCATCCAGGCTGGCCTGCTCGGCACGACCGCACACACACCAAAGACAAAAATCACCCGTATGGCCTAAACAGGTCAGTACTCTCTGGTTCTATTGGGTAAAGTCACGTAGGTAAAAAATTAAATAACAAAAATCACGACGTTTCGGCCACAACACAAGCAGCCTTCATCAGGTGAAGGGACGAGACTCTCTGGAGGACAGCGCTGGAGTGAAAAAAGCCATGCTCAGATCACGACCTTTAAGCTGTGTGAGAACGAAACAAAGCGCCTTGACAAAGGAATTAGCATATAATTTAGCATTGAAATGGCTCATTGAAATAGCTAAGTTAAAGTATACACGTCCGCAGAGGCACCCCTTGACAAAGGTCAGCACACATACCGCATACAGTGAGGGAAAAAAGTATTTGATCCCCTGCTGATTTTGTACGTTTGCCCACTGACAAAGAAATGATCAGTCTATAATTTTAATGGTAGGTTTATTTCAACAGTGAGAGACAGGATAACAACAAGAAAATCCAGAAAAACGCATGTCAAAAATGTTATAAATTGATTTGCATTTTAATGAGGGAAATAAGTATGACCAAAGATTTCTGGCTCCCAGGTGTCTTTTATACAGGTAACAAGCTGAGATTAGGAGCACACTCTTGAAGGGAGTGCTCCTAATCTCAGCTTGTTACCTGTATAATAGACACCTGTCCACAGAAGCAATCAATCAATCAGATTCCAAACTCTCCACCATGGCCAAGACCAAAGAGCTCTTCAAGGATGTCAGGGACAAGATTGTATACCTACACAAGGCTGGAATGGGCTACAAGACCATTGCCAAGCAGCTTGGTGAGAAGGTGACAAGAGTTGGTGTGATTATTCGCAAATGGAAGAAACACAAAAGAACTGTGAATCTCCCTCGGCCTGGGGCTCCATGCAAGATCTCACCTCGTGGAGTTGCAATGATCATGAGAACGGTGAGGAATCAGCCCAGAACTACACGGGAGAATCTTGTCAATGATCTCAAGGCAGCTGGGACCATTGTCACCAAGAAAACAATTGGTAACACACTACGCCGTGAAGGACTGAAATCCTGCAGCGCCCGCAAGGCCCCCCTGCTGAAGAAAGCACATATACATGCCCGTCTGAAGTTTGCCAATGAACATCTGAATGATTCAGAGGACAACTGTGTGAAAGTGTTGTGGTCAGATGAGACCAAAATGGAGCTCTTTGGCATCAACTGAACTCGCCGTGTTTGGAGGAGGAGGAATGCTGCCTATGACCCCAAGAACACCGTCCCCACCGTCAAACATGGAGGTGGAAACATTATGCTTTCGGGGTGTTTTTTCTGCTAAGGGGACAGGACAACTTCACCGCATCAAAGGGACGATGGACGGGGCCATGTACCGTCAAATCTTGGGTGAGAACCTCCTTCCCTCAGCCAGGGCATTGAAAATGGGTCGTGGATGGGTATTCCAGCATGACAACGACCCAAAACACACGGCCAAGGCAACAAAGGAGTGGCTCAAGAAGAAGCACATTAAGGTCCTGGAGTGGCCTAGCCAGTCTCCAGATCTTAATCCCATAGAAAATCTGTGGAGGGAGCTGAAGGTTCGAGTTGCCAAACGTCAGCCTCGAAACCTTAATGACTTGGAGAAGATTTGCAAAGAGGAGTGGGACAAAATCCCTATTGAGATGTGTGCAAACCTGGTGGCCAACTACAAGAAACGTCTGACCTCTGTGATTGCCAACAAGGGTTTTGCCACCAAGTACTAAGTCATGTTTTGCAGAGGGGTCAAATACTTATTTCCCTCATTAAAATGCAAATCAATTTATAACATTTTTGACATGCGTTTTTCTGGATTTTGTTGTTCTCTCTCACTGTTCAAATAAACCTACCATTAAAATTATAGACTGATCATTTCTTTGTCAGTGGGCAAACGTACAAAATCAGCAGGGGATCAAATACTTTTTTCCCTCACTGTACATGCCGCACATCAACACACACACACCACACAAGCCGCACGTGCCCATCACCAGCTCAGCACACGGCTTACACACACGCGCACGTATAGCCAGAGAGGCCTTGATCTCAGAGGTCAAGCGTCGTCACGATTCTCAGATGGGCAGAGTCATTTGTCGACTTGCCTTGTGGTTAAGTTCGCATGCCGTGGTGGGGGGGCTCATGAAGGGCCCGCACCTCTGATTAGCACGGCTGGCTACATACGGTGCAGAAGAAGTTCAACGTACGTACGTACATACAAGGGCGTGCCGCACGCGGTAGAGGGGGCGCACCGGGCCGCGCCGCTCACCGTAGGGTTGGGATTGCGGATGGTGATGCACGGGGTGACCGCGCGCAGCGCCCCGCTCACTCCGTGGTAATACTTGAAGCAGATCTTGGTCTCCGCTTCGTATGAAAAACGAACGAACCAGAGAGAGACCCGCGTCGTCAGCGGCTCGCGTCCCGAGGCGGCAGGGGGAGCGCCGCGCAAACCCGGGCCGCGCGGAACGACGCAACCGGATGCAATTCGGATTGACCCCCTCACAAACACTATTCGCATTAGAATGACCACCTTCCGTTTCGCAAGGCGACGTGCATCGTCGTCGCCATCGTTTATTATTTACACCTCGTCGAACATGCACTTCATGCGGGGCTGCCGGATCAAAGGGGTATTTGACAAAATAACATGGGAATCAACATCGGAAGGTGACCATTGTTATTAACACCCGGATACGAATATAGACGCAGACAGGGCCTCCGTCTATAAGGAACAGTACAAGCCAAAGGTATGGTAAACAAGATAGCACCGTCTACAGCGGCGGATGCGGGAGTGAGGCAGTCACCCCACCTTTGGAGACCCAAAAATGGGTATTTTATTGATATTCACCAGAGAAAATACGTTGAATGTGTATATTTCTTAAAATAGATGTTAATGTAGGCCCCAATACAAAAAAGCTTGAAATCTCAGGGCTGCCCCCCTTGGAAATGTAATAGATCTGCCTCAGATCCTCTACAGCCACAAAGCCCCTTTTTAAGGAGGCCCTGCAGCTTGTAAGAAGGCATTTCTGCATAACAGCTCTCGGCACAATCATTTGAGTAAAGCAGTAGCGAAAGACTGCACTGATGTTTGAACTGGTTTCACATTATTTGGCACAGTGTTTGGCCAATTCGATGTTGAGGAAAGCTGGCAGCTGTGGAGAGAAACCAGAAAAGCCATAAAAAAACTCACGTACATGAGCGGAGACACTCAAAGGTGTGCACAGGACATGTTCACGAACCCACTTGCTGTACTGCACTATCCTGGCCCCACCTCATCACAGGCCATTTGGTTTGGGAGTTCTGCAAGTCTGCATCAAACCCCAACCTTTGCCTCTCAAGAGCTGCGATGCAAGCTCCATTCCTCCTTCATTGTGTTTTCTAATCTGCGCCCATTGTATTCAAACACGAGGCTTTCGAGATGCATAAACTCGTGGACATCAGTGAATATTTTTTCTTTCCCCACTGGAGCGCAAGGAGGGGGGTGGAGCTTTGTACAGATCCCGCTGGTCAAGGCTGCCTCCCCCCATCCCAAACAAGGAATGCCGCAGTGTGTTGCTGACAACAAGCGTTCGCTTCAGATGGAGCAAACGCAGTGGGGGTGAAGTCGAGGGATGAGTCACCGTTTATTAGAACCACACTCTTAGCCTGCAAACCCACAATAACTGGTTTACGATTGATTTTTGGCCTCGGCCACGTAATGATGTGAGCAAATATGTGTCAATTATTGATTCGGAATATTGGGTGCTAAAGCTCACGTGATAAGTCCACATTTACTGGGTCTGTGTCACGGCCTACTGTCAAGGGTTGGATCCAAATACACAATATTTGGCACAAACGCTGTGCAGAGGTCACCCATCATTAAGTTATGAATGGCAGTTATCGTAAACACACACCATGCAATGTTCACTCTCACCCATGTATCGAAAGTTACATTTTAATGTGCAATTTTATTGACGGACTGTGTATTTTCTTGGTGTAGTCTGGGACTGTTCTTGCTGTAGTTTTGCTGCCTTGATCAAGCTTGGGAATTGGTGTACTTATGCAATTTGAACTCATGTACTTAATCTATTTTATGCATTTATTTTTATTGATTTGCTTTTCTTTCCCGTACTTTGTACTCTGACCGTTTTTTTATATTGTTTGTTGTTGTTGTAACTTTCTGACCCACCCAGACAGCTGTGAAAAAGAGCTTCATAGCTCATCGGATTTCTCCAGGATAAATAAAGATTCTGATCATAATGATTCTGGTTCTGATTCAACATGTAATAAAGAATACCTATCAACCCATACGGTTTAACCCCGTATTCTTGTACAGGGAAATTGAGTTTTCAGGTACATACGGCGTACAGCCGTTTCAATACGGGCAAAAAAAATCAACATGAGTATGTGCATCCACATATCAGGCAAACAGCAGCAGCAGCTTCAGCGTGCAAGATCACAGACAAGTAGCATCATTGACACCAATTATCAAAATGAATACATAGAACAGTTTTTGTCCAGTAACATATTTTTTGTCTATTTGTTTGTGTTTTCCCCTTGTGATGGGACTTTGTAGGATGAACGTTGAGCTTTATAAGGGCACTGGGTGACCAATAAGGTCTGAATTGGTCTGTAATAAGGTAAGCACTGATAAGGGTATGATAATGTAAATATGAGTACATTACAGAATGATGTTTCACTGATAAAGCCACTTTAAGAAAAACTCAAAAGAGAGGCCCGTGTTTTATTTTTAATGCGCATATGGGCTCAGAGGAGAATGAGATATCAGATGGAGATGGTTAGCAGCGGGTCCATACAATGGACGACAATGACCACGGAGAAGCTAGTTCTGGATGAGAACATTTTAAGAAGTTTAACAAGGTTCTCAGAAGTAAATTTAACGTCCTATTTCTCGCAGGAAAAGTTGCAATCAAACAAATAAATCAATATAAAAATAATTCGGCATGAGAGTATCAACACCTACACAGCATTATATGTTACGTGTTATCTATGTGAACAATACATATATTGCTAAACAAAATATTTATCTTCACCTCTACAAATGATCACCTCCATTCGCCTCACCATCATTGACCTGACCCCCACCGATCCCCTCACCACGGCTTCGTCATCCCTCTTTGTTGCGGCCTCCTGCCCTCATGCCTCCTCAACACCACCGTCGCTGCCACTTCTTCCCTCGGCCTACCCCTTACTCCGTGTTTCAGCCGACCACCGGCCTCTGCGCCCCATTAGGCCTTGCCTGCCGGCTCCATGCACTCCACTGCATCGGCCCTATCAGGCTCATCGGTACAGCGCCCGTCCCATGCCCTGCTGGCCTCATGAGTATTGCAGGCTGTGCTGGGACCCTCACTGGGACACTCACTGGGACCCTCATTGGGACTACACTGGGACCCTCACTGGGACCCTCACTGGGACTACACTGGGACCCTCACTGGGACTACACTGGGACTGAACTGGGACCCTCACTGGGACTAAACTGGGACCCTCATTGGGACTACACTGGGACCCCACTGGGACCCTCACTGGGATCCTCACTGGGACCACACTGGGACCCTCACTGGGACCCTCACTGAGACTACACTGGGACTACACTGGGACCCTCACTGGGACCCTCACTGGGACCCTCACTGGGACCCTCACTGGGACTACACTGGGATCCTCACTGGGACCCTCACTGGGACCCTCACTGGGATAACACTGGGACCCTCACTGGGACTACACTGAGACCCTCACTGGGACCCTCATTGAGACTACACTGGGACCCTCACTGGGACTAAACTGGGACTACACTGGGATCCTCACTGGGACCCTCACTGGGACTACACTGGGACCCTCACTGGGACTACACTGGGACCCTCACTGGGACCCTCACTGGGACTACACTGGGACTGAACTGGGACCCTCACTGGGACTAAACTGGGACCCTCATTGGGACTACACTGGGACCCCACTGGGACCCTCACTGGGACCCTCACTGGGACCCCACTGGGACCCTCACTGGGACTACACTGGGACCCTCACTGGGACCCTCACTGAGACTACACTGGGATTACACTGGGACCCTCACTGGGACTACACTGGGATCCTCACTGGGACCCTCACTGGGACCCTCACTGGGATAACACTGGGACCCTCACTGGGACTACACTGAGACCCTCACTGGGACCCTCATTGAGACTACACTGGGACCCTCACTGGGACTACACTGGGACTACACTGGGATCCTCACTGAGACCTTCACTGGGACTTCACTGGGACCCTCACTGGGACTACACTGGGACCCTCACTGGGACCCTCACTGGGACTACACTGGGAGTGAACTGGGACCCTCACTGGGACTAAACTGGGACCCTCATTGGGACTACACTGGGACCCCACTGGGACCCTCACTGGGACCCTCACTGGGACCCCACTGGGACCCTCACTGGGACTACACTGGGACCCTCACTGGGACCCTCACTGAGACTACACTGGGACCCTCACTGGGACCCTCACTGGGACTACACTGGGATCCTCACTGGGACCCTCACTGAGATAACACTGGGACCCTCACTGGGACTACACTGGGACCCTCACTGGGACCCTCATTGAGACTACACTGGGACCCTCACTGGGACTACACTGGCACCATCACTAGGACCCCACTGGGACCCTCACTGAGACTACACTGAGACTACACTGGGACCCTCACTGGGACCCTCACTGGAACCCTCACTGGGACTACACTGGGACCCTCACTGGGACTACACTGGAACCCTCACTGGGACCCTCACTGGGACTACACTGGGACCCTCTTTGAGACTACACTGGGACCCCACTGGGACCCTCATTGAGACTACACTGGGACCCTCACTGGGACTACACTGGGACTACACTGGGACCCCACTGGGACCCTCACTGGGACTACACTGGGACCCTCACTGGGACTACACTGGAACCCTCACTGGGACCCTCACTGGGACTACACTGGGACCCTCTTTGAGACTACACTGGGACCCCACTGGGACCCTCATTGAGACTACACTGGGACCCTCACTGGGACTACACTGGGACTACACTGGGACCCCACTGGGACCCTCATTGAGACTACACTGGGACCCTCACTGGGACTACACTGGGACCCTCACTGGGACTACACTGGGACTACACTGGGACCCTCACTGGGACTACACTGAGACCCTCACTGGGACCCTCACTGGGACTACACTAGGACCCTCACTGGGACCCTCACTGAGACTACACTGGGACCCCACTGGGACCCTCACTGGGACCCTCACTGGGACCCTCGTTGGGACTACACTAGGACTACACTGGGACCCTAACTGGGACCCTCACTGGGACTACACTGGGACTACACTGGGACCCTCATTGGGACTACACTGGGACCCTAACTGGGACTACACTGGGACCCTCATTGGGACCCTCACTGGGACTACACTGGGACCCTCACTGAGACTACACTGGGACCACACTGGGACCCTCATTGGGACAAATCCCTTCATGGTCTTGCCCCATACATGCCAGGCTTGTATCTTTCTTCAAGCCTTCTTGCCCTCTACGCCTTTTGGCGTCATCTGGTCGAGCACCAATTGGGTCGAGGCTCAAAAGAAAGCCGTCCCTTGGTATGGACCAATCAGTTTCAAGGACAATGCATATATTATCATAGTGTGTTTTTTGTTTGCATTTTGACTGCAGGTATTGTGGTTAATGCAGACATGAATCCTTGTAAAAAGGTTTCAGTTTTGTTACCAGAAAAAAGGGGAAAAACCCTATTATTATGCCCCATGCAAGGAGGAACAGCCATGGCGGTTGGGGCACTCACACTCGGTGAAGTACGGCCGTGGCTCGATGCGCCACACAATCTGGCCCTTCTGGGTGCCATTCACGCCGCGGTTCTTTGAGTCCCAGAAGTTGCCCGGAGACGTCTCGTCTGCAGTCACACAAATACACAAAGACAAAGATACCCCGTAAAGCCTTAACAGCCTGCAGGGGTAAGTGTTGTTAGCGGTACCTATGAAGTCAAGAACGCACACGAAGGGGTGGCTGGCCAGCACCACAACTGCCTTTGTCTGCCCAGCGGCGATGTTTACACACCGCACCAGGTACCCATTGCAGGCCGAGTCGACCTAGGGGAGGCCCGGGACCGGTTCAGATAATCGTGACTGGTGTTGGCCGTGAGCGGGAATCGAACCAGGGTCGCCAGGTTCATAGCGCAGCGCGCTAACCGCTACACTATAGAGACACACACAGAGACACACACAACAGGTGGGCACAAGTGCACGCAGAGCTGACATCCTTTAAACAAAGCACACAATGTACTTGGTATTGGCCAAACATCATAAATATTTTTTAAAAATACCTGCAAATTATTCAAGTGCGATTACACTCTAGCAAGGACCTGCCCTGAAACACTGTAGTCTTGAGACTCAGTGAGGCTTTCCTTAATTGATGACTAAATGTCCTCAATACAGTACCTACGTGAAAAAGAGTCCTCAGACTCCCGTGAGAGGGTGCTGGGCGAAGTGCATTGACAATCTAGAAGAGTTCAGTTGGCAACCAACAGGCTATGATAACCAATACATTTTGATATACAGCAGAAGCCCTCTTAACGACGGTAATTGATTCCACATGTTAAAGGTTTAATTATTTCCGACAGCATCGAAAGTTCCCCTTTTTCAACCAAAAAACACGCTTTGTAATATTTAAACAATGGATATCTGTATATATATATAAAAGGGAAATTTGTGTTCGAAATGTTTAGCATACTTCCCAACATGCAACACACTTTAAATTTGGCATGTGGGTAGCTTCCAGACTGTACACAATGCAAAACGTATAAAAATAGACTTGTATTTTGGGGGGGGGGGGGGGGGGCTCAATAATGCATATAATATATTGCACAGCAAGTGAGCGGTGACATCACATCTTTTTAACGTCACATCTGTGATGTCACCCGCAAGCGGCAGCGTCACGCAGTGTGCCTGCTGACGTCACACATCCCCCCCCGCCCCACCCTCCGCGTAGGCCGTGTATTAATCCAAGACAAGAATCCAAGTCTCGGGCGAAGCCGGGTAGTAAAGCTAGTTAGTACATAAAGCTACTAACAACATTACAAACACATACTATTAAAATAAACATGGTTAATCAATGCATTAATTAGTATTTACTGTACCTACAACAGCCCGTCGTTAACTCGGGAATGGTCGGTAAGCGAACACATTGGGCTCTATGGAGGCCCGTTGTTAAGTGATTAGTCGCTAACAGGGGTGGTTGTTAAGAGGGGTTCTACTCTCTACTACTAAACACTACACTATTATACACTACACTATACATTACACATTGGACACAATGGAGACCCATCGTTAAGCGATAAGTCGTTAACAGTGGTGGTCGTTAAGAAGGGGTTCTAATCTACACTACTCTACACTACTATATACTACACTATACACTAATATACACTACACTACTCTACACTACACTATACACTACACATTGTGCTCTATTGAGGCCCGTCGTTAAGCGATTAGTCGTTAACAGGGATGGTCGTTAAGAAGGGGTTCTACTCTACACTACTATATACTACACTATACACTACTATACACTACTCTACACTACACTATACACTACACATTGTGCTGTATTGAGGCCCGTCGTTAAGCGATTAGTCGTTAACAGGAGTGGTCGTTAAGAGGGGTTTTACTCGAATTGTTTACCTCCATTGTACTTTTGCACATGGGTTTCCTTTGAAAGCAAGAGACTTGAACCAGCGCAAGTTCAAATCCTGCTCTTGAGAATCAGAATCCGAATTTAAAGTGGAGGAATCCGATTAGCTATGAAGCTCTATTTTTCACAGATGTCCAGTAGGGGCACGGAGTCAGAACGTTACAACCTGGTAAAGTGAAACTCGGTCCATCAGCAGCAGAGCGTCAGTAAACGGAGGTTTGGTTGTTGCATGAACGTGTTCCCATGCCATAGGTTTGTGGAAATGATGGCAAGTGGGTCAGGGTTGCTCAGTAACACGAGTCCCATCCATTGCTCAAAACAGGTCAGGTCATAACTTTGACCTTTTCACTTTCCTTCGGAAAATGAAATGGCCCCAGTTTCTGGGGAGAATGCTGTGAAGACAATAAGCTGGCGATAAATACGTCAATGTCAAGGGTCCTTTCCAAACGTGATTTTCACAATCAATATGAAGTCATTTAAGGCTGCGAATGCGAGGACAATGAAAATAACTCGAGTGCTGTTGGTTGAGCGGAGATTTAAAATAACACATTTCCGGTTAATGACCTAGACTGATGTTGGTGTTTTTAACAACAGCAACATCAACAACAACAAAAGCCAATAAAAAATGGTTTCTGTATAAATCCTCCGCGATGTTTTCCGAATGGACTGTGAACAATGCACTCACTGTGGGCTTCTCAGCACATTCACGCTGTGCCCTATAAAGCTCTCTGGGTATGTGGAAAGAGGAATTATTTAGAACACACGCAGCGGTCCCTGCACCCTGCAGCCAAGCCCGTCTTGTGTTCTATAACCCTGCAATCTAAACGGCAAAAGTTTTGGATAAAACAGCAAAAAAAACTAAAAACACTTTGCAGATACATGATAACATAATCACAAGACAATCGTCACACAGCAATCACAAAGATCAAACCGGCTCAGGACTTGCTCCGAACGCGGTACCTGTCACGAGCCCGTGCCGTGAACCCGTATAGTAGTACGCATGCAGGGGGTTTGTGACGATTCGCGGCCGGCCCCGCGGTTTGATCAATCGCCCACAGTCCGGGGATCGTAATTCAATTCAAGCATCGATTCCTTAATGCATCAGTCTGTCTCGTCTGCGCAGCCGTTCTCTTTGTGCGTTTCTCATTCGTTGCGTTCATTATTCCAAAGGAAAACTGTGCACGTGTTAGCATCAGTGTAGTTGAAGATGATCCATTCTTACACACACACGATTTGACGCAAGTACGGTGAGCATAAGAATATATTTTGTTCCATAAACAGAATAATAATCTCATGCTTCATACAGAGTGAAACTGATGTTACCCAGTATTATTATTCCGCGTGCTCACCCAGAAAAGCCTCACTTGAACCTCAAAACTCTATTTTCAGGAGGGTCCTTCCAAGACTTTGCTGTAGGTGGCGATGTTGCTACTGTGTGTGGTCTCAGATCCCAATTCAGTAATTTGCCGGTAATGCTGCCGGTAATGCTGTGTTGAAGTTTGGCTGAAACTAGTTATACAATATATAAATATATTAGCTATGGGAGGAAACCAGAGGAATCTCATGCAGAACAGGGGGAGAACATACAAACACCACACAGAACGGTGCTCGAGTTGGGATTCGATCCCAGAAGCTTCTTGCTTGCGAGGCGTTACCCCTGCACCATGCAGCGTCCCACAACGTCGTTAACAATGCTTTGGCTCCAGAACGAGTAGAAGAAGCACTGCGTGTTGTTATTTTATAATCACACAACCCCCCACCCCCCCATTACATCTGTTCTGCAACGTCGCCTAAGGGACAACTGAATGATCTGCTTGTGTTTGCGTTGAGTGGATGGTTGGGCACCCTTGCTCTAATTAGTTAACGGCATTTTTATGACAAAGCTGCCCTGCGATAAACAGGACCGTATTGCGGTGTTGTATGTGTCATCGTGAATAAGGCATTTTATTCAGGAATACCACTGCATCATCTGGCACATACTTCAACCCTTGAGCAGGAATTTGCTGAAGACAAGGACTACGTTACATGACAGTCTTGTTGATTTTTGCATTTTCAGAATCGGCAATTTACTGACGTCTGCACGTACCGAGGGGAAGAGCGGTGGCACTGTGTTTCACACACCACGCTATCGCAAAACCTGGTGACCCGAGTCAAATGCCCGCCTACGGCTAACAACACCGGTGTGCGAGTCACACCTTGGACTGGTCCTGGGCACCCCCCCCCACCCTTCACCAACCAAAACTGACCGACACGGCAGACGGTAGTGGATTTACAGAGGGCTGTAAGTGGGGGTTTAATTGCAGTTACCATGACCGGGATGAGACCATCAAGCTCGCTGCATCCGAGAGCCCAGTTTAACGACGGGCGGCTGCTCAGATTTAAACACAGAGTCTCAGTGGTGCCAGCTCTGTGCTCTCATCTCTATTCATATTTTTAAAAGGTTTTTTTTTATATTTAAAGGTATTTATATTTTTCCCAGTACAGTAGACCTCCGATTATCCACGCTCATGACAGGGAGGACGGCCGCGGATAATTCAAAATCGCGGATAATCCAAAAAAAATAGAAATTTTCCGCCGATATTCTTGCAAAAAACAACTAATATAAGTATAAATAAAAAAACTCACAAAATAAATGATCGTATAAATCACTCAAAATTAAGCAAAACTGACGATTTTGATTGTTAATCTTTTGATTTAGAACGAATATTAATGATCGAGCGATCGATGCACATGCTCCGTAATAACACTTTCCTGCTTCAGCGCAGAAGACTCCATCCACTAAGTGGATGATAGCAGAGCCACGCCAATCAACATCAATCAACCTCCCCCGACTGTTGTAAAGATATGCAACTACTGTACTGTAGCGGCAACCACGTGGATTTCGGATTAACCGGAGCGCATATTTGTTTGGTTTAAGCACGTGCCTTGTAATAAACATTTCCAAGAATAGCAATGTAAAACTGTTTTTAATTCATTAATTGGGCTTGAATGAAAATCCATGGGTTATTAAAACATGTCAAAATCTCAGTAGCACGGTTAATCCGCAAATCGACTAAACCGCAAGCAGATAATCGAGAATCTACTGTATAGTGTGATTGTAATCACAATGTAAATTGGAAACAGTCGGTCGGTCATCGCCTGAGAAGAGGAACGTCTTAAAACCCTCAAACTTGAACAGGGGCATGGAGCCAGCAGCACGGTTTAACAGGAACAGAGACAATCAAATGACAGAGAAGAAGCGACCTCCCACTGAGTGCCAGTTCCGTCGTTGGCTTTGACAGGAGGCGTTGTTCGCTGAAGTGGGGGTGCATGTAAAAGGAAAGTAGATCCAGATGAGAGGCAGTGGCGGTTCCACAGAGGCTCTTGAAAACGGTGGGTGAGAGTCACCTGCGGATAACTCGAGACTGGACTCGGAGCCAGAGGAGGGATCTGAGGCCCTGTAGTGGTGACTCGTGTACGGGCACCGGTGATGAGCCAAGGAGAATCTTTGATCGACGACATTTTTTAATCTGCTACTTCATTGCCCCCCAAACCCCCCACATCATCTTGAATGAGAGGGTTAAACGATTTATTTGGTGATAACGCATTGAGCACAAATCACACAAAAAACCTCATCATGTTCGCCAATAACACTTTGGCCTGAAAAGTAAAATTATACAATAGGCGACGTTTGAATAAACGCCATTGCCCAAAGCGTTGCCGATTATACACATTTACTTTTCAGGCCAAAGTGTTGTTGACGAACGTGTTAAGTTTTCCGAATAAGAGGAGTTATGTGCAGATGGCAATGCAATACGTGCATTTATATGTATTTGTAGTGACATTGAATGGGTTACTAGGGTGCGAAGTGCTGGTTACTGGGTAGAGAGCGGGATTGTGGGTGTAGGGCTGGTGACATGTGCCACTGGAACGCGTAGCGCCGGTTGCTGGCAGAGGGGGGGGGGGGGAATCTGAGAACACAGCAGCCGGTCTGCCAGCAGGGCCCGTGATAGGCCAGGATAAGGGATGTAGGGTAAAGGTGACAGAGGAGACACGTGGGGCAAAGCCCAGAACCTTCTGGAATGTTCCCGAAGGGGGCGTGGCCAAGGGCGGAGCCAGGACACGCTGGGGAGGATAAAAGGGAGGTCCCGACGCTGGGTCGGGGCTGTCGTTTGTAATGGAACCCGTCGTCTACGCAAGTCTTCATTACCGTCTACACCTCCTTGGCGTTGTGGGTCAGGCAGTGTGCCGGCTGTCCTGACCCGTGTGTAGTTATCCCCTGTACTGTGGAAGTGTAGAATAAACGTGTGTGCCTCCCACTATTAGTGTCTCTGAACTGACTACTACATATTTATAAGAGGCACTCGGAGGAGAAGTCGTTGAGACTCAGATTAAGAAGGTGTGTGCATATTTATTGGATTTGAGGTTCAATCTTTATATCCATCCGCATACAATCACTTTTAACCAGGCACACATGGCTTGAAATGCCATTTTAAAACTAACCTCGTTTTTTTCTTCTTCTTTGGTTCTTTTGGTAAAGTCACGTAGAATGAGAATAAAATAATAAAATACATTGAAATAAGACAATAAAATTCTCACGACGTTTCGGCCACAACACAAGTAGCAGTGCTTCAATGGATTGGAGCACTGTCGTCCCGACAGTTCTGTTCTTTCACCTGATGAAGGCTACTTGTGTTGTGGCCGAAACGTCGTGAGAATTTTATCGTCTTATTTTAATTTATTTTATTATTTTATTCTCATTCTACGTGACTTTACCGAAAGAACCAAAGAAGATGAATCCTTGCAGTCACGAAAGCTTTAAATCGAAATTTAACCTAGTTTTGCTAATTTCTTATGTTAAAAGTGAGTTTATCCCATAATAACTTTGCAAACCAACTTGCTCTGACAGGCAAAATGTTGCCTTGTTCGTAAAAAAAAAAACTGAAATTGTCACTCTGAGCGCACTTTTCTGTAAGCTTCATTCCGTTCCTCTCTAATTGCCGCGTCACATTTGACACCGCCTTCCCCGCACTCTGACATCAGTAGCGCGATGTTACTCGGGCGCGGGAAGAGCGCGGCGATTGGCAAGCGCTCTCAAAGTATATATTTTTTAAAGTATTTATAATAAATATAATAACTACAAACTCGCAGTATCACTCCGAGAACACTCTTCTGCAATTTGTGTTCAAAAAGTCCTCGATTAAAATGTCAAGAAGAATGGGTTTCCCTCTGTGCCATGACTTAACGTGAAGCAAATTGCTTCTTTTTCTTTTAAAATTTTCCGGCTGTATAAATTGAGCATAATTGTAGGGCCATGCCACCACTAGGGCACTCCTTGTTCCAGAGGCTTGCGGTTCGCATTCAGCAGGCCACCCTAGTTATTACTACAGGTGTATTAACTGTAATGAACTATGCAATGTCTGCGTTTATAATAACTGCTGACGTCAATCGAAAAGAGTCGGCCATGGTGTGTTGGCGTTATGCTCCATGAACCACAGATTACTCAACTGGGATTACGGAGCAGCAACATCTCCCCCTACTGCAAAACTACTGCAAACCGTGTCCGTGAAGCATGTATGTATGTATGTTGAACTTCTTTCACACCGTACGTAGCCAGCCGTGCTAATCGGAGGTGCGGGGGAAGGACAACAAAGCACAGCGTCTTCTTCGTGATAGCATCTCACTGGTAAGATTGCGCGAATACCAGAGCATACGAAATTATAATTACTATTATTGCAACTGGTTAGATGGACCCGGTGTAAGAGTTAATGCGAGGGGCGCCACATCGCACGGCTGACCGATGCTGTAGAGGCCGATCCAGTCGGTGGCGTCCACCTCCTCCTTGATGTCCCACGAGATGACGAGGGGCCTGGCCTGCCCCACCGAGTAGTCGCAGCTGCTCGCCGTGAGGCTGGAGCGGGAGTCGGAGCTCAGCAGGTCCGTGTCGCTGTTGGCACGGACCACGCCGCCGGAGCCCGGTTCGCCCAGGCCCGGGTGCAGCTCCCCCGGCGACAGGGGCCCGGCCGCGGACAACGAGACGCCCGCACGGCCACCCTCGGGGGACAGGCCCCGCCGGCCATCCGACACGAGGCCCGCAGCGCTGCCACCTCCTGCGCAGAGTGCGGCAGTACCCGCATGTCACAGCAGCAGCAGCAGCAATAATAATTATATCTATGGCACCCTTTGTGCCAGTCACTGCTCGACCTAAGCTGTCAATTATTGACAATTGCATTGTTTTTGTGCTGCTCGCCATTTGGCATTCTCCGGTCTAACACCGGTGGGACAAATCCAAGGACAATGCATACATTATTAAAGTATCTTTGTTTGCAGGTATTACCACAATCGTGTGTGGTTAATGCAGACGTGATGCCATGTGATCGGTTCTGTTTGGTGTCTGAAAATTTTAACGCCTGTATTCTTGCCAGAAAGGGTATAAATAACATTTACATATTTAACCAGCAAAGTCACACTGAATTAAAGACTCTTTTTTTAAGCAGTGTCCTGCATTGGGATATTTGTCCAACACCAATGACATTGTATGGGGGGCTTTTTAGCTATGGGGAAAAAAAATTGGAGTAAGTGGGAAAAAATCCCACGCAGAACGGGGGGGGGAGAGAATACGCACACGCCATGGAAAAAAAGTTTCTCGAGTCAAGAATCAAAGCCAGGACCTTGCTTCTGTGAGCCGCAAGTGTTACCACTGCGCAACTCTGCCGCCTGGTAAACTGTCACCTTCAAACGAGTACACATTAGGAGTCATAGTGACTCGGGGAGCTAATGACGTGTCTAATGCCTCTTAGGGGGGTGGGGGAGATTGAATTAAAATTATATCTGATTCTCAATTAATGAGGTGCATTCATGCCCTGAAGCACGGGAGGACTGCAAGCGCTGAACAAAAACGTAAACAATCTGGAAAATATGGAACAAAGGAAATCTCAGTCACAGTCTCAAGCCATGAAGCCAGACATCAGCAAGCGGACTGCTCCCCAACTTGGGATGAGGATTGGCTGAATGAATCGATATCTCACTCTCCATTATCCACACCACAGTGGCGATGCGGGCAAAGCGGCAGTCGCTCTTGGTTGAAGGCGATGTATCTTAACAGAGCAGCAGGTTATAGTCAGACTCAATAGCTGCCTGTCAAGCAACAACTGCTGCTCAGTCATGACAAAAGAATGTCGTCTCCTTGCACGCGCAAGGATGTTTCCCGTTTCATCCTCACTCTTGAATGACGCAGCTCGCGTCAGCAGGCAATGCAACGCGTCCGCTTGAGGCTGGCGAAATGTGACGAAATAAAGTTGCAAAGGGTCGCCTCAGGACTGGGACAAGAGCCGAGTTCAATTCCGTGACCTTTCTTGACCTTACGAGAGCCTGTTGAGCCCTCTCATCTCCTTGCTTAAGGGATAACTCGGCAGACGTGTAGTGAATGTAGATTACAGTGGTGCACTCTCTTTGTGCGTTACTTAGTTGTGTAATCCATTATTATGCTTTGGACAGATCACGTGAGGCGAGCACGGAGAGATCTATGCGTGTGGATGTTGTCACCGGTTCTCTACAGCGGACGGTGTCGCCTGTAAAAATAAATGTGTCGTTAAACCCGCCACCACCCGGCAGAGCCAATTAGTAAGGTTTGTCATGTAAAGAAAACATGCCGATTATTTACTAGTCAAGCACACGGATGTGTTGAAGAGTAAACCCACAACATTTCCAATTCGAGTACACGACATTTCGCCGATAATGCCAACGAGCCTCACCAGGCCTCCACAACCACTTCCGTGCCCAACTTAAGAGCAACTGCAACCCAAAAAAAATGAACAAACAGCTCTTCTCTTGAGTTGCGAACCTTGGCTGTGTGTCCCCGCCTGTCTAAGAGTCTGTAGCTTTGTTGACGAGGAAAAAAAGAACTTTAAAGTTGCTATCTGACATGTCATTATAGCACTTTAGTGACATCACTCCCATACACTTTAAAACATCAATATAGTGGAGGCACTGTAGCACTAGAGGGCCGAGCTTAACTATAACTTGTTTTTCCCTCACGAACAAGGCTTTATTATTATATCAAAGACAAAGATTTCCTGTATAGCCTTTAACAGACTATTGAGGCAAGTGCTGTTAGCGAGTCCCTATGAAAGCCGGGACAGCACACGAGGGAATGGGTGGCCAACACCACGTCCGGCCCCCTGTCTCCCCAGTGGCGATGTTTACACACCGCACAAGGTAGTTATTTGAGGCCGAGTTGACCTAGGGGAGGGCCAGGACCAGTTCAGATAAAAGCTTTGTTTTAAGGTTGTTTCTCACTTGCATTCAGGCCTCAATACAAGGGCCAATTTAAGATCTGAGTGTGGTTAATGATAACGGTGTGGATTCTGTTGAGTGGCTGAATAAACCCCCACAGTGAATCTGCACAACTGGAAATGTAGTGTGGATTGTGTGCGAAGGAGGTGCGTACTGTAAGGTAATTTAAATTAAAACCAAACTTTTATTTTAACAGAAAAGGCCCACCAGGCTCCGTGGCCCCTTTTCAGAAGCGACCTGGCCACAAATCATAGCTCAACGAAGTGGCTTATCGTGTGTAAATTATAGCAGCTAAATACTCTAAACGCGTGTTTCTAAATGTGGAGAGAAAAGTCAGAGGACCCGGAGAAGAATCCACGTGACCACGGGGAGAACATGTAAAATTTACAGAGCCATCATGGTCGCGATGAAACCCACGGCCTGCTTGATACCAGGTGAGTTAGTTAACATTTAGCCACCGTGGCAGCGGTGGTGGCAGCATGGTCCAAATGTTCCCATTCATACAAAAAAAACCCCCACAATTTACTCACCTGGAATTGCACAGAATCTCTATGAGAATCTTTATGTACGAAATGATTATGAAGTAATGTGAAGCTTTATTCAAACATGCGGCATGAATTTTACTGAATTATTCCCGAAGAATCGATCTGTTAACTCAAACCAGTTCAGCGGTGAATCCACTGACAGCTGGGTGACCCAGCCAGGCTGATATCACGTGAGAATAGGGGCAGCAGGTTCAGTTTATAGCCCACAATTAGACAATCCTTTGCCTCACAAGCTGTCCAAATACAGCATTACAGCACACTGCACTGCGAGTAATGCGACTCCACACACGTAGTCTATAAAATGTACGGTTCTAAGTTAATTTCCACTGCAATCCACGCCGTTAAATCACAATTGAGAACCGTCCAGCAAGGAAAACAGTGCACATACCGTGATGTCTGTTATCGTAGAAGCAATTTTGGCTGTGCCACAACAAACGGACCAGGTGATTATTTGTCTCGGAGGCAATCCTAATTCACAGATTCGGCTGCCGCTATCAATGTGGACTGGCTGCAGAACAGACCTCTGATGAGTAACGCACACAGCGGAGTTCCCTCACTTGGGGGATGGAAATTTCCAATCGTTACAACCGGCTGTGCTTGCTGTTTTCCGAGAGCTGCCTAGAAACTACAAATGGATGGACATGCGGACTGATGGAAACACTGCTGCACCGCATTCTCCTGGCAAGCTAAGGTATGGCACACTGACGCACACCAACCCCCTCGCCTCACGGTGTTGGATTAGAGGCATGTGCGCCACCACCCCATGGACTCCTGTGGCTGTCAGAGACTGCTCTTCCTCGGGACAATGACCCATCATTGTATAGACCGTGAACCAAGGGAGTGGCGATGGCCTCTCTTAAAGACCCCGGGGGGGATGGAAATTCTCGGGAGGAGGGGGGGGGGGTCTTTAAGAGGCCATGCCATTGCTCCCCCATATCACTGGAGGAGATGGGGAATTGTGAGCCTCCGTATCGATATTCCAAATCAAATCTCATAAGTTATCATTAAAAAAAAACATCATGATGAGCATGTAACATAAAACAGTACAGCCTTGTAGATATGGTTTGAACAACTCAAGTTTACTCTCTCATAGCTGTCCATACGAATGTAATTAATTATATGAGACCACTCTACCCACACCATCAGGAGCCTGTTATTAAAATAAACACGAGGGGCTCTAGCCATGCTCAGCTGACACGAACAACGAACTGTGCACATTCCCCATGCCCCCCCCCCCCCGCACATCTCCACATGAGACTGTTACGCCATTCAGGGTGGCGTTCCAATGTTTGCATTTGATCATTTTGAGAGCAGTTCGAACCAAGCAGGCACATCGTCCTCGTGACACGCGTGGCGACGCTGTGTGGACGCAACTCCTGCCAGTGCGGACAGCCATTGAAAATCTAAGCAGGACCCAATTCAGCGGGTGATTTGTTTTCACTTTCAATCATCTAACTGTGGGAATCTTTGTAGGTACAAAGGTAAAATGAGCAAATGTCCATTCTATATCATCCACAGAAAGCATTCATATGGTTAAAAGTGTGAATCCAAAAGAAATCATAACCTATTAAAACATTTTTGATTTAAAGCTATCGTGACTGCAGGGATTCATATTCTTGGTTCTTTCGGTAAAGTCACGTAGAAGGGAAACAAAATGATAAAAATATAAAACAAGAAAATTCTCACGATGTTTCGACTGCAACACAAGCAATCATCATCAGGTGTGAAAACCACAGCAAGAAAATTCAAGAAAATTTTCTTGCTGTAGTTTTCAGGTACGCCTTTTGGCGTCATCTGGTCGAGCACCAATTGGGTCGAAGCTCAAAAGAAAGCCGTCCCTTGGGGTGGATCAGTTTCAAGGACAATGCATATATTATCATAGTATGTTTTTTGTTTGCATTTTGACTGCAGGTATTGTGGTTAATGCAGACATGAATCCTTGTAAAAAGGTTTCAGTTTTGTTGCCAGAAAAAAGGGGAAAAACCCTATTATTACCTTCAACACTTCACGTGGCCTCAAAGCGCACCTAGCCTGGCACAAGCGCCGTGGTGATGTCACAGCCGCTCAGTGGCGAACGTGCGGATGTTGTCGCTGTCACTGTTATTGCTGTTGTGCGTCCGTGTGTGCATTACAGATGGCGCCCGCAAATGTGTCGCGCGTTAATTACCGGAAAGGCCACGCAGGCTCTCGGGGTTGAGGCTGTACCGGGCCTGCGAGTCGCACCGCCGGCGCCCGGCACACGACGGGTCCCTCGCCGACACGGCCATGTCGGGGGCTCTATTCCGTGACAGGTTCTAATAAAAGACAGAGCGCAGCGACGCCGCCGCCGTTAGCACGCTCAGACACGGCCGCCGACCGCAACGTTGCGTGCGCGTGCGGCCAACATGGGGCGACGTTCCGCGCGCGTTTGAAGAGGAGGGCGATCGTCGCTAGCGAGCGCCAGCCGAGGTCGGTGCGACTCACGAGGGGTGGCGTTATCGGTCACGCGAGGGGTGGCGTTATCATCTCCCCAGCGCCATTGCTGACAGCCAAGAACAGTGAAACACCTCTTATCCGCTCGCTAATACCCGCCCCCCTGACTCCATCTGCACCGACTTCCCATATTTAAGTAAGAGCCCGGCGCCATGCAGCAGTTCACAAACTTCCATTGATAATGATGAGTTTGTTGTCTTTCCCCCGCACCTCCGATGAGCACGTTTGACAATGTACGGTGCGGAAGAAGTTCAACATACATAACCTTTGCATTAATATGGCACGCAAATGACTCAACAACTCAAAGTGCCTTACATTACATCATTTCAAACATTTGAATGTCAGCCCCCCACCCCCCCCCCCCCAGTGGTAGCTGTCCCTGTGCAGCACAAAGTACCGCATCACCTGGCCCACGAGCAGCCATCAGTAATCAGTATAACAGTAGGGGGCGATGATGGCTCCTGTGTAATCCCAATTGAGAAATTTGCGGTGTGATTTTTCGAACGTAGCTAATTTGGGGCCATGATGCCGGTACGAAATGTCCTGCTATTTTCGAATGGCATCACGGGATCTTTAACATCTCCTGTGAAGCGGACGGAGCGTGGTGTTTTATGGTAAATAAACATGCAGTGTTAACCAGGGCGGCCTTCCAGAATCGAACCCGCAAACCTCTGCAACAAGCGGCAAACGCGCTTCCGCCAGTTTACGGCCGCAATCCAATTTTGGCAAAGCTACTTCCTGCTAATGCTCGACTTTTAAAAATATATCCACACAAATCTGCTGATGGAATATTCACATTGCTGTTGGGAAGTCTTAACCTCGAGAGGGCCACAGATTTTGGCGATAAATCTTTGGGGCACTTTATGAGCCAGTGCACCAACCGTCTCGCAAAATGATTGCTTTCGTATATTGTGGTGCGTGTGCGGCATTCACGTGCAAAGATTCAATCACAACACCGAAAAGAGTCGCCCGACGTTTTGGGCACGGCGTGCACGGCACGGACAGTCAGGAAATGGTACTGAACAAGGCCGGTAAAGGGGATTTGTTAGAGGCAGCGAATTTAAGTGATTGTGGAGGAGAAATACAACACGGAAAAAGAGTGGGAAAATGGAGGGTGATTGACAGGGTGGACCTTTGGAATCTATTAGGAAAAGTGGAAGGTGATTGGCTGGAGGGAAAGGAGGTCAAGAAACCTTTGGGAAAGGGGCTTGAGGGACGTATAAAGAGGAAGCGAGGGCATTCGTGACGCTTGCAGTGAAGGGAATCCTTCAAGAACGTGGCTCACGCTGGAAGAAATAAAGACTCGATAGCAGGTGTCACTGCACACGAATATAAAAGTAAATAGAGCAAGTGGGAGGTTAGATTCATTTATGCCGTTGCATTTTCTTCACAATTAAACTCAAGAGCCGAGGGGCTAAACAGCAGGTTTACAGCTGCCACCATGGCACCCGCGTCACTTAACGGGCACCCGTAGGGAGACGCGCACACAGACAGGGCCATCGTCGAATTTAAACCAGCAGCTTATCAGCCCGTGGGGCACGCCGCCCTTCATGGGGGCGGTGCGGTCTGCGGCATGGACACCGTGCAGGAGAAGTTTAAAACGCGTGCGAGGAATGTCAGTGCCATGTTGTGGCGACAACATGGCACTAATGCTAACACAACACACACCGATGCTGACAAATAACACACCAATAAAAACACGCCTATACTAACACAACACACTCCAATGCTAACACAAATCACACCGATACTAACACATAACACAACCGATACATAATGTGAAACAAATGCCTTATTGGCAAACGCAAATGAATCGGTGAATAAAATAGATACAGATCCAACACATTATCTCAAACCATTGATAAAAATGCTATTAAAATATTTAAAATGTAGTATTTGGAAGCAGTTTCTGTGCTGCACATCCCTAGTTGTTCCATCATTTCGATTTGTGGCTGCCAATCAGTGATGCGATGCACTCATGACATTGCAAGCCCAGGTAATGCAGGCGCACACACACACGGGGAGCATGTGTGTGTGTGGGGAGCGGTAGTGTAGCGGTTAGCGTGCTGCACTATGCACCTGACGAACCGAGTTGGATTCCCAATTAGGGCCAACACAAGTGACGATTATCTGAACCGGTCCTGGGCCTCCCCTAGGTCTACTCAGCCTCAAATAAGTACCTGGTGCGGTGTGTAAACATCGCCACTGGGGAGACAAAGGCAGCCGGGCGTGGTGGTGGCAACCCACCCCCCTCGTGTGCCGTGCCAGCCTTCATAGGTGCTGGCTGACAGCGCTTGCCCCAACAGTCTGTTAAGGCTGCACTGGGGATCGTTGTCTTTGTTTCGTCAGCTTGTGTTCATCTGCCGGTCATGCACAGGGACCAGTAGCAAAAAGCTCGAACACAAAAGATAATTACAATTAGCTGGCAAGAGGCCCTTCGAGTTGGCTGTAAACCACACCTATCATGCGTGTGACTGTGTCATCGATTGGCTCAATGCACCATCCGAGCGCCGTGGGGTTGTCCGCAATGGGAAGGCCCCGTCACTCGATGTCTTCATGCCGTGCATCAAACAGTGCGACCTTTATTTTGATTACTCGGCTGGTTTAACCCGGGAAAGTCTCACCGAGTTTCAAGACTCTTTTCACAAGGGGCCTGACACTTTTCGGAATAGGGGGCCATGTTACTGCCGTGTGTGATAATATAATTTGGGACACTTGCAGGCTATTTTTCAGCATTGGGATATTTGGCCAATACAAGTTGCGTTGTACATATATCAACATGTTTAAATCTACTGGAGAAAAACCGGGCAACCCGGAGAAAACCTGTGCAGAAAAAGGGGAGAATTAAAAAAACACGCAGAAATGCATTCCAATGGGGAGTCGAACCCAGGCTCTTTTGCGATGAGGCACAAGTATTAGCACTGGGCCACCGCGCTGCCCAAGCAACATGTATCAGCAACGCGTTTAAAGTAACCTACAAATAGGTGGCATCCTACACCCAGGCAGGAAGCTTGTCCTTCGCACCTCCGATTAGCACGGTTGGCTACTTACGGTGCGAAAGAAATTTAACATACGTACATAAAAAAACATCAACCGCAAGGTTGTAAACATTCACATTTGTCTAATAGAACTAAACATAAAATGGTGAATAGCAGTATAATTAATCATATATAAACTAAAATAAAACAAGAGGTAAGACATGGCAGCGTGGCGCCGAGGCTCACGCTACAAAACATGTGCAAGCCTCCAGAGCTGTGTACATGGCAGACCCTTAAAGTGATGGACCTGTATTGGCATTCCTGCATCATTCCCGCAGTTACGTGGCTGAGGATGCTTATCAAGCACAATTCACTCTTGTGCTAGACACCGAAAGCACAAGTGGCGTCTCTGTACGCCGGTTCCACGGTGAGCACGCGGAGAAAACGAAGCAATTTAGGCGCGTTGAGATGCCAACAAGCGGCAGGTGACTGGACGGATCAGATTGACGGTCTCATGTCAGTGTGACTGGAACGGCACTACTGGGATCCTGTGGTTTGAATCTGGGAAGCCCCCTGTGATCACGCTGGGTTTTCAAGTGCAGAACTCTCATCCACAAGCCTATGAATTGAAACTCCTATGACCTGCAGGAGCTGCAGTGTCCGCGAAAACTCCAATTACCCCGTAACAGTAAATATTCCTATCCGCGACTTCTCCCAAAAGTCAGCGTTGAACGGCTTCAAATTGCCCGAGATTTTTCAAGGATAATCCACAAATATATGTCCCGCAAATAAGTGGACTAAATTGGGAGATAACATTGCGGATATCAGGATCCATGATGACGGTTCTCCATGTAACCGTTCTCCTGTACTGTACAGAGCCGTGATGTTCTCAGCAATGTTTAAAAAAACAAACAATCCTATTTCAGTTTGGATTTCCTTTTAATTTGGACCATTCCAGAGTGAGAATAAGAGCACTTTGGCTTGATTTCCATGCAACGAGCACTCCCTGCAGGGCACGCATAAAGAGGTACAATTTATTGACGCGATTCTGGGATGTGCTCTTCCAGACCTGTTTCTGTGACGCGGGGTGATGCACAGATCAAACAATGAGAGAGTTCCAAACGGGAAGTTCTTCATCTCTTGACAAGATACAGATAGCACAATTGAAATCATCACACTCAGCCACGATACTATCCTTCCCTAGCCGGCACCGTCTCTCACCATCCCACGAAGCAAACAATCCAAACAGCGTCTACACATAGACGGTTCTCATTGCTCCGTCTCCACTGTGGACGGTCTCTCGGACACGTTGAATTTCTTGGCAACGGGAAACATAAATGGTGAATAAATAATGAGACCAAGATGATAAACCCCTTGGGATATCAATGTGCAACCCGTGATGCCGCTGCATACCTTGAAATAGGATCCGGTTTTGTAATCGTGTGCAGTCCTCAGACCGGAATTGGGTGTGTCAAGTGAAACCGATCAATGGACTTAATGCAGAAACCCACGGCAGTGAACCAGCACATCCCGTTCAGGGAAATATTATGCACAGAGAAAGAAAAAAAATGACTCTGGGAAAATTTTTTTATGAATTATTTATTTAAATTGTATATAGAAATAACCGATGCGCTTAATTTTAACACGTGACATTCCGGTGACGATCATTTTTTAATCGCGAGCAATGGAATTGCACGGAATGTTATTCACTCGAGTCGAATACGGTTTTTGGGGGTAAAATTATAGCTTTGGGTTGTGGTTCACAGGCACTCCACTTGCATAATCATGTCACCGGTCTCTCACGGTTCATCAATTAAAATGCATCCCTACGGTAATGATGCATG